AACTTGAACGATCCCGACACTCTCAAGCTTCCAAGGGTTGGAAATGGACAGCGACTCCATTCGCAGACCCCGAGGCCGGGCTCTATCATCTATCGCACACGACTCGGGAGTGTCATATCTGCCTGAAAACTTGAAGAATTCGTATGGTTTGCAACCTTGGAATTCTAACTCATCCAATGTGGGGCTAGGACTGCCCGCAACTCGTTCAAGTTGAGGTACTACGAGTAAGAAATGTGGCTAATTCCTTTCCTTAAACCCAGATAAAGCTTAAGGTCGCTTCATTGGCCCTCCACCTCCACCTTCAGCTCGCAAATAATACGGAGCTGAGATGCACGGAGTGCGGAGTGGCTGGTGCAGTCCGGAACGCAATAACGCAAAGAACCTCGAGGTCATTCTTCAGCTACAACAATGCACGCTAATGCAGCAAACTTGAATGCACCGCCATCTTACGCACGCTAAACTAGAACGGACCCCAACAAACGCCCGGTGCCCCAGCTTCGCACGACCTCGAATTCCTGTTATTTTCTGCTTGCAACATGTCATTTCAGATCCAGTCAAGATTATCTTTCCCACGGTCGTGATTTGTGTTTTATGAAATTGTCAATTCAGCGTTGAAAATAATGTGAACAAACCCTTGGCGCACAATGTCAGACAATCACCCCAGATTTGTCTTGGAAAATGCTCTCTTCTTATGCCAGGGGCAGTCTGAAGTGCATGTCGCATCCACTTCTAGCGACCCTTTGATAAATGTCCTAGACCAAGGTACTACCTCTCGAAACCCGACGCGAATTAAAGCTGATATAAAATAGACACCTATGATTTTGAGCGTCGTTTACAATCAGAATCACCGATAGATACTCATAAAACCGGACTAATTAGTGTGATGTATGCCGATGGACCCTTTTCTACGATAAATGAAACTCACAAAACCAAGACTATTGACCGAACAAGGTGCATTCCCGGGAGACCAGTGGGATACCCAGAAGTTGTTCGAAACTTTCTGGGACGTAAAACTAGAGGATGTTGCTCTTTTATCTTCGCCACTGCTCTCGAGTTATCACGGTCGATGCGTAGAAGTTAACGGCCACCAATGCCTCGGTGAGTTTTGCATTGGGATGTGTATCAACCCCTCGCCTACTAACGAGCCCACCGAAATTTGCTACAATATCAGCGAGAATTTGTCGTATACAGCAAACGATACTAGTCCCTTGGATAGTACCCCAAGCGTTAGCTCCCGAGGCCCAACCGACATGAAGCTTCTTCACCAGTACGAGCCTATCTATTTCCGTTATGACTTCCTCACCGGGCACACCCTATATATCTTGCCGAAATCCAAAGGCGAGCTTCGCGATTTGATTCACGCGATTGGGGAGAGATTTAAGGGATCATCCTCGGATTCAAATTGCCTTTCCGTTAAGAAGCTGGGCATTTCCCAGAAGAATGATTCGTTACACCCTCTAACCCTTCACTCGGTGGTCATGTTCTATGTCCTTTCGTCCCGAAACACGGAACTGAATAACCTGATAAAATGGCTTCTCTGGATCGAGACGCAACTACACCAGGGATCTATCTTTGAAGTATCGGACTCTAATCGCTTCTCGAGGTATATACAGTTGTTACATAAGATGTCGCGGAACCTGATAACACTAGAGCACAATAACCAACGCGACGCGTCAAATATTGGTCATCTCCTCCGGGATCATGAGCGTCTTGGAAGATTGGCCGAGCTCCAGGGGACATATATTGATCATGCGACGCATGGGAGGGTCCGGGATGATCTACTTATGCTGCACGACTTATGCGATGATCGGCACCGCAGAATCATGAACTTGCAGCGAAGAACCAGTAACTTCGTGACGCTTTTATACAATCTCATCACGGGCCATGACAGCACGATAAATTTGAATATTGCCACGGAAAGCGCGAAAATAGCCCGCGATACACGCAAGGATAGTGCGTCCATGAAGATCATCGCCGCGATGACACTGCTCTATCTCCCAGCCACTTTTGTCTGCAGTCTTTTTGGAACGAACTTGATCGCCTTGGATACATCCACTGCGACTAATGAGCCTGCATTTGTTGTGTCTCGCCTTTGGTGGATTTATTTTGCTTTTGCGGTACCTTTGACAGCTTTCACGATGATCGGATTTCTGGTATGGCGACGATTTCGCGAACGGAAGCCTGATGAGAGAGCGAGTGGAATTGGCAATTCATGATGGACTTAGCTAGGCATCATTGCTCGTAACTCGGGTGATTGGGTACCGGCAGTCTCGAAGATTGATGGTAGAAGCATGTCACTGCCCGCTCCCGATGCAGAAGCGGCTGATCAGTACCGAATCGGGGTTGGTAAATGTGAACCTGTCATCGTTCTAGTTCTATACTTGCCCAGCCCATCATTATATTCCATTTCCCATTCCAAATGAGGTTCCAGGCAAGAAAAGACTGTTTTGAAAACCTGCACTGGAATATTCGACACGAGTGATACTATGAACCCCCAAGTGCCGATATTCTTACTCCGCTCCAGAAAAGCTACGGGTGAGTAACTAATACAGAGCACATGGCAAGTTGGTTAATCTCTAATAGAATGGAAACATCACGACATGATCTAAGGCTCTATTATACCCTCTGGGCCAGGCTATCTATACACGGTGCCCGTTTGGCATGTTGAGGATGTACTAGAAGATGATGATCCGAAGTCTCCTTTACCACACGCAATTCTGATATTTCACGGTGAGTATGAAGCTAGTGAGTGGGGCCATGATTTTACAATCTTTGAGCTTCGGGCGCTAGCGAATTTCCTCTTGATGCGTTCCTTAGACGAGAATTCCAAAAGTTTCCCTGGCCATCGAACGCACCCAGTGAGTTAATTGGTTCCTTCGACTTTCAGATATCCGACTGACTTCTTTTTTAATCATAGACTCTACTCGTCTCATTTATGGGACGCAACCACGGGCGAATCTCTCAGGCGTTCTACGATGGAAACTGTTTGAACCTGCAATACACACAGCTGATGAGCTTCGAAGAGAATGCCAGCCCACCTCCTCCCATGGAGCTGTTTCTGCGATACTGGCTTGCTAAGCCCATCGGAATCCGAAAGCTTGAGGTCGTTTCAGAGGAGGAATAAAGCGTCAGATATGTGTCTTAACCGGGTGTTCTTTGGGGAAGGCATCGTACATGGAATTCATATCCACCGGAATGTATGTGGAGCATTGTGGTTATGATCTCTGAGAGTTCAAAATAGAAGATCTTACTATACACTTCTCACATCTCGGGACTCAAGAACCTTGGAAGGATAGTTTGCATTTTAACTCTCATGGCTACATTGCCCAGAGATTTGCTTGAGATTGTACTTTGATTGATCGCTAAAATTCGAGAGTGTTTCTCATTTCCTCGGGCGGAATTTGGCTAGTTGGGTTTTCTGGTAGAAGTTTTGAGTTTTGTCTCAGCCGTAAAGAGTAGCCACTAGTAAGCGTACTCGGTTAGGTAGGGAAGAGATGAAAGCCAAATCGATATTCCAATTAACTTGGAGAATCTCTCCTCTTCGAACTAGAGCACTGTAATGTGTCGCACGGGAGTGGCTGAGGACCGTCACATGGGGCCATCCGAGCCGAGATGTCCGACGATCGATTGCGGGGGCACCACAAAGAATTTTCCGGGGTCGTAAATCAGTGGCCGAGGTTCATAAGAAGCCCTGAGGGAGCCTGTCAGCTACGGTGTACTACTCTCTTGGCTCCAAACCACAAATTTGAGCCGTTTCGACTCCAGCAATAATCACCACGATGTATGACAACCTGATCCCACAGGCTACGGCTTTCTGGTCACACATCGTGTCGACCTATTCCCCACAGCGAATTGAATTCGTCGGAACGCTGCTGATCCAAGTGGTTTCGTTCTGGCTCCCATCGCTATTCTATCTATCCCTGGACACGCTTGCGCCGTCATTTTCCCAGAAACACAAGATCCAGCCTGCGCCTAAACAGCCGACTCGTCGTGACATCCTGCATTGCTTCTGGGTTGTTACCCAGAACCAAATTCTCTCCAGCGTCTTGCATATTTCGCTCATCAATATCACCTCTCATTTCGGATCAAAGCCATCTTACCGGGTCGAAGCAGCTCTGCCACCCGCCCTCGAATTTGCTCGGGATTTCGTACTGAGTCTTCTTATGCGCGAGGCACTGTTTTATTACAGCCATCGCCTGCTGCACGTTCCATATCTCTACAAGTTGATTCACAAAAAGCATCATCGATTTACGGCACCCATCGCCTTGGCGGCCCAATATGCCCATCCGATTGAACAGATCTTCGCCAATGCATTGCCAATCTCTCTGCCCCCACAGATCTTGCATAGTCATGTATGTACACCGCAGAAGTGCACTCCACTCTAGCAAAAGCTAACTCGAAATAGGTGCTGACATTCTGGTCGTTCCTTGCTTATGAGCTTTTCAATACTGCAACTGTGCATAGCGGGTATGATTTCTTCCACAACAAGGCTCTCGATCATGATCTCCATCATGCAAAGTTCAATCTGAATTATGGATCGATCGGGCTTTTCGATTGGATCCACCAAACGAATAAGTTGGGCAAGCGGCACTCGGAATAAAGGGGCTACTAGTTATAGTGGGGAGATCGAAGTTGTTTGTAAATAGTATCCGTATCCGTACTCCATGCCCCATGGGATACTTCTGTACTCTGTACTCTGCACAGATTATACAATATTCATAGAGAGTCTGTACTATTAGTACTAGACGCGATAACCTATGACCACGTTCTCCAGTAAGTACAAAGTACAAAGTACTGCGTACAGATCACCCCAAACATAGGAGGCTGGGCCTGATTTGCCTGATTTGCGGGATCGGCGGGGCCGAGGTGGCACAATCCCATGCGAACAAGCGCGAGACTGTCTAATCTCGGTATCCAGTGCGACCGTCGCTAGTGTCACTCCAAAACAACCTCACTTCTCCGTCCTTGTCATCTTTGTCACTTCTCGAACTCCTCTTGAAATGGCATCCTTGTTTTACTTTTTGAACGACCTGGTGCAGGGCATCAGAGGGACAAATACTACATTTCTCACTGACAAGGAAGTTCCCGGTGCCGATCTCACCGGTAAATGGATCATCATCACTGGCGCGAATAACGGCATTGGGTTCGAAGCAGCAAAGTCCTTCGCAACATGGGGTGCTAATATTATCCTGGGCTGTCGAGAACCCCCCTGAATGGGAGCAACACCCCACAGCTGCGGCTAAAGTGTGCAATGAGATCGCACAGGCCCACGGCCACTCGTCGACGATCGAATGGTGGCCCTTGGATATGGGCGATTTTGAAACCGTGGAGGCATTTGCCCAACGATGGATCGCCACTGAAAACCCTTTGGATATCCTTTGCAACAATGCTGGCATCGCAGTTGCTCCTCTGGATGCCAAAACCAAGGATGGATTCCATCCAGTTCATCAGGTATTTCATCTTTATCCCCATGAAACAGCATAGACACAGCACTGACCTCCCACAGATTAACTATCTCTCCCATGTATTGCTGACCCTACGCCTTCTGCCATCCCTCGCAGAACAGACCCCAGGACGCATCGTCTGCACCACATCATGCTACCACCACCTCGGCACTTACAACGCAGATCTCGACTCTAGCGCAACCCTGCCTGGCAACCAATATCGCGATAACAAACTCTACTACCAGATGTGGCTCACAGAGCTACAGCTACGCCTGCTCAGACATCCCAGCTACAAGGGCATAACCGTGAACGGAGTCAACCCAGGCTTCGTCTCCTCGTCCATCTGGACGGCCGTGAAAGCGGAGGGCGGCCGAAGTCTCCAGTTCCTTCTTAGTTATGTTGCCATCAATCCTCAACAGGGCAGCTTGGCGATCACGTACGCAGCTACCAGTCCCGAGTTTGGACCCGATCCGAAGACACAGGGGATCGGTGCGCCTAATGGGCGTGGAGGCGGTAAATATATCAATCGCATATGGGACGCAGCGCCAAAGCGACATGTTAATGATCCGGAATTGAGGTCGCAGGTGTGGATCAAGACGGCTGAGAAGCTGAAACTTTCGGAGAAAGGTCTCTTGGATGTCTTGGGTCTCTGATAAAGATGTAGTATATTTTTTTATGAACATTAATATTTGTCACACATATCGCCCAACTTAATGCATACCCGAACATCGAGTCGAAGGGATATATGGTTGTGCTGTCGAACGTACTATAGCTTCATTTGTATAACCACATGGGAAAGTAGTATTTGCTAAGTGTGTAAGCCTTTTGTGAAAGACCAGTCGGCGATCTTAGATAACTAGCAGTTGCAAGTACAGAGCTACGTAAATTCTGCTAGAAGCTGGTGGTGGTGAGCGAAGCTATCGAGAACGAAGGACGGCGCTTGATGCCTCAGGCCGTGAATGCGCCTCAACAGATTGTGTCTATAGACTCGACATTTTGAAATTGAACCATGCATCACTAGGGTAAACAAGCTGGTATTGACAAGACACGCTGAAACAGTGAACAGTGAACAGTGAAGAGGCCCGCAGGTGAGATAGGCACCGAAAGCTTTTGGTGCCAGAAAATTAAAAACACTAGGTTTTTTTTTTTTTTGGAAAAACAAAACTTTTCATCGTCATCGTCGTCATCCTCCCCATCCTCGCCCTTTTCCTCGCCCTTCTGGCAACCACCACAGATGGCTACCAAAGGGGAAGGGGGCTGGGTGTACAGCCCGGGGAGACCCAGCGGACGGTCGAAACAGGGGCTCGGGGCGAAACAGCCCCGCGAGGGTGACATAGATCTCAAAACAATCTTGGGAAATGAGCATTCGTCTAGTCGCATATGTTAGCATAGTGCCCTAGTGGAGCGACGGAGACAGATGCTACTTACCGACCTTCAGGAAGTGGAACCTGGCATTCATTGCTTGGCCGAGTATCATGCATGATCCAGCAGATCATCTCGGCTGTCTCTTGGTACAGGATGATTGGATTAGAGCACCGTGCGTGAATCCCACGCTTGACCTCTGCAATGAAGAAACCTTTGTCCTTGAATCTCTTTGAGAAGAGATACCTATCTATTTGGGCCGTCATAGTGTTCTGAGCGAATGTCGCTGGTGCAAACGTGGATCGGGAGGTCATCCAACTGGTGATGTTCCTCCAAATGGAGAGTGTCAGGACATCCAGGATAAACACGAGAGCGAAAATGACGAATTGTTCGTCTCCCTCCGGCAGGGCAGGGGAAATTGTTCGCCCTTTGCCATGCCAGTCTCAACAATAACGTGTTCAGCTCGCCAAATTCCGCGATCTACTGCGCGATCCACGTTTTTCAAGATGCGGACGGTAGGCAGGTTATCAGTCTCATTGTTACCGTACTTCGCTTTGATGATTCGGAGATTGTCTGGGACTTCTGGTATTTTGGTTGCGTTTGAGTCAGTCTTGGTGGGATTAATAGATGCTCGAAAGGATGTAAAGGGAAGATTAGTTCGGAAAGCTGAATCGTCGCGGGGCCTTTCAAGTAGCCTGGCATTATCGCCATCGCACTTTCCTCATAGCACACATCAACAAATGAAACCTAGGAAGCTACTACCCTGCATTTAATTCAAGGAAGGAGCATCCGTCGCATGCATTCTCCAAAGGCATACCTACCAAGGTAGGTACTGCTAGGATATGATCTGTGATACTGATAATACCAATTCCATCTGCAGTTATACGGACACTGTCTTGCGGAACATGAACAAGCTAGTATTCGTAGTACTGTGGCTTAGAACCTCGGAGCAAAAGAATTAAATTCGGAAGGGAAATATTCGGAGTATTGATGCCCAAATATCAGTACCTCCATTGCCGAACATTCTGCCTTTCGGTCCATTAATCAGACTCCCCCTTTACAGGGGTTTCATTAGGAACTAGGAACTTTTCGCATTGAATTACCGGAGTCTTTAGATGCTGAGTCCTCTAGGTCAGTTATTGAAGCATATAAGGCTATTGTGTCCCTGGACGCCTATTGCCGATGTCTAGCTGTGTTCTAATTCCGAATTTGATTTTGTACCGGCCGCAAGTCACGGAAGTTGAATATTGAATAGTTGAACCGGATCAATATCCCTTGGCGTGATTACGAGGCCTGGCTTTATTCCAGTGATTTGAGTGGTCCCCGCTTTCAATCGTGCTGATCCTAGCTGATTATATCTAGATCAATTAGAGTGTCCATAGGTGGAGCCGAGTTTGGAGATGGGGAAATCCGGGGAGTGGAGAGCCGAACCCGGCAGAACAGGTCTATCTCAATTGAATTTCTGAATGTTAGTTTATGAATATCAAGAAGAGTAAGTATAAAAGCATGGCTTTCTTCCGCAGATGTTAGGAGCTTTCTTCAAGCAGTACCAAAGCCTCTCCTGCCCCTCAAAATGCAACTTCCGAGTCTTCTTCGCCTGTCACTGGGACTCATAGTGGCACTGCCAACGCTCGGTGGTGCATTTCCACATGGAGCTACCAGTGAAGCCAAAAGTACATCAAACGATTGCAATCGAACTTGTCTATCCAACATTGTTGAACAATTCTTGGACTCGGTGGTGAAGCATGACCCGTTCAGTCTGCCATTGGCCTCGGTATATAAGGCAACCGAAAACTCGCACGCAGCAGCTCTCACCATGATGACGCTATGGCGCACTGTTACAAAGGTGACCAAGCCCAACCTTTTGGCAATCGACTCCAAGCAAGGCACGGTCTACTTCTCTTTAGACATAAACGAAGGGGGTATTACAAATATCCTTCGTACACGGCTAAAGGTTGTGAATCGAAAGATCACCGAGCTTGAAATATTTGTGAACCGCTACCGCGGCGAGCATGGTTTCTCCTTCTCGGCTGAAGAACTTCCATCCAATTACGCAGTTTTGATGTCTCCCCAGCCAACCGAACCAAGGCAAGTCGGGCAGATTTGACATCTCTCAGCGAGGCCCTTTTTGCTACCTCGAGCGACTTTGGAGTCGCCGTCAGCGATACATGCCAATTCACCGAGATCGGCTGGAAGGTTGTTGATACGGGGGTCTATGCAAATGGCACAACGGACCCACTTGGTTGTTCTTGGCCAGATGCGCACCCTACAGACGACAAAGCACGCGTTGCTCTTGTCATTGACGAGGAGCTGGGCTTTGTTGTTACCAGCGGCATGATTCCGGGTATTATCTATCCCTATCAGAACGTCTCTGCTTTCATCCCAGATGCTATGCCCACTGCGCAAGAGGCACAGGATGTGTGGTATGCCTATGCGCAAGCCCAGGGAGAGGGACCACTTGTGGCTCCTGCTGCAGGAATGGGTGAAACACTTGAAGTGCTGCAGTACTATAATGATGAGTTGCAGGCCATGCAGATCAACGTTTACTTGAACGCCCCGAATGCGACCTCTCTCTGGTTGTAGAGAATTCTGCTACAACATGGGTCAGGCATCCATGAATGGCTTCTGTGGTTCAAGGTCGAGTGATTTGACTTTGCTCCTATATTGATATCCCTTCCAAAATACTAGTATATATGGTCAGACAATGGCAGACACATTGCGAATTGAAGAATCCTTAAAGCTATCCAGCCCGCCTGGTTTGATTAATTTGCTACCCAGTCATACATACCAATAGTACTAGGTATATGCTTGGGGGCCCCTCTAAGTAGTTTCCAAGCGTCCCTTTCCAAGGTTCTGTGTGCCAGTACTAAGGTATAGCAATGAACTTGGAAAATGATACGGTCGGTAGAAACTCGAACTTCATAATTTAAATTGACCAATCAGGAATGCAGTGCAGATATGAGCTCAAGTTCAACTGGTACTCAAGCTATGGTTCTGGATACATTCAACGCCCCGCCAAACAGCACGAGATGAGGATGTTTTGTTTCGGCCTTCATCCTCAGGCACAGTTCCACGCCGTAACCGGCCCGCTTCCGGCAATGTACACCATCAGCTTGAAAATGAACTGGAAACCTCATCGCTCACCGGCTTCTTTTCTTATCTTCCTGTTGTAAATGATCAGCAAGAACCCCAGAGTTCATCATGGTAAGACCACCAGCGCGATCGCCAGAACGCGAAAGTTCAGCACGGCCTTTTAACACCTACTTACATATATTGTGCAGACCGCATACATCGAATACGGGCTGAGTCGACTGTTCGCCAGCGCAAAAGGGCGCGACGCACGCCTCTTCACCAAAGGCCCTGGATTTTCCAAACTTCCCAAGCCCACCATCGAACTTGCATCTGACACAGCGTCTGGATCGCAATTGCACGTGGACCAGTCGGCAGAAGGGGCCGGTCAGTTTCCATCGCTCAGCTGGCCCGCTGCATCCCCCGACACCAAAGAGTTCCTGATTGTTAGCGAGGATCCCGATGCGCCTTTGCCAAGTCCGATCATTCATGGTATCTACTATGGTATCCCAGCCACCACTACCGCTGTCACGAATGCGGACTTCGAGGCTGCGGGCGAGTATGCGTTGAAAGGCGGGTTCCGATATGGCAAGAATCGGCGTGGGAATATCTACGTCCCGCCTCGACCCTTGCTTGGGCATGGCGAGCACAGGTATTTCTTCACTTTGGTCGCGCTCAGTGCGCCTATTGATTGGAGAAAATTGAGTGATCTGCCAACAATACAAGAGATTGCGCAGGCCATTGAGGGTAATGTGGTTGGGTGGGGGGAATGGGTGGGTGTGTTTGAGCGCAAGTGGGATTGATAGTTTTACCCAACTTTAATGCGCAGCTTGAGGCAGCCATGGGCTTTGGGCTTTGGTTGGCGACAATCATTTCGATAAACGTGCGTTTTTCCCAGAGTTCTGATCATGCATTCACCCATAATAAATAATACCCAGATGCTCTTAGTTTCGTAATTAATGGATTTTTTGGACTTGATCCAGACCTTCATTGGCGTGGCTGAACTTCGATGCAACCTGTCTTCCATTTCGCCCTGGACAGTGTCATCTACGTATTACATAATAAGAGAACTCTGGTCTATATTACTACGTATACGACTCGGAGGTCCACGGTCTCGGGTAACTTGACAATTCCAAAGTCCGATCTGACCAGTTTGGTCTGGTCCTTGAAGTCCAACCTTCCATTGGGCAGAACTTGGATACCAAGCCCGTACAATTCAGCCCCATGAAGATGTATCCATTAGGCTTGGTGTAAAAAGCAAGCACATCATCAAGACCAACTTGAACACGAGCGATCGAGAGTAAAGTAAGCCGCTTGATGTACTGTATTCAATACACTTATATTTCATTTCGCACGTCACGCGAGCCCCTCGCCCTGACTATATCGCATTATGAGTTGACAATCAGACCAAGACATCCCAGTACAAGGAACTAAACAAGTACCTCAGCCTCACCTCCTCCAAGGGTCATCGATGAGAGCTCCGAATCCGATCGCAACTTTGAATCAGGGGTAACATTGGAATTCGTCTTCACGCTCGGCCGATTCAGGCGACCAGATAATCCCATCCCAGACAAAGAAAGACCAGGCCCTTATTCTGCCGAGCATCAAGGAAAGTTTACCTGCAGGAGTAGTCTAGATTCCAATACCAAGCAGCCCCATGAACGAAAGAGCATACTCGTATGTACATAGGCTGGACGTCCTGTCCGTATACCCACATGGACCCTTAGAGATCGCCCAGAGCTGAGTTGTCACATCTGTCGGACCCCACAGCCCCCCCCACAAACCCCTTGCAAGGAAAAAGCCAAAAAGCATATTACACGACTAATTAAACAAGAATTGGTAGCGTATCATATTTTTATTTAAGATAAGGGCTCTCCCTTCTGAGATACATCGCATGCGCTTGGGCTTGATGTGGTAATTACCAGTCTGAATGGAGAATTCCGAACCCCTGTCCTGGTGCCTGTGGGTGAACATGCTTCGCGGATTCACTAAAGCAGAGCTACTGCAGAGGACTTTGGCACAGGCATTAAGACAGGTTTTGAGTGTTTACGAGGCCTAATTGGTCGAGGTCGTGGGGTGTTATTTCAGGATTTCAGCTCTTATAAGGAGAGATTCTGCCCGCTGCCAGGAAGAGGTGCCGAGGGAAAGGTTTTTACTAATGTTCTAGATTGGTAGGTCAAGACAGCTGTACAGGATGATGTGGCTTTCATTTTCATTTTTGCTCTTGCTCGTCGTTGGAGATGTTGTTGCCGCTGCCTCTGCTCCTCGCCTGTACAAACATCACGCGTGCGAGCGCAGTGAGGCTGTCGTTCGAAAGGAATGGTAGGTTACACCTCTCCTCTCTCATACCCATGTTGTGACATGCTGATTGTACGAATTGTGTAGGGGAGAGATGCCAGCTGCCGAGCGAATCAACTATACCGACGCCGTGAAGTGTCTGACACGAAAGCCTCCAAGGCTTCCCACAAAGGACTACCCTGGAGTTCGCAGCCGATTCGACGATTTTGTCGCGTGAGTCGCAGCTGTACTCACGAGGATTGATCTTCTAATGCTGACACTAGGATAGCACACATATTAATATGACCCTGAAAGTGCACTACAGTGGTCTATTCCTCCCCTGGCATCGCGGGTTCATCCACCTTTGGGAACATGCACTGCGGGACGAATGTGATTATAAGGGCCATCAGCCGTACTGGAATTGGCCTCTTTATGCGGACGATCTTAAAAATAGCCCTCTTTTCGACTGCAGCAGCTCATCTATTTCTGGCGACGGTGAATACAACCCCGACGAACAGCCGTTATCCGGTGGCAATGTCACAATACCGAGAGGGTCTGGTGGAGGATGTGTGCCAAAGAACTGTGGACCATTTGGAGACCTGGAGGTCCACCTCGGACCCTTCAGCCGGAACATTGTCTCATTGACTGAGCTGCCGGAGCCGAAATTTGAGTATAACCCGCGCTGCCTAAACAGAAGCTTGAATCATTTTGTTGCGTAAGTTGCACCCATGCAAGGTTCGGTTTACATCAAGGGGGTCAGAGCAATTGCTAAAAGAGGGAAATAGCACAAGGTACACCAATGAGACTATTATTCGCAATCTGATGGCAACAACCAACATCACACAATTCCAGACGGCGATGGATCACTGGCCAGCCCGACCGGATGGAGTATTCGGTCTACACGGCGGCGGACATTTCAGTCTCGGCGCCGCGATGCAAGATCTCTTTGCATCACCGCAAGATCCTGCGTTCATGTTGCATCACAGTATGATCGATCGACTGTGGACAAAGTGGCAAGCGGGCGACGAGAAGACTCGGCGATATGCGCTGAATGGCACTACGACCATCCTGAATCCACCGTGGGGCAAGCAAGTGACTCTTGACACAGTCCTGGAATATGGCGTGTTGGATCGACCTCGAAAGGTTCGTGAGGTCATGAATCCCACGTCGGGAGGGATGTGTTACACTTATACTTGATTTATGGATACTTAAGAGAGGCGGGCATACTACTGGAGTCGAGGGACATTGAGAGGGATGAATGGTTATGCCCGAAGTACATACATTGCATGACATAATAGTATAAACGAATCAGTTCCTGCATTGCTGCATTTCCAAGCACTCCCCTCTCACTCCTTTTAGTTACCGACAGCTTATTTGTTTATTTTCAACTTGAAGGCATCGATATTCGGATGCTTCGGGGGTCAGCGTCAAATTGAGTTTGGCGTTAGTAGCGTGCTAGCCAGTCGATAGCGCCGGAGTGACGTGGATCATTTCGTCTCTTATCAAGTTGATTTGAAATTGAGATTCCTGTTTCAAGTTTTTTATGGCGATGGAGCCAGATTGGCGAGTGTTTGTTTATTATTTGGAGTGTGAGCCATGGTAAACGTGAGACCCCCTTTCCCAGCAATCTGAACCCACACACAAGACTCCAGTACCTGGAGAGTACAGGGAAATGCGATGACACCACGACTCGTGCTATTTTGAGATTTTCAGTGAGACGGAGCCAATCAAAAGTGGAGTCTGCGGGTTACGAGGCTTAGGTACAGGCTGTGTCGCCGCATTTGGTGCAACACGAACACGGTGTTGGCAGTGGGGAAGTGAGGGAGGAGGGAAGTGAGAGAGAGAGAGGAGAGAATAAAAAGAGAGAGAAGAGAATATAAAGGGATTCAGAACTCTTCGATAGCAAATGAACACTAGTTCCGTGGAATGTGTCAAAGTCGATCTTGATTGCCGATCCTCGCAAAGCCAAGGAAGAAGAGAACCACGCCACCCGAGGAGCTCTGGACTACTCCATCCACTCGTTAGTTAACTACTTGTGGTTATACTTGTCTTGGTTCTAGCTACTCTAGGCGACCATCGATCCACTTCAACGTCTTTGTTCTTTTTTTTATTTCCCTGTTTTCCTCTTCTTTGTCCATTTCCTTCTCTTCTCTTTTCTCCTGCATCTGCATCTGCATCTGCATCTGCATCTGCATCATCTCAGCTTCCTCTTCCTCTTCCTCTTCCTCTTCTCCCATCCCTCCTCCACCACCTCCACCTCCACTATGCCGCGTCTCAATCTTCTCCAGCTGCTCTTCGTCTCGCTGATGCTTCTATCGCTTGTCTTTGCGACTGAATCTCACGATGACACCTCCCGTGAGTCCCACCAGGGTATCCTGGCTGGTGTCCAAGGTCATTCTAGCAATGCCCTTCATGACGCCCTCCACGCTCTGTCCAACAAATTCCGCGACGGCGTCTTCGAAACTGACCTGAGTGCCGCCGAAGCCCTGGAAAAAGAGGATCAATCCATTGCCAGCCTGGTGAAGTTTGTCAAGCGTGAGAGCAATGCCACTGCCACTCCCGAGCCCACCTCAAGTGCTTCCTCGTCCGATCCCACCACATCCAGCAGTGATACACCCACTACCTCGGACACCCCGACCTCAAGCTCTTCCTCCGACACTCCCACTACTACGAATATCCCCACCTCCACCACAACCAAGTCTACCCCAACCACCACTGAGCAACCCACTACCTCTTCATCCTCTTCATCTTCCACCGCTCCGACCACCACCAGCACCACTTCATCTTCTTCTTCTTCTTCTTCTTCCTCCTCCTCTTCGTCATCGTCTTCATCTTCCCCCAGCTCATCGGCTACGACTCTGTCGACCACAACCAGTACGACTTCTTCGTCTTCTTCTACCGAGACCACCCAAACCACCACCGCCCCAGAAAGCTCGTCTACTTCGGTCTTCAAGGCCACCACCACTTTGCCCAATGGTGACGTGAGCACTCTGACCTCCACCACTATCGTCATGGTGCACCCAACTGGTTCGGACGCAACCACTACTGGAGCCGGTCGCGGTAGTCTGCAAACTGGTGCTGCCGCCTTGCCCAACAGCGGCCTCACTCGCGAGGTGGCTGCCATGGTCGGCGGCGCTATCGTGGTCGCTATGGCTCTGTAAACCTTGAGTTTATATCCAATTCCATCCGGTGGTGGTGGACTTCATCTCTTGATCGCATCTATCCAGCCTATTTCTCGTTTAGCCTATGTTCAGCTCGCATCAGCAATTTTCCTCAATGACGATTGTCATATCACGATCCTTACGACCAACTTATGCCTCTCCTTACTCTATGGCGTTTATTCTTATCACCGTGACCTACAGGGTGTGTTTATTGATATCTATTGTTATCCATCCTACTCCGTTCCACCGGCTGCGGACGCAAAATATCTAAGATGTCAGGATTTATCTCTTGTGATTAGACTTCAGTTTACGGCGTCACATAAATGGAGTTATCTTGGCCTGGCTGGCCATTTATTCTTACCACAATGCTTCAAGTTCTCACAATGCCTCTTAAAAATCATCATAATGTAATTGCAGTTGCACTGTATAATTAGTCGAGGTATATCTTCAAGTATGCAGCGGGGTATGTATGCATGTATGTACGCGCCACAGGCATGACCAGTGCCAACTAAATGAACCAATAAAAAAATCACGTCCAAATATCCATCAACAGGGTTCATGAGCTCTCGTCGCCCTGCCATTGCATTTGAATAGCGAGGAACGGGGAACACAACGAGGATCAGGACCAATCATCTCTCCAATCATCTCAATCATCTACCAATCACCGACCGAGGTTTCCAGCTCCATTCCATCGCTCCTCGTCGGTCCAATATCGCACCACGCTTTCCCACGCAGCGATATCACCATCGCGCAGGAGGGCAGCCACATCGACGTTGAGCGGGGAGTCAGGTTGCGGGTCTGTCAAGAGTTGTTGGATAGCGGTGAGGGTGGACGAGAGCGTGTAGACGGGACTCCAGTGCTCGGTCGTCAGGAGAGTGAGGCAAATCTCGCCAGTCGTGAAGGAGATGTTCGGGTGCGAAATGCGAGTTGTGAAGTGGATTGTTGGCGGGGCGAGGGGGTAGTTTGGAGGAATCGCGATGCGGAGATGCCAGAGGCCGCCTGTAATAGCATTAGCACTAGTTTAGAGTGGAATAAGAGGAGTGTATCGCTGTAGTGGTAGTGCTTGCGCGATTGGATCTACCTACCTTCGTAAGGGGAGCCATTCACGCCCTTGAGAACTGCTTCCCACCGCAAGAGGTCTTCCTCATCAACCGGGCCCAGGTGCAACAGCGACTCATTCGGCGACTTGGTGTAATCCTTCAGCTCTCGCAAGAGCCGCTGTGTGGTTTGACCTGACGGAGCTGCCATGGTGGAATGGAATGTGGCTAGCGCAGGGGAGGAAGGGAGTACGAGTAATGTGTAGGGAATGCGACCTCGGCGAAGTTGGAAGTTGTGGAAGTTGGGGAGGTCAGCGGGATCGTCGCCGAGGCTGGGGAACTTTGCCCCATGTCCATCCATCCATCCATCCCTGGATCACTCCACATGTGAATTTGCATCTCCCATTCCTGTTTCCTGATTCCTGGCAGATTCCACCTTCATCCGAATTCCCACGCATCACCATGCGGACTTCACGGGCCTCTAAAGATACAGCCAAGGTCCTGGAGGCACTGTCGTCCCCAGCGCGCCGCTCAACACGCAACTCCTCGCTCCATCCGAGCGCGCTGCGCAACTTCGCTTTCACTGGTGACTCAAACATCAAGACCGAGTCAATTCCCACAATTGCACGACCCTCCCCTCCGAGAAGTGACGATGAGTCCTCACTTTCCTCCGCCAACACTGCCGACATTGAAGATCTCATCGAGCCCCCTACGAAGCGTCAGAAACGCAATACCAGTCCTCTCCGGCCAACGCAAGCTCGCACACCCCGGAAAGCTCAAGCCCGCCAACCCGTCGTGAAAAAGGAACCGACCGTCAAGGATGACCCGGATGTGAAAAGTACCCGGCCAAGGCCCGGCGAATGCCTGCGCGGAAAACGAGAGACGCGGATGGGACGGTTGTCGTAGAACCCCCGTCGAATTGGGAGACAATGTATAACACCGTGAAGAAGATGCGGGAGGATAATCCCACTGCACCGGTTGATACGATGGGCTGTGCGGAGCTGTACTGGCGAGCATCCTCGCCGAAGGACCGTCGGTTTCAGACCCTCGTCGCACTGATGCTCTCATCTCAAACGAAAGATACCGTCACGGCCGTTGCGATGCAACGATTACACACGGAACTCGGCGAGCAGGATCCACTTATCAAACCGGAAGTCAAATTGGAGGACGAAGTCAAGATCAAGCTCGAAGACGCAGAGGCGAAACCTGAGCCGACAAAGGATAGCACGCTGAACCTGGACAACATTCTCGCCGTATCACCCACGCGCCTCAATGAATTGATCGAGAAAATCGGATTCCACAACAATAAAACCAAATATATCAAATCCGCCGCCCTCATCCTGCGAGACCAATTCGAAGGCGATATCCCGTCCACACCGGAAGGACTCATGTCCCTGCCAGGCGTTGGGCCGAAAATGGCCTACCTCTGCATGAGTGCGGCATGGGGTAAGCATGAGGGAATCGGCGTCGATGTGCACGTCCACCGTATCACCAATCTCTGGGGCTGGAATAAGACCAAGAATCCCGAGGAGACTCGTATGGCGCTTCAATCGTGGCTCCCGCGCGATAAGTGGCATGAGATTAATAAGTTGTTGGTTGGGCTCGGGCAGACCGTTTGTCTGCCGGTTAAACGGAAATGTGGGGAGTGTTACCTTGCTGGGACGAAACTTTGTAAGAGTGAGGTTAGGGGCCTTGCTTCGCCAGTTAAGACGGAGTCGAAAGTGAAGGTGAAGGAGAGTAGCGAGGAACCCAAGGTCAAAATTGAAGTTGTATGATAGGAGGGACTGCCGGTAGTTTCCTTAATTTTGGATATATCACGCTGTATAGTTGTCAGCTATAATTGTTATAATATAATTTGTATCTTACTGGGTATTTCCTTTCAAGTTCCTGACAAGCTTGTTTGGTCTCGTTGATCAAGATCAAGATCTATAAGATGACTAACCCCACCGATGAAGTCACCCCGCCGGATATTTGATAGCTTCTCTTTTATCGCCGAACCACTGCCAGCTCCCTGTCAGTGCAATCCCTTCAGTCACTGCCTCCTGAGGTTTTTCAATGTACATAGAGAATCTCCTATGCCGAAACTACCACCTGTCATATAGCTATTTTCCCTCGAACCTCCAGCCAACACAATGGCTTCCTCAACCCCAATCTCGATCCCCCACTTCGTCGAAACCCAGCTCCAGCTCCTCCTCCTCGAACACGAAGCCGAAGTCTCCTCCTCCTCCCTCGCAACAACAGCTGCGTCCGTGTCTCCAGCTACTCGACGCACATTACAAGCTACAGGCTATGCCTTGACAGGCCTCGTGCTATCACAGTGCCGCACCGGTCTCGGCGGACGCGTTGTCGGCGAATTCGCGCCAGACCCGGCCGTCTCGTCGGGAAAATCGGATAATGATCGCGCATCAGATGGTCAACCTCGACTGGGCTCTCATGGGATTCGGGTTGGGGATGTTGTTCGCGTGAACGACATTTCTGCGGGGAATTCAAAGAAGATCGGTAAAGATAAAGGTAAAGATGGTGGGTCAAAGGAGCAGAAGGATAAGGGTGGCCCCGAGGGTGTGGTTACTCGTGTCAATGATAAAGCTATTTGGATTGCTTTTGGTCAACAAGGGAAAGGGGGTGGGACCTCGAAGGAGGACGATGAAGCTATTGAGGAGCTTTGGGGGAAGAAGTTGTGGGCGTATGTGCTGATCTACGCTACCTTTGCAACTGGGTTGAGTTACTAACGACATTGCAGGATGAAACTCGCCAATGACGTTACATATAGACGGTGCGTTTCTACTCATACAAGAAAAGGGAGTATACTGACTGAAATCCACGCAGAATGAGGCAGACGATGGAGAAGATGGCCAAGATGACTGAATCGGATCATTCACACTTCATGCGCGTGGCTTTCGGCCATACAACCCCTCTACAGCCGGACTATGAGGATATTGGTCCTGTTGAATTCAGCGATCCCACCTTGAATGACTCGCAGAAAGATGCCATCCGATTTGCCTTGGCTTCGAAAGACATTGCACTTATCCATGGCCCACCGGGCACGGGAAAAACACATACTATCATTGAGCTTATAATGCAGATGGTACAGCGTAAAAAGAGAATATTGGTCTGTGGTCCGTCTAATATCTCGGTCGATAATATCGTTGAGCGACTGGCGCCGAAGAAAGTACCGGTTGTACGAGTCGGGCATCCCGCCCGCCTTCTCCCTTCTGTCTTGGAACATTCCCTCGAAGTCCTCACGCAGACATCGGACGCTGCCAGTATTGTCAAGGATGTCCGTAAGGAGATCGACGACAAACAAGCTAGTATTCGCAAAACACGAACGGGACGGGAAAGAAGAGCGATCTACGACGACCTGAAACAATTGCGCAAGGAATTCCGGGAACGAGAGTCTAAATGTGTGGATAATCTCGTTCGGGAAAGTAGTGTTGCTGTTGCTACTCTACACGGCGCTGGTGGACACCAATTGAAGAACCAAAAGTTCGACGTGGTGATCATTGACGAGGCCAGTCAGGCGCTGGAAGCCCAGTGCTGGATCCCTCTGATATCTGCGGACAAGGTTGTTCTCGCGGGTGATCACTTGCAATTGCCTCCTACTGTCAAATCGACGAATTTGAAATCCAAGCCTGGTGCAGAGAAGAAAGACGATGGTCCCAAGAAAGAAATCCTGAAGGGTGTCTCCCTCGAACGAACCCTCTTCGATCGGCTCTTGTCACTACATGGCTCGGATATCAAGCGAATGCTGACCACCCAGTACCGCATGCACGAGAAGATCATGCGATTCCCGTCCGATGAGCTCTACGAGTCGAAACTAATGGCCGGTGATGCGGTCAAGTCGCGATTACTAGCAGATCTTCCATATGAAACCCAGGGTACGGATGATACACAAGAACCCCTCGTATTCTGGGACACTCAGGGTGGAGACTTCCCCGAGAAAGTTGAAGACAAAGAAATCGGTCAGAAGGAGGCCTTACTTGGTGAAAGTAAAAGTAACGAGATGGAGGCTATGGTGGTCGCCCGACATGTGGATAATCTGGTGGAAGCGGGTATCAGGCCTGAAGATATTGCCGTGATCACCCCATACAACGGGCAATTGTCGGTGTTGTCTCAGATGCTACGAGAGAAACACCCAGGCCTTGAGCTTGGCAGTGTGGATGGATTCCAGGGTCGTGAAAAGGAAGCCGTCGTCGTGAGTCTAGTCCGCAGCAATGCGGAACATGAGGTGGGTTTCCTTGGCGAGAAACGACGTCTGAATGGTAAGCTTGTCCCTGCCTAGTCTATACTCCGTGGCTAGCCATACACCTACACCTACCTGATTCATGCGACCCACGTACCGTGCATGGCGAGGCTAACGCGGGGCTATTGTTAGTGGCTATGACACGCCCCAAGCGGCATCTTTGCATCTGCGGGGACTCTGACACGATTAGCCGGTAAGTTTTGAGTTGGAACGTCTGTGCATTTTGTGATCGGTCTTGAGGTTAATGAATATTCTTGCCGTGTTGCAGGGGTAGCGGCTTTCTCAAACATTGGATGGATTATCTGGAGGAAAATGCCGACTTGCGATACCCAGACGCGGGCGATCTTCTCTAGACCATAGCCAGGGAGGGACGGTCGTCGGCAGCGGATCAGTACAGCACAGCGCACAGCAGAGGGATATTGATCCCAATTAGAGATACTGTAACAATGACGGTGCCCAACCAGATTTCTTGGCCCCGGGAGGGAAAGGCAGATGATCGGGAGTACCGTACTGTACACCCATAGCCCTAGCCATAGCCATAGGACACCGGACAAATCCAGCTCGGATGTCCGGTAGATTCTTTGAACGGAAAACCCCCCTCGTCCCGAAAAAGGGTGCATCGAGCCGTGTCGTGCGAGACACGCAGGCGGTGAGAACACGAGAACGTTTCAAGACACCCAGCCAGCCTCCACTGGAGATCCAGAGATCCCGCCTGAAGGAAGATCTCGCGGAGTCGTCGGAGATGGATTACTGGAAGCGGTGCAGCGTGAGGGGCAGACCGGCCAGAACCAGTGGCCATGACCTCCCGATCCGCGAAGGGAGGTAGGAATGAAAGAGCCTGATGACACGACACTCTTGAGCTGGCCATGGCAATGGCAATTGCGATTCGACCGAGAAGAAAGAGGTTAATTGTCTTCGTGGCACTTTGGCGTCTCACATATTCAGCTGAGCTGTTAGGCACCGTCTTGTGCAACCGGCAGTCTTGAACTTCCAACAGTTAAAACGTCTGTGCGGTGACTGGGATCCTGCGATCAACAGCGTACCATGTGGTGTTTCAGACCGAACATGCAGCTACCTCGTTCATGGTCCTCCGATGACGAGGGGGGCGAAGAATGAACGCCTCTTCCACGGGGGCAGCACCAAGAAGCTTATCCTAGGAGTGCCCTCGGGGGCCAGTCAGGGGTGATCGCTGCTTTTTCGGGGGCAATTCTGGATGCAGCTGGAAGCAGTTCAAAACGGCCGTTCATCTGGGAGGTCCACTTAGTCTCGGCTCGTGGGTCCAGCACGGCATTCGTTTGAAATGAGGGCCACCGTTCGGTCGTCGTCTGATTCGGTCGGGAGGACTCCCCTGGGTCTGGTTGTGGTCCCCTTATCGAGTTCCAGGCTTTTTATTTCCTTTTTCTTTTTCTCCCCCTTGGACCTGAGAACGGGCACTGGCGATTTAGGGTTGGTGGGAGGGACAAGGCTACTCCGTGTTCTCCCAAGTTTGTCCACTTGGTGTGGTGTAGTGCTGAACTTTACGGGCGTGCAACCAGATTTATAAGAATCCCAACTAAACTTGATTCAACACTGTGGGGTTTTGGGTCTAACGCTGGAGCAGCTTTGCTTTTTCTCGTAACCTTGTCTTCTCTCCCTCCTCTCTTCTCCTCTTCCTAAGGTTGTTTTCTCTTTTCTCCTTATCTTCAGAGCTTCCTCTTCTTTTCTACCTACATTCATTACTATCGACACTTTCTCCCTTCTTTTTACATTGTTTACATATTTCCCGATCATCTCATCTCATCCGTGGTTCCAAGGTTCCAAACTGTTCATTCCCGAGACTGGCAAACGCCGCAACCGTGGAACTGGAACTGGAACTGGAACTGTGCCTTCGCAATTATCAACTATGATCCTCAAGATACCCTTTCAACTTTCCGTGAGCTTTCGTTTGTACTCCACATTTACTACTGGACCTCTTGCTAATTACCGTTTGAATCCCTCCAGTTCGTCTCGATCGTCTCACGATTCGACTAAACAGCTCGATATCCCCTAGCCTTGTTCCGAATCGTTCACCCGCTGCGCGGCACTGCTTTATACCCAGTCCTTATTATTTTTCTTTTCTTTTCTCGACACTCGCTCTATTAAGACTCGCCTTTTTACATCCTTCCTTTTCTCTTCATTCCCTCGCCATTCTCTCCGGGGTTCCCTTTTTGCGACGACCTGATACCCACGTGCTGCGACGATATTTCCCTCCTAATGATCATCGTGGTGGACCTTCTCAACCAATATTGACCCCCATTCTTCTGACTCGCCATGTCGAGATATCCAACAAGGTCGATCGCCAGTGCCGGGAGCGAGTCGATCGGTAGTCATGGAAGTCCTCGCCAACGATCGTCGTCCGCGCGCGGAGAACGCTTCGCTTCGAACCCTGCATCCTTTTCGTTGGAGACGAACCAATATGATACCGCCCTACCCCCGATCAACTTTCACCACGCCCCGCTCGCACATCGCCGAACCGGCAGTACTTTAAAAACCGTGATGCGGAAGATATTCAACAGGAAAAGGCAGAGTCAGACAGATGGTGTGGAGGAGAGCCCGATCGAGTCCTACTATTCTCCCTCTACCGGGCGCCAGTCGAATCCCGTCGAGGGGAAATCCTTCCTTGCGGTTCCTACACCCTCGGAATCCAAACGGAGCAGTCCCCTGTCGGAGGAAAATCTCAATCTTGCGGAAACTCATCTCTCTCCTACCTCCTTGAGCCATGACTGCTTGACTTCAGGTGGAATAAGTGGGGTGGCTTCGCGGAGGCGGCGGGCGACTCTGCCCAGTGTGATCTTTTCAGACGATGAATCTCGTTATGCAGTTGCTTCGGCAATTTCAGACCCCCACGAGGATCGACCGCATATGTCCGACCCCCAATTAAGGCGCAGCATTCTTCAAGAGCGACGAAGATCGAGAAGTACGGATGCTCTGCGGGAAATGGTTGTTGAGCGACCAATGTCGGCTACAGCCTTGCCGACTTGGACGACCTCAGCGCCAACTCCCGCGCCAGAGACTAGAACTTCCCCTCTTGAAGAGAGCACAGCGAGCGACCCCTCTGCTAGACCGTCTACCGGGACAACAGTGACTAGTGTCACTCATGCGTCAGCCACACCATCCTCGTCGAATCCGATCAACATGCGGAGCAAATGAGCCTTCCGCCCAACATGAGCAGTCTAGTTCACAGTATGCAACAAGACGCCGGTCTGACTGTTGAGCAGCGCCTGAATACCATCGAAGTCAAGATGATCGACTTGGAATTCGCTATAGCTCGGATGCAAAGCAGCTCGGCTGGTTCAAATGAGAACCCGCACACAGAACGATCATCTCGACAGAAGCAAACCCCATCTGCCGAGTCCCTCACTCCTAATCTGCGCAATAAAACTTCTGGGCTCACCGGATCACTTGAACGTGATGAATCCCCGAGTCCCCTGGCAGCTCTGCCAACAGTGCGACCAGCAAGCACCAGCACCATTCGCCCCGACACAATGAACTCCCGCATCCTCCGACCCGCCCCATCCGCTACATCCTTATCTGACTTCAACGGTGTTTCCATCGAGCAATACAGTACCTTGGTCACACTTCTTCGTCGCGAACAAACAGCCCGAAGGAATCTCGAAAGCCAGGTTGCCGGCCTACGGGATGATCTCCGCCACATCCAGCGCGCGGCATTACACTCAATGGAGCTCGGCACAATGTATCCAATCCACAGCGTTGACTCGCAGGAATTCCTTCGATTCCGCCGAGCTCTAGACGACTCGGATTCATCGTCGCCTATCCGGCCGGACGAAAAGCATAACATTGCTTACGATAATGCCTCGGACTGGGATCCACATGGGCATGTTGATGATCCATTTTCTCCACCCAAGTGGGAGCATGGACAGCGAACAGTGGCCCCGTCCATGATTTAATTTCTTTTCTAAAATTGCCGGATCTCGCTTATCTTTCGGGGCTTCTGTCTTTAATACGCGCTTTTTGACGGCAGTATGTACTTGTGTGTCAAGTATATCTCTGAGGCCCTGGGTGGCAGCCGCTCTGCATCTGCCCTTTTCTTGATTTCATTCGGTGCTGAAATTGAGATTTGTCTTTCTCACCTCCGACATCTTCCACTGAGTTCCACCTCCAGAACACCGTCCGACAATGGACAAGTATCTCTCATCAGAAAGAGAAAGGACATCCAGATCCCTCTGTTCTGACTTCGAGGAGGGCATCTATGGAATAACTTCCACCTGTAACCGCGGCAGGATCGCGATTTTCTTCGACAACATAATGACTATTCATTACAATACCACTTTTGACATATGTATTGACTCAATAAACAATTCATAAATATTATCTATCAACCCCGATTATACTAATTCCAGCTAGGCAATGTGTAAATACGAGTAGAAAGCTTGTTGGGTCGATGGTGGGTCTTGGGCCTCGCGCGTGATGAAGAACTCAAAATTGTAAAAGGGGCAAAAGGAGGCTGTCCAATGCGGCTTGGCTGCCTTGAATCAAATATACAATACTGAAGTACATTATTATACAACAGATAACTATTCTCTCCTGGCATGTTGCCTTGCCTGAACCCGGTTATTCTCCAGGGCTGCAATGCTCCCCTCCGCTCTGTCCTCGTATTAATTCCCCGCGGTGATAAGCAACCCCGCAATCATGGAATTTCCAATGATCATTTGCGGTAGAATGTAATTTCCGTGTCCCCGCCTTAATGCATTTCACTTTCAAATCATCCCTTCAACCCGTGGACGGAAAATCAACTGAACGCTTCTCCTTAAAATTCCATTACTACACCCACAGGGCTAGCTATGGGTTCCCCCTCAAAAGACTTCACCGTCACCATCATCGGCGGTGGAATAGGCGGCCTAGTTCTGGCAGCAGGCTTACTCCGACGAAATGTCCCTGTACGCATATACGAAGCCGCGGGCGAATTCGCAGAGATCGGCCTAGGACTCTCAATTGGACCTGCAGCTCATCGCGCCATGCCGCTGATCGATCCTCAAATCCGTGAAATTTACGATTCCCTGGTCACCACACATGCTGATAGTCCCGGCTATGAGAAATTTCGACAGACCTGGTTTGAGATCATTTGGGCTAGTGGGTTGAATGAGGGGGATCTTTTGATGGATTTGAAGGCGCTTCCGTCTGGTCAGACTACCTTGCGTCGGGCGAATTTCCTTGATGCCCTTGTTAGCTTGATCCCGCCTGAGATTGTCCAGTTTGGGAAACGGCTGGAGAGTCTTGTTGAAGGGGGTGATGGCGTTCATCTACGGTTTGATGATGGGACGCTTGCGACTGCTGATGTTGTTGTTGGTTGTGATGGGATCAAGTCGAAGGTGAAGGAGTCAATGTTGCCGGAGGAATCACAATATGCCCAGCCAAGATATAGTGGTATGTATGGTTATCGTGCCGTGCTGGACATGGAGGATATGGTGAAAGCAGTTGGGGATCAACGTGCCAGGGTATCAACGATGTATATTGGAGACGGGGCTTATGGCATTTCATACCCTATTATGCGTGCCCAAAAGGTAAATGTAGGGCTTTACGTTCTGAGTGAGAAGTGGGACTGTGATACCTGGGTTCGTCCTGCAAAGCGCGAGGAAATGAAGCGTGATGCCGAAAGGATGGGCCGATATGTGAAGTCTCTCGTTGAGGTATGTGCCAGTGGCCAACTGCTATATTATTTATCAACTATCCAGGCTGATTCAACTACAAGTACATGCCCGATCCCTCACAATGGGCTATCTTCGAGCATCCGCATATTTCGACATTCTGCCGCTCACGAGTAGCGATCCTCGGCGACGCTGCCCATGCTTCTACTCCACATCAAGGCGCCGGCGCCGGTCAAGCTATTGAGGATGCCCATGTTCTTTCTGAGTTACTCGGCGATGCTCGAGTTCAATCTACGGAGCAAGTTGTGGCCGCATTTAATGCGTATGATGAGATCAGACGGCCACGTAGCCAACGGGTTGTGACGAGCAGTAAAGAAAATGCTTACCTTCTTTGTCTGTGTTTAGACGGTGTACATGATGACGAGGATAAGCTTAAAACAACGTTCCAAGAACGCTTGCGTTGGCTTTGGGATTTGGATGTGGAGGGTCAGGTAGAGCGAGCACGGGAAAAGATGTTGGAATATCTTTCAGTTTGAAGATTGAATGGAATTATAGCATGATACTACTAGTATTATTAGCGCAACTAAATCCCACTGGTATTATACAATGTCTATTAACATGATTGGCTTGGCATTAGAATGAATTCCTAACTCAAGAGTGTATTTTATATGTCTCTGGTATCTATTCACGAGCCAATGGTCTTCCTCGCTAATAACTGACGCAACCTGCATACTAGGCACATATGATCACTGCTCATTTTTCAGCATGCGCGCGAAGTCCGAGTCTATTTCTAAAACGAGGGGTAAATACCTAGGTACGTATCCCTGCACAGCCCCACCACAAGATCAAGCCAAGGTGCGGAGAAATCATCCTTCAGTTACACTCGGATGATCGGCAATGCAATTTTAATGAAGACCGTCAGCTTTGCAGTTTATGCTGCCTCGGCCTCTGGATTACTTCCTCGGTATTAATAGGCCCCCATCTTATCCTTGAAAGAGCAAGCTAACCTTTATCACCCAGAACTCACTCATAATGGCAAATCTCGAGATCAGTGATGAGAAATTTGGAAATATTAAAAACAGCGTTATTTTGATTACTGGTAAGATAGTCCATTCCCTGAAAACTAATACGTGCTCACTGTTAAGGCGGATCCTCTGGTATTGGAAGGTCTACCGCTCAGCTGTGTCTTAATCTCGGCGCAACTGTTGTTGTTGGCGACCTAAATGCCCCTGACCCCGAACTTGAAAATGCGGAAAGGTTCAAGTTCTTGAATGTCAATGTGACAGATTGGGAAAGCCTTCGATCCATGTTTGATGAAGCAAACAAATTGTTTGGTCGAATTGATCATGTCTTTGCCAACGCAGGCGTAGGCCCGACGACCGAGTAAGTTCCCCTAGAACCCGATACATGAAAGCTCGACTTAACATACCCCAGCTTTTTGGACGTTACTCTTGACAAAAATGGGCAGCTCGAGCCCCCAAAACTTAGAACCATTGATATCAATCTTCTAGGGCCAATCTATACTACCAGATTAGCGTCAGCTTACATGAGCGAACTTGCAAACCAACGTCCTGATGGGGCTGGTGGTAGCATTGTTCTCGCGGCCTCTGCTTCATCATTCCAGAATTTCTCCGCTGGAGATTATACCATCGCCAAACACGGAGTTCTAGGCATGATACGTGGTATGGGTTCTAAGATCCAGGAGAAAAATCTCCGCTTGAATGCAATTGCGCCCTCCTGGACGGCCACCGGGATTGTTCCTGGGAATATACTTCAATCATTGGGTGCTTGTGTACAAAGCCCGGAGGTGGTCGCTCGGAGCGTTGTATTGCTTTTTGCAGACCCAGAACGACACGGCGAGGTTATCTATAGCTGGGAAGGCCATTATAGAGAGGTTAATAAAACCGATGGGGGACTTCTAGCCAGTGCCAATGCTATGCTGAAGAATGCGGACAATGAAGAGCGGGTGATGATCAAGATCAATGAAGCAGAGCTCTACCACAAATAAGAGGGTTGGATAAAGCAGTCCAGATCTTACCTATATCAGCGATTCGTATCACTAGCTGAAGTCTTTTAACAAGATCTTGAGAATTTGTACCGCAATTAGGGTTGAAAACTATATTAGTGATCACTAGAGAGTTCAAAATAGGGACCATTTGTCAGGATTGTGTGTGTAAGCTTCGCACTATAACTGGCCCAATGTGATCATTGTACATCGCTCACCCCCTCCTTCTCCACATTCGGGTACATGATTCAGGTTAACCGATCGACTTAATTAGAGGATAAATACACCCCGATCTTCGCCAGAAATTCGTAGTCCAAGAAACTTCGCAACCCTATTTTCAAATCTCTAGTTGTGAAATACAAGATGCCTAGCTTTGCACTCCATCAGCCCCCAGGACGTGAGCTCACTGGCGGTGATATACTCGCACAGTCCCTCAAACACCTCGGCGTCGAGGTTATCTTTGGGCTTCATGGTGGTCATCTAGATGCATTTCTAATGGGGTGCGAAGCTATCGGTATTCGGCTAGTTGATACCAGACATGAGACTGTAGCTGTTCAAGCAGCAGAAGGCTACTCTCGTGCAAGCACGAAACCGGCAGTCAGTTTTGTGACTGCGAACAGTGGGTGAGTATGCTTCTTGAATTCTATTCTATGCCAAGCTGACAATTGAATAGCTTTTCGAACGGACTTCCCGGCTTAGCGACAGCATATGGTGACCGGAGCCCAATTCTTTGTATAACTTCCTCTCCTCCGATTCGCGACACCGAGAACAATTCTCTTCAAGGCTCAATCGATCAGGTTGTTGCAGCTCGACCTTTCACCAAATTCGCCCATCGTGTAGTTGCAGCCGAAGAAACTCCACGCCTTGTATCCCATGCTCTTCGAGTCGCTCAATCTGGAGCACCAGGTAAGCTTGAGGATCTTATTAGATATGCATCTCACTAAAAGTCTATACAGGTCCTGTTCTCCTTGACTTTCCGATCGATATTCTTTTCTCGCCGGTTCATTCGAAATTAATCTCTTGGGGTTCAATCGCCTCGCCGCGCTCTTTTCCTCCGGCTCCGCATGAAGCTGCAATTGAAGCTGCAGCTGAGCTTTTAGCCCAGGCCGAGCGACCTGCGATTATTACTGGAACTGGTGCAAGGAGCCCCCCAGGTGATCACCGTCTTCTAATTCTGGTCCACTCTGCCCAAGGCTAACCAGCTTCTAGGCACGCAAGGACCTTATCAAGTTTGCTGAATCTTGCAATGTCCCGATTTTCAATACCTCCAAGTTCGCAAGCTATAGTCCTCAATCTAGAATGCTTGCTAATGGGACTGCGGGAACACTGGCGAAGCTCCCTTTTGTGCAACTCGCGCGTCCAGATCTTATTATTTTGCTTGGTACTCGGACTGGAATGTTCCTTGGGGGTCGCAGCTCTGCTATTATCCCCGAAGAAAACTGTAAGCTTATTCACATCGACTGCGATGGAAGTGACATCGGTCGAACCCTGCCAGTTGACCTTGGTATCGTGAGTGATGCTGGGACTTTCGCTTCCGCGCTTTCGAAGAAAGTTGGAGAGTCCTTTCAAAGTAGTGTGGACAGATCGTGGGTCCGGGCTGTACTCGACTTGGCTTCTGCGGAGTCACCATTTGAGAAAGAAGCCGAGGAAACAAGCTCCGGTCGTCTGCATCCATACCACGCCGTGAAAAATGTCATTTCGGCCCTCGAGCCGGGCAGTATCATTGTTCTGGATGGTGGCGAGGCATCAGCTTGGGTGGGTGATAATGCGTGGCGATCCAAGCCAAGCCTGGTGATGACAGCAACAGGATACCTCGGTTTCCTTGGGAATGGTTTTGGATATTCACTCGGCTTGGCGATCGCTGCCCCAGAGCGAAAAGTAGTTAACGTGCAAGGTGATGGATCTGCTGGGTTCCATCTAATGGAGCTCGACACATACAAGCGCTTCAACCTCAACATCATGACTGTCGTGGTAAACAATTTCCAATGGGGAATGAGTATCAATGGGCAGGACTTGGTATATGGGACGGAACATCCAGCACGACCTGTCAGTTCTCTCAGTTCTGGAACCGAATATGACGTCGTAGCTACTGGATTGCAAAATGCGGCTGCAAAATTAGCCCGCATCACGGATATCCAAAGCACAGTCTCGAAGCTCCAATCCCAGCCAGGGCCGAGTTGTATTAATCTACTTGTGGATCACAAGCCGGTCCATCCAATTACGACTGCAATGGTTGGGCTTACGGATGATCCAAATTATGTGGTCGTCCCATACTATGATAATATACCTCGGGCGCACTATAAGATCTAAGGAGACCAGAGATAGTATGTTTTGGGCGGTCTTAACTCGCGGCACATGTCAGAAATACAATTCAGATCCTGATCTCTTTCTCGATTCAGAGTCCCATGGAACATACTAGTATTTCTGTCAGTAACCAGGGTTGTCACCAGTGTTAATGCCTTACACAGATATCATCTGTACTTAGCTTTCGTTTCCTCCTCCTCTCCCTCTTCTCCTCAAGCTATTACTTTGGTCGAATCGCTACTACACATTGCCTGGTATCAACGTATGTCTGAACCTGCGAGTATCTGAGCGTCCTCACAGTTTCTTGTTGGCTAAACAATGCCCAACTTTGCTATTATGACTTCAAGTTCTGGCAATAATGCAAATCTGATCGAATGGGGACCACAGGCAGCTCTCTTGCTGAAATTCCTACCTGAGAAAAGGTTACTATGACTATATGATTTGGGCCTGACGATCACTTAATCAGGTGCTGTGGTCCAATGGTTAAGATGACTCGTTGTGGCCGAGTTGGTCCCGGTTCGATTCCGGGCAGCGCCAATTGTTCTTTTTTTTTGCTATTTTTGATCACTCGGGGCTTTTTGATCTAGATAGTTGGGTTTTCTATTTCTTCTTTTCCCCTATTTATTAATTTTTGTCAATACTACCATGTATGATATTTCATTCTCTGACCCTTATACCTGGAATCACTATAGAACCATGGAATTATCCTATTGGCTGGAACATGAAAATGGTCTCCCAACAGAGCCTGAGTCAAACTTCTGGATCTAGAAAGACTTGTTAGCTTTATATTCATAATCAAATCTAATGCCACACTTACCATTCCAACAATACTCGCGTAGGTACCGCATCCAAGTACAGTGATACCGATAAGGAATACGATGCCGTTGCAAACAGCGCTTTGGATGTTTTCACGATCGTACCAAGAGCCTTCTTTGAGGAGAACAAACCACATAACAGGTGGGAGATAGAAAGAAAAACCAGAAATAAAGAGTGCTCCAACCAGGGACAGTAACTCCGAGAAGAAAGGGATAAGTTCAGCGATAAGCCATGCTGCGAGAGTAATAATAGTGACAGCTCCAAGCCATGTCGCCCATCCCTTTTTAGTGTTGATATACTGCACTACACTGTCTTTGTAGATATGGCCATGTATATAACGACAAAGCACAGTTGTACTAATAGACCCCGAGATGAAAATGACTGGCAAGGCAATTCCGAAAACGATTCGGGATATGGTTGCTCCACCAGACAGAAGTGCTGGCGATTGAACATACTGACCGACATTCCAATAGATAATAGCGCCCGTTAGGGTGTAAACCACAATTTCTGTCAGTCCTAATGCCCAAATGGCTTTCTTGAAATCTTTTGGTGTATGCATTTCGTGCATCACAGACGGCTGTGCAACTGCAAATGAATATGAAAAGATAATACTGCTCACTGAGACAAATGCTTCACTGATAGTGAGGTTTGGCTTTGGCCAGGCGGACCATTCATTTGCGGTATCGGCATCCATAGATCCTCTTTGAATACCAGTAGCAATAATTGTGACACCGATAGCCAGAATAATCGAGGCGAAATCAATATAGGCTAGAAAGGCAAGCTCGGCGAATGAAGGTGGAATGGCCAGTAATAACAGCAAAATAGCCGAGATAACAGAAAACACCACTGAGCAGATACTACTCTGCGTAATAGTGGCAAGGGCAATGGCGCCAGTCAAGCAGTGCGATCCAATAACAAGTATCGCGCCGGTAACAAACATAAAGCCGACGAGTATAGCTCCAAATCCACCCATCATGAGGCGTCCAATGTCAACATAGTGTGCAACTGCTGGAAATTTGAGTTTCACCTTGCCAATGACGAGACTTGTATAGATTGCAATAAACCCGATACCGACACAGACAAGGACACCTGCAACCATGCCGAGGGATGCGAAAGCAGCAGGCAAGCTAAGACTACCTAAAGCGATTGCGTTGATGATTAGGATTATCGTCAGACGTTTCCATCCTAGGCGATGGAAGTGGGCATCTCCCGCGATGATCTTCTGCATTTCCGGATTATCTCTTATGACATCCGTTCCTTCGGACATGACGCCAATGGAAGCTGTGGCATCCGGATCAGTGTTGCTCTTCTTTTCCAAGAATTTTTTGTCGGTGCAAGACTCGCCGCAATTATTCATTCTGTGAGAATCTTCTTGTATTTCGCAAGTGCTTTGTCGATGATTTGAGAGAGTCTCCATGGGATCGCTTGACCTGTAGTTATTTCTGGAAGACCGATAACTAGGAGAAATTTGGTCGGTTGAGTTCAGAGAATTCACGATAATCATAATCTTCAGGGGCGCCAGTAATATACCCCTTGCCTCTGGGGTTACACAAGGCTCGGGATAGCGCCGCAGGACTACACATTTTCTGGCCAGTGTGGAGGAGTGCATGCATAATATTGGACCCGTATTTGAGATACCCAGCCAATATTTCTCCTCACTGAACTCCCTAGTTACATGGGCACTCAGCCGTTTTGATACTGTAAAATTGCAATGGCTGCGCTAATGCACACTAAAAGGGATCCTCCACACTGGCCAGGGAGTGCAGTGTGTATTCTGGTTTCCGAGATTATGAAAGACTCCTGCTTACCACCTCGATTAACAATATTTAAGGCATATAGACCTTGGGAGACAATTCAATTTTGACATAAAAGCGATGGATTAATTTAGACATCGCATTACCCGCATATTTCCTTACGATTGGCCGTTATCCCCGCTCTATCAGGATGCGGCTGAAGACGAACTTAAGAGCTAACTTCGCGTTAGTTTATTCATATCATAAGATACGGGAACTACAATACCTATATCTATGAATATTCTGTAGGCTAACGCCCTCAACATCAATAGCTGGACCGTCTCGCCACTAGTATATTGGACCAATACAGCGCACTTAACATCTTGTCTCTCATAATCACCACTTTAAGCATCAAAGAGTAGGGTAGGGTGATACTTGGCGTATCACTTCCGCGAGTTTAAATGCTATAAGAGACGTTCAAAGCACTAATTAGATAAAAACATCCTTCCTACACATCTTAATATTCTAGCATGATACCCGCAGCGGATATTGGACTGCATGGCTAGCTCGACCAAGCCATTTTCGAAAGTCTCTCCATATTTTCCAAATTGAGTCGTTAGTTTGTGATCGCATTCCAAGACTGCAATTCCTAGAGTCGCATTCAAGTTTCTGACTGCTGTTACCTGCGAAGAGATCGTAGGGGCTCGTAAAAAGCCTATCAGCATAATTTATAAGGCGGTTAACAGCTCAGTACAATGAAGAACCATGATCGGACGTTAAAGTATCGCATTTGAATGAAATCCTAAGTATGGAGAGGAAAGCTAGATACGTCTTGAGTGCATGCGGCCTTGGTATATCATTTCTTTGGTCTCCACGTTGGCATCACACTCCCACTGTATGGAATAGTGGTGACATCGGCGGGATGGGTGGATTGTCGTAGCAATTTGCCAATAATGACAAGCCAAGCGAAACTGAAGACCCGCTTCCTCATCCCGCACCTCCCTTTTCAGCCTCATCGTTTCTTTCACCACTGTCAACAACTACCTTGATAATCCTTCCACCAGAATGTCTTCCAACAAAGGCTACGATGTCACCGGCTCCGGCACCAACAGCCAGGTAGGCTACACCGAAGCCTCCCATTGAGTTCTACATGCACTTCCCGTGGCATCCGACCAAGCAAGGACCAGCCGTCGCATACTTTCTCTGCAGGTATAGGATATAATATGTGAGACTGATCACGACCGGGGTAACCATTATTGCTCCCGTGACTACGGTTCGAGCTCCTCCAACTCCAACAGCTATCACTACTTGAACACGTAAGATCAACTACTTGCTCACACCTCCTAGATTATTATTCAAAAGCGCTTACTTTATTTCTTACTCGCAATAGCTCTTACTACTACTCCAACCTGAATGGTAGCACGTACTATAACAATGGAAGCGGTGGCTCGACCTACACCCCTTCAGGCTCGGGCTCGGGCTCAAGCTCGAAAAAAATAAATTACGGGAGGGAAACCACATTTGCGACGGTTGGAGAGGGAAACAGTTGGCTTAACCTTTTCAATTTTTTAATATACAACAACTGATGTAGTAGCTTAGGTTAGTACTAATTCCATCTGCAGTGGTGTAGACACTGTCTTATAAAACCTGGATAAGCTAGTATTCGTAGTACTACAGCATAATCTTGGAACTAACATGGGAAATGATTGAATTTGGAAGGGAAATATTCAGGAATGAGTGATCGAATATGAGGGCAATGGTATGTAGGAAAGTGACTCAGCCCTTCGGCTAGCGTATCAGCGTAAGAGAACAAGACCTTTGGAAGGTGTGAGGATGCCCAGATACTCACAGAGATCAAGATACGACGTAGCGCAACAGGCAAAGGAAGTAGTAGCGGTTTGACGAAGTAATAGCTCGAGGAGAAGAAGAAGGGAGCTGAGATGGAACTAGATACATGTAGGCATGGATGACTAGTTGATGCCGCAGGCATAAGGCATCCACGAATGGTAAAAACCCCAGTTCAAGTTGGAAGCAAGATATCAATACATCGGAACAGGCCTAGATCATAACATTTCTCGGAGAATACCTCGCCAACGGCCATTTCAAAAGTAGGCCAGCCATTCCTGAAAACGAAACCTATCCAGAGTGATCAAAGATAGTAAAAAAAAAAAAGACAATTGGCGCTGCCCGGAATCGAACCGGGACCAACTCGGCCACAACGAGTCATCTTAACCATTGGACCACAGCACCTGATAGGTGTTGACCGAGAACATATTAAGTGTGATAGCCATACTTGAGCTGGCAATATCACTCTGAACTATCACTCTGAACTCAATACCTGAAGCTTGGAATAATTTCATCCGTTGGTCAATCAAACCTCTCCAAAAGGTGATTCTATCAGAAAACCAACTCAGGGAAAAGTGGCTAGATTACACCGTTCACTGGCTTTTTTCGCTTGTGCTAGTATGTACTTGTGTGGTAAAATACTAAGCGATAGATATTGGTCAAGGTATTTTGAATTCTAGCCGGTAGCCCAATAGAAGTATACAGTATACACAGAGTATCAGGAATCAAAGCGAAAATAGTGACAAGAAAGCCAAAGACTACTATATACGGGACCCTACCCAAAGGTCTCAAACTCCACCTGTCTTCAGTGGATCTTCCAAGGACTCTTCAATCTTAGAACATGCTACCCGAGTTGGAGTTAGACACACCACCGTTGGCAGTAAGGGTTGCAGCATATGAAGCATCCGAGTCGTGGCTAGCGCTGGTGTTGATGCCCAGAGTGATCCAGCCGAAGATTCCATCCTCAACGGTATCGCCAAGCAGAGTGTACTCGAAAAAAGGATCTGAGTCGGAGTTCGCAGTCTCGACCTGGACGACGTGATCATTCGCATTCTGGGTGATGGCAACGGTGTTCTCATTATAAGGAGAGGTAGCCTCCACCTTGGTAATGAGGTCTTGGTCGAAGAAAAGCTGACCGATATGCGAGATCTGCCCACCAGTGAGGGTGTTGTTAGACAGAACATGGGCTTGGGTGTGGGCAATAACATGGATGTGGGTGGCACGGCCGGAGTAGTGGCCAGGGAAGAGAGTGTTAAATTGGGCCACGCCCTCCGAGTCGGTCTTCTGGAGTCCACGAGCAAAGGTCTTGTTCAGGTTGGACGCATCGTTGCCGTTTCCATTCATGCTGCTCTGCACGCCGGAGTAGACACCAGTGGCATTACAGTTCCACACATCCCAGTATAGGTCCTCGATGGGCTCGCAGGTGTTGATGTCGATAAATTGGGCGTCGAGGATCAATTGAATGCCTGGCTCGTCGTCACGAATGTCCTTCCGGATCAGTTCTCCGCTGACCCAGAAGGGGCCGACCTCTCCTTCGGGAGCGAGGATGCAAGTTGGGTTCGCATTGAAGAGCTCAGTCTCGGAGGTGCTCGAGGTCACGTCCAGGGTGGAGTGGTGCGAAGTGTTGACGACCTTCTCCAGATCACGGGCGAGAACAGTTCGCTTTTTATTTGCCTCGACAATGGAAGCACGGCGGACCTTAGCACGCTCGTTGATGCCGCGCTTGTCGAGGTGATTCGCGCAGAGGTCGAGGCTGCGGCGCGCGTTGTGAAGGAAATGTCTCTTCGAGGCAACTGAGTACGAGCCGTGCTCGTGGGACCCAGGGTGAGCCACGGCCAGGCCACTCAGGGCAAGGATTGCAAGCTTTTGGAAATGCATTGGGTAAGGTTTATACTTGAAATAAGCGATGATTTAGATGAAAGGAAAGCTGGCTGTGTTTTCCAGATGACATTGAAGAGAAGTCGGATTCTTTATACGTCGTATATGCCAAGATATGAGATCTAGAAACCTTGGTGATATCAGGAGTAATGACCAAACTCGTCATGGTTGTCGTAAGCAGGAGATTGTGCTGGAAGGGGAAAACGGAGTTGGTAGCATTCACACTCCTTTACTAGAAACTGGTCTAGAATAAACTGCAAGCTTACGACGTATAATTTCAGTAGTTAACACAGCTGACGAAATAATGCTTTGCTATTGGGCCTCGAGTTTCTATTAACTGGAGCTTAAGTCGGCATGCGCCTCATCCTCCGGGGTTCCTGATACATGTGGAGCGATCTGCAGACCAATTATCCACACGGGTAAGGGGTTAATGAATTCGTCCCAAAAGACAATGCATAACAAAGTTTGGTTTTTCTGAGGCAGCCGAAGTACTCCAAACCCGGTCATTCAGAATCCTCCGAGTTTTGATACCTCACCCAGAACAACATTGTCCAGAGCAAAAGTCTTAGTATAATTAACTCAAGGTAATCTCTTCATAAAGTCTCTTCAATTTCCAGACCTCGATCATTCCGTATCACATCTTCCATGAATACTAATAATCCTAAATAATTCTCCTAGTAGGCGTGTCTTGGCAGCCTTGTATACTTCAGCCGCTGCCAAGTCTCCAGCCCGGTCAGCTTGCGTGGAAGCTCGGGGAGGAGGCTTTCTGCAGATCCCAGCCCTTGGCAAGAGCACAGTGGAGCAGAAATACTCGTTACTGGGCACATGTTAATAACCATACCTACTCCTTTACCGTCTGTCGATTTTCTCGGAGCAGTCGTCTCCGCTGACTCATCACCCCACTGAAAAGGCTTGGCGGTCTTGGCTCCACAGAGACCCGCCGATTGCAACTTGAAGACCCGCTGCCACCTCAACCAACATTCTTCGCGATATGCCTCGTTTGACCGGATACAATCAAGGACCCGGTGTGTATTGGATAACTCACAATGAGGAGTGCCTGTGATCTATGTCGACTCCGAAAGGTACCACAATCCTTCGATATTACACAATCGACCCACCTGCATATTGAGCTCTTGTACAAGGTGCTGACTGCGTATTCGGTTACTCTCAGATCCGCTGTGATAGAGCCACCCCGGCGTGTGAGACATGCCAATTGGCCGGCCTGCCTTGTATTTTCACCCCGCAGCCGGTGCAGAACCGGAAGGGGCTTCGGCAGTAAGGCTGATCATTGGAGCGACTCTTACTATACATTCTTGCTAATTGGTTCCCCTAGGGAGCTGGCTGATAGCCAAGCCCGAGTCCAGCAACTAGAGGAAGCATTGGCTGCAGCTCAAAGATCTGCCCAATCTACCCCTGGGGAAAATAATGAATCGTCAGCGGCTTCACTCAGCAGCACTGTTTCTCCGGCGCCTCGGAATCTTGCTCCGCAAGACTCCCCTGCAATCAGTCTGGTCACCGACACCCACTGTCTCGATACGGCGCTGGCGTCGTTTCGGTGGCATATTGCATACTGCGGACTCGGAAATCCACTGTCAACGACGAGAGCGGCATTTTACTCAAACATCTTTCAGCGAACAGGCAGCACTTTCGATCTAGACGACTTCTTAAATGAATTGATGCAACCACTCATTGCACAAGGTCTCAAAGGTGTCAGGCGATCAGCATCGATCAAATGGCCATCGACCTCCTTGGTACAGCAATGCGTGACATACTACACAAAGGCCGGCCTCTACTCTCTATTCCCCTTTGCAGACGCCGAGGCTTTGCAGGTCCTCGTCAAGGCCGATGTGCTCAATCATCCCAAGACATCCCGCGCGGCTTACCGTGCCTGTCTGGCTGCTTTCACGGCGAATATTACACAGATGCATCGGCATGACCCTATGTTTCGCGATGCAGACCCAGACGCCTATGCACATGCAGCTATCTCGCTTATCCCGGGAATAATTACAGAGCCAGCCGACACGAGAACTGTAGAGGCAATCATGATGATAGTAAGATCCTGAATTCTCGTTCTCCCACATTTACTAACAAATCCCTTTTCACACGTCATAGGCAATTTTCATCTGCCCCCTCGGACAGCCTCAATACGCCGAAATGCTTCTTGGAATCGCGATCCAAGCTCTGTACAATCTAGAAGCCCACAGAATGCGACCCGCCTCCGAAACAAATATCAAACCTCAACAAAGTAATCACCTTCGAGCCCTCTTCTGGCTTGCCTACGGCATGGACCGTGAATTCGCCAGCCGCAAGTCCCAACCACCCCTCATCAACGAAGCAGACTGCGACTTAGACCTACCTCCGTCGTACGTGCTCACATCATCCGCGAAGCATTTCTATTTCAAGCCACTCTCCTCCAAAGAGCTGCTCTACCCAACCGATCTCCGTCTCGTCTTGATCAAATCGAGGATCTACAGGCTTCTCTACTCCGTCCAGAGCAAGACATACTCCGAAACGCAGCGATTACAGCATATCCGCGAATTGGACCAGGAGCTGAGTGACATTAAATCGGAATATCCAGCGGAATTCCGACCAGATTCATTCGCAACGGAAGGTGCACCGGATTATCTCTTCCATGATCTCAGCATTCGAGGCGTGAGCGTTCACTTGGAGTACTACTATTGTTTAGGCAAGATCCACGGTGCAAGTAGTACCGCCAAAGAAACCCTTTTATCAAAGTCCCGGTCACCACTAGCCTCCAGCGAGGAAATCTGTTACGAATCGGCGAGGTCGACGTTGATTTATGTCGGTCGTGTGAGGCATTACATCAATTACCACACATTTTGGTGAGTACACACATATGCACACACGCACCTATCCCATTGGTGTATAAAATACTTCCTCAATCTAACTCAATACCTAGGATCCACGCACAATTTGTCCTCACAGCCGTCATCACGCTCTTCCGCTTCCTCATAATGCTCCCGGCAAAAGACACCTTTATGCGCGATATCCAGATCATCGAAGAGATAGCCGGGATATTCGCGCCGGCTCGACAGACGGACGAAGATGGGAACTTTTTCCCTCCTTTTCACTTTACACACGCCTTCATTATGAAACTGGTCGCTTTGGCGAAAATGGCACATACTAAAGCTATTGATAGAGGGCAGTAGATTGCCCAGGGTACTAGTATATACTAATTAAACTGGCACACTCGAAGCTACGGCGCAGTTCTGTTGGATCACTATAACCTATCGCCCCTAAGCTATCTTCCGCCTGATGCGATAGAATAATTCGATTACTTAGATGGGTATATCTTAATTGGAATCAACTAGTCATTAAACGGTACTAGTACAGTAGTCATAAACAAACTTGAATAATCTACAAACCGCCAACCACACAGCCTCATTCCGAACCTTGAACACGTCGTATCCTTCAAGTTCAAGCTGACATTAGACAAAATTCAGAACCACTGACAACGAAGTAAAAAGCGAAGTAGATGACAGACACATGAGAAAAAAAAACATCACATCACATTACAAATTTGTCAGACCAATCTCCGCAAGAGCCTTGGTCACATTCAAATGCACAGTCAAATTATTCGCGCTGAGTGCCTTGGTGAAATAAGGCAGTTCCTTGCCGTTGTAGTAGCTCGAGTTACCGGTGATGTCGAATGGCACGAGTCCATCTTTGTACGGGTTGTTTTTGGAGGTCAGCATGCTGATTATGGCGCTTTGGTTGACGATCGATGTCATTGGGATGGTGTTGTTTCCTGGTTTGAGAATCAGGTCGTCCAGGTAGGATTGACCCATGGGGGTTCCGGCGACGGAGAGGTCGAGTGTGAGGTTTCCCTGTTGATTGAGTTAGTGGAGGCCATTGGATGAGTAGGTGGGTGGATTTTCTTGTTTCTGACGCACCATGGTGATTGTCATGACGGAGGGATTGGGAATGTAGACTGTTCCATTCATGTTGCGGCCGTTCTCTGGCTTGAGGAGGATGTGGAAGTCGGTCACATCGAAGCCCTTGAGTTTGTTCAGACCTGGAAAGACGTGAATGTGATTAGTATAACTCGGTCCAATCCGGTCACATCTCTTCTTTCACAACACGAATGGCGCAATGGCTTACCCTTCATGGTAACAGTCTTGTCATATGTCACCGTAGTCTTTGGCAGCGACCCCTCCTTCAACCCAGGCTTGCCATAGATATTCAGCGAGACCTCCTCGTTCAGCATCACGGCCTTGGCATAGTCGCCAAAGGCATCGGCATCGGATAAATCGACAGCCTGGGAAACCTCCACCTCGGCGCCGTCCTTGGACTTGACTCCCGGCACGCGCACAGTGGCGAATGGGGCCGCGGCACCGGCCAGTGAGACAGCGGCATCGAAGGCGTAGATCTCGGGGTGGTAAGAGCTGTGAGAGCCGATGACTTGGGTTTGGTTGAGTTGGAAGGAATCCGGGGTTGGATCGCTGATCACCATCTCGGTGATGTCGAGGGTGGAGTCGTTGACATCGTGCTGGGCGATCTTGGGGTAACCCACGAAGATGCTGTATATGACAGGTTAGTTGAGTGGCTAGGTCTTTGCTGTCAACCTGGAAGACTACCTGGCACTTACACTGGTAGTGCGACGACGAGTACGACAATCACAAACACGATCAGATGCGCCCACCACCACTTCTTGAAGTGAGCACCGACTCGCGAACCGAAGCTACGTTTAGCTGGCGGCGCAAAACCGGCGGTTTCCACGCCGGTGGCTTCGGCCTTTGTATCGGACATGATGAGGTTTGAGTGAAGATGTGCCTAGGACCAGTGTGATTGTTAGTGTTCACCAAAGGTAGTGAACAAGAACAAGAACAAGAATTGAACTTGAATCAATCCTCGGGGTATCCAGGAAAGACAAAGAGAAGTTGAGTGCAAAAAGTGCAAAACGAGTGACACAAAAAGAAAAAGCAAAAAAAAGAACAAAATAGGCTGCTTCAGGAACCTGAATCCGGTGACTCCGGATCTCTCGAGGGTGAGGGACTACTTTATATTAAAAGAAGAATAAAAATAGGGTACCAGTAGTAGTTAGTACTTTAGGTAGATAATTCTCTCGCTAAGGACGCATTTGGGGTAGGCCGGTGCTAGTCCTAGATATACGAGTAGACCAGAGTAGACCAGAGTAGACTAGAATGAGGCAAAAAGGAATAGTACACTGTTCAACTTATTTCCAAGCATTCACATGTCATGCAATGTACGAAGAAACCCTTCCCCACGCCTTTGCAGAGGAGGACCAAGCGGAGTGGGTACGAACCGGTAGAGCCAAGGTTCTTTGGCTTTGTTTCTCTTTGGTTTATGGTTTGTTTTCTTTTGCCCCTCCCTTGAAAAGGTCTCATGATAGTTTCTTTTTTTTTTCTGGGGACTCTGGGGACTCCGGATTCCGAGCGGGGCGGTTCCTGGATTGTGCGGGTTGTGTACTCTTCGATCGACTGATCGTCGTGCGGTCCTGACAGCGCTAGGGCGTTTCAGATTGAGTTTCTCTATTTCTATCTTCGGGGGGAAGGGAGAGACGGGATGAGGAGAGATAATGGAGGAAACCGAGGTTGTTGAGGTGGATAAGAGATGAGGTGAAATAACAGCAACTGCCACTAACTGTAGCCCGCTCAGGATCATATGCAGGTGCAGCAATAATGTGCGCCACGAGAAAGCCCGTCTAGACTGTGGACAAGGCACAGTAAGCCCAGTCTAGGGATTCTCGCTGGAAGGCAAATCTACCGTTGCACCGACTATCCGGGGTCCCTTGGGTCCCTGCGGTCCTCATTGGTTGTCAGTGAGACTAGCTGCACTGGAGGCGCTCCGCCAAGCCCGAACAGCCAATCTGCGTCAAAGCCAGCAATGCCTGGCGATGTCTGGTCAAGTGAGCACCGAGAGCACCGAGTACCGCAGTGGGAAGAATTCCCGTCGTGGCGTCAAAAGAGATGGGCCCTCGGGGCCAGTTAGAGACAAACCTCCGTAGCTTTCATGAGGAAGTGGGGATGGTTCAAGTTCTGGTTCGCCGTATTGATTGATTAATTATACGCAGGAGCTAGACGGGATGAACTACAAGGATTAAGAGGGGGCCATTTCCCAGGCCCTCCCGGTTTGAAGCACGATAAAGTAGTTGGTCGATTAGATAGATCGTCACATGCTACACAATGCCCTATGCAAATATCCACACCGCGGCCGAATTGTGTCATGAATTCATCGCGAATCGTCGCACGATTCACCAAAAGTGTCTGCCGGGAAATGACCAAGTGGGGGGAAAATAAAAAAAATAAATGTCACAAGTGAAAGAGATGTTCACGGAAATGGGAGATCAGCCCCGTAAGAATATGGCCAAGAAACGAAAATGGTCAGGGGGGGGAGCGAAGAGGCACGTAAGAAATAAAGATCAAAAATATGCCACAGGAAGTGGGGAAATGGAAAAGTGATAAAAGGCAGAGGGTATCCACGAAGAAATGAAGTATTAGGCCTGCGAGGCAGGTGGCTGGAAAGTCCAGCTAACGTGGCTCGAAAATAGCTGCCCAGGCGGCTTTGGTAGTAAAGGTGCAGAATGACTGGAAGAAAGGAAAAGTGATGAAGTGATGAATGATGGAACGTAATGGAAAATGTGAAAGATGGTTGACAACCAGAAAGGAGTGGAAGAAATGAAACTGACCTCTCCGAGAAATGGAAGAAGGTCGTCAAGGGAATTTATGAGGAATCAGCTCAAAACGCTCCAAAAACACTTTGCTTTGGGATGCAAGATGGAGATGGAACAGTCCAGAAGGACGCCCATAAGAATGATACAAAAGGCGAACATCAGTAACATTTGTGCAAGTGAGACAGTCTATGCCTCTGCCGCAGACTTCTTCCGCTGGAAGATGCTGCGGGTCCGTGATTTACTGCGCGGCTTCTTGTCGCTGCTAACAGTGCGCCCACGGGAGCGGCCGTTGGATTTGTCTTCGGCCATATATTTGTCCTTGTAGATCCTGTGAGGAACCGGTTAGTCGAGGTGTTGAAGGGGGAGGAATATTGATGTTCGGGTGAGTACATACCAACTATTTCCAACCATGCTCATGCCGTTATCCTCGGCCTGGCGGTAGAACCGTGCTGCTTTCTTCATATCCTTCTTGCAGCCTACACCCTCTGCATAGCAGAATCCAGCCTCAGCCATGGCATCGACATCACCCCATTGTCCGGCGATCTCGAAGCAACGAAGGGCCAGGCCTTTATCCTGGTGAATACCCCAGCCATTGAGATAGCTGACGCCAAGTTCATAGATGCTCAGAGCAAATTGGGCCCGATACGCCTTCTGTAGCTCCTTGGCTTTGGATGCGCCAGGGGCATCGGGATTCTCCAGCATTTCCAATCCAACCGAGTCCACGGCCTTGCGTAACCATCGCACTCCTTCTTGTTGGTTGGATCGCATACCCCAGCCATGACGGCAAGCCAAGGCGTAGAGCAGCATACCGGTAGGGTGGTTTTGCTTCGCAGCTATCCGCATATGATAGGTGGATTCGTTCAAGGATCCCTTTTCATGCAGATCGATACCCATTGAAACATGGTCGTCGGCTGTGAGAGTGGCCGGGCTGGCCTGGGTATTGGCGGTCTGTGGGCGTGTAGTGCTTGCCGAATCGGCAGATGAAATAGTATCATCCTTTTCATTGCTCTTCGACTTAGCGACCTCCTCCGCGGACCGCCGGGGCGGAGTAACTGGCGGGGCGACTGCTGCTGGTGCCGGTGGGGGTCTTGGCGGCGAGGCCAGAACAGGGGGAGCTTGTTTGATTTGCGTAGCAGGCACTTCGTGCATTGAACGGGGCTTGGGCGAGTTTTCCACCTCCCGACGCGCGGTAGGGGGTGGAGTGCGAGCGAGGCGCGGTATCTCTTCCGAATGGCGAGGCGGAGAATTTTCGAACAAGGGCTCGTTCCACTCAAAATGCGGTGTTTGCAAGCCTGCAAAAATCACCGAGTCTCTGGACAAACCCCGTCCTCGCGGGAGATCATACTTAGCATATGTATACGAAGAGACAGCAGACGACGGTTCGCCTTCGATTGGATTTCCCATCGCATCCGTAGCCAAGGGCAGAAGGATCGGCGTTGGCTTGCTAGAGCGGTGCATATGCCTTGGCTGGTGGCCCTGAGGGACTGACGTTGGTTCTGAGGTAGCTGACGGACCAGGGGCAGAGAGACTGGTGCTTGATCGACTGAGAGGACGGGAGAAGTTGAACGACGGCCGGGGCAGATAACTATTTGAGGTTTCGGAGCTCAAAGAGGGCGATCGAGGGTGTACCCGAGCAGGGAACGTGGACATGGGTGAATATGGCAGCGAGACAGCACTTCCAGAAGACAGCTTTCGCGGCTTCGAGAAAGTAGAGCCCGCATTGGAGCTGCTATAATCATCATCCGAGCTCTCTCTCTCCGGGTGACCGACCCGTGTACTACTGGAAGGCCGCGAGTTCGGGGAATGGGGTGGAGCCAAGGTTCGAGGGATGTGAAGTCGTGACGAAGACACCGAGTCGGTCGAGTTATCGCGTGAGGGATTGGTGAAGGCGACCCCCACGGGGGGAGTATCACCGGCGAGCGATGCATCCTCCTCGGGGGATTCTGCGCGTGGGATGTCATATCCACTGCTGCTGGTTCGTAGCATTGTACTCCGAGGGGTAGAATGATCATCTTGGACTTCGGTATTGCTACTCGCATGCGAGACGGAACTAAATCGAGGGTGTTCTGAGATTGGGCGGTATTTAGGTTCCTCGACCTCTGGAACGATGTTCTTCTGCGTTGGTCTTCGAGTGAGAGTTTGACCCTCGCCCTCGCTCGAGCGTCCTCGGAAGTATCCCGGTCGGCCATGGGAAAGGGAGCGGGCGACACTGGAAGGGGGCAGACGGCTCATGCGACGATCACCTCGGCGGGACTCGTCAAGTTGGCGGGCGAGGAATCGGCCCTGGGCCGCGAATGCATCTAGGGGGGGAGAGGGCGGGGGGAACCTCGCCGTCATAATGTTCGATGCGCGGAGAGGGCATGCCACTTCGGAGGGTATCGTGGGAGTTGGAGCGACATTCCTCTAGACTTCGAGGGGGCCACGCCGCCATGGTGGGGAAGGGGGGTTGGGAGGAAGAATGAGAGGGAGGAAGATTGAACCACGACCTTTCTTTGTCTCCAGGGGTAATGCGGACAAGATCAATCGTCCAATGTGGCGGGTATGGTGTAGGCGAGGTGAGATGAAGCGAAACGTCACAGGGGTCCAAACACTCTAGTCGTTCAGAGTCGGGGCGAATGTCTCAGGGTCGGGTGGGGGAACATTTGGGTTCAAAGATGGGCGATACGAAGGTTGAGGGGAGAGTATGGTGATGGGGCGTATAGTATGGGGTTGATGGGCGGGGGGGGGCGACAGAGGCCAAAGGAAAGACAGCCCTTTCGGAGAAGGATGAAGAAGTCAAGTTGACATGCGTCAGAGAAAGAGGCAGAGGCAGAGGCCCAGCAAAACAGAAAGGAAGAAAGGAGCGAAACGGGCGAGGCCCTGACGATCGCAATGGTAAATAGATCCACTTGGGGATTTTATTGTCGTGGCATTGGGAGGTTCTCCATAGAGAGGAGTGCCCGTCAGGGCCAGTCACGGGGGGATCCCGTGACTTCAGGGGTGCCAAGGTGCCAAGCCGGATCACCTAATCACCACCAAAATGAGGAATTTATGTAGTGTATAAGCATACACTAGTAGCCTAAATACTTGTATTTACCCCAGATTACGATTAGTGTGATATATTCCGTACAATATGTAGAGTATAGTATACAAAACTACACTATACTATAGAGTATACAATAGATGTGAGCAGTCTACTCGTAGGGTACAATGCTACAAATAGGTACGATAGTATACCCACAATGTTTCATCATCCTTGGTTCACCAATCAAATCCTTCCAGTGGAGAGGCAGTGGAGCCGTTTCTTATTTTGGCTGCAGAGCGGTTTGATCCTGCCTTTTCTGGTGGGGTCCGTTCGTCCCATACTCTATATCGTGTTTATACTCTTAGCATCCTGAACTATAGAGTACGTCACAGTATGTACTTTACACTATCTACTTCACAGCTATCTTCAAACTTTGGTTTATATACCTAGTATGCCCCATTACCATAACCTAGTCCTTGTTAATCCTAGTGCAATGTATGAATCATCACTCGCACTAGCCCCATTGCTACCATTGCTACCTCGGATCGGTTAGTCTACTTTTGCAGCAACCCAAGTGGGCTACATGAACTGCCAGTGGCCTCGCTTACCTCTCCCCCTCAAGCAGGCAACGTAAGCCGACATGCTCACATGTAGAGTCTATTCAGCCTAGCTGCGGGCGAGAAGGCCAAATTTCACCTAATTCCGTCGGTCTAATTCTTCTCTGCCTTGCCAGGTTCGACTTTTCCCCAGTTACTTAAATGTCGGGCTGAGTTGAGTCGAGTTGATGAGTCGCGTGCCCATCCATTTCCGTCGAAGCTACGAGACTCCGCCGCTTTAAGAACCCACGATCGCATCGTGTTGGCCCCACGCAAAAAGATTTTCACAGATCTGCCTCTCCAGGCTGGTGTGTAAATCGCAGATCTCTCATCTCATCTCATCTCACTGGTATCTCACGATGCGTCGCATTCCATCCTCGACCCTCTTCGGTGTCGATCCAGTTCACGACAACCTCCATTACTATGAAACGAGCTGGCTCCTCTCTCCTACTCTCCTCGCTAGTCTGCGCGCCCTCATATCGACCTATATCTTTGTCTCGATCTTCTTCATTTGGGGCTGGGATGGTACCCATGGGGATCGCGACGCTATCGGCCAGTCCTTTAGCTTCTTCACCTGGTTAACTTACTGGGGATTGGGCTTCTATACCCTCTTCGCCGCTATTCATACTGCTTGCTACGCTCACACTGGGCGCTCAGTACTCTTCGACCGTTGGCCGCGAGCCCTGCGTGCTATGCATGGCATTCTTTACACAACTATCACCGTGTATCCACCACTCGTTACCCTGGTCTTTTGGATCATCCTCTTCAAGCCGCCATTCTATAAAGAAGTATTTACGGGCTGGTCGAATGTACGTTTTTTCCCTTCTCTCGTCTCCCCCATCCATGCAGCCTTGTCACAGCCCTGTCATGGGATTGCCATGGGATTGCCATGTGCAAGGCGGATGGTCTGAGCGCACGTCGCACTTGATTGCGACACACCACCGGCACCACCCCCACATTCCAATCCTTCGAGCTAAAAAACAGCCCTAATGCGCAACATGGTTACACAGATTTCCCAGCACGGCCTCAATTCGCTTTACGCCATTCTCGAAATCGCCCTCGCAACTACAGCCCCACATCCCTGGATCTACATCCCGTTCCTCATCCTCTTCCTGCTACTCTATCTCTGCGTCGCATACATCACCGTCCACACCGAGGGCTTTTACGCCTACAGTTTCCTGGATATCAAGACCAATGGATCGCCGCTCGTGACCGGGTATTGCTTTGGTATCCTTGCTGCGATCTTGGTCATCTTCCTCGTTACGTGGGGGTTGATCTGGCTGAGGAATTGGTTGGTTAAGGGGCGGATTAAGAGATCGGCCCGAGACCCTCTTTATGGGCAGGATCGCTGCCGCGGTCTCGAAGCAGGGGACCAGGCTGGGGTGAAGGGTGAACCGTGCGAGATGAAGCATGTGCAGGTCTAGGTAGTAGTTACGCCGTATATTGACTTGACTTGAGTTGATGCTCGACTCGACGCGACCCAGTCCTGCAGCTGGCTGTGAGGAGTTATGCACAAAACTAGTATTTACATACTTGCTACGCTACGACAAATGACTGACGACAGCTGCAATCGCAACTGCCTGATCAGATCAGATTACGACTAACCGAGTCCATGAAATGCATGTGCAATAATGCAAATGCAATAAATAATTATTATACTTATCCAATTTATCCAATTAATTAATCGATTGGCGCCTGAGCGAGGAGTATCATAATGTATGTACAGATTATTCAAAAGTAAGGTCTCAAGAAATGAGCAAAGATGAGTTTTTCATCACACCAAAGCGTATTCGTCACCCGCATATTCCATACGAGTGACGGCACTGGTACTGGGAGGAACTGGAAGCAGGTATATTCGTGCGCGGCTTTCGTCACAGCTCGCAGCATGTGGCCGACGATACCTACATCCATAGGACCAGAAAAGGCCGTCAATGTACACTCTGTGCCATGCACACCGAACACAATAACCAGAGAAGAGAAGTCCAGTTCACTTGAGGATAGGGGCAACTACCGCCATACCCGCCCATGCAGACCCTCTGGTCTGCATCATTCTTCTTTTCGAAGAAGTCTAGCAGGGATACCACTAGACACGCTCCCAGCTAGTCTCACTGCCACTGCTAGGACTACCCATGGGCGCCGAATGTCCACTACGGTAGCCCATCATTAATCCCACAAGGCCGCTGGGCATCCACGCGCCAATCACGCTGTAAGACCGAGCCCCGCGACCTACGTACATAATAGACTTCTTGCGCGTACGCCGGCCGATCCAATCCCGGGATGCCGGTTCCAGGGCATCCATCAGAGCGTGGTGTAGGTTTCGCGCGGGTGATCCGCGCACGGTGCTAGGGCCGGCGGATGCGACGGGGCGCTGTTCGATGCTGGAGAGGTACTGCGGGCCGTATAGAGCTCGTTGCTGCGCACTCCAGGCCAGGACCTCGGTGCCGGTGATTTGATTTTGCGCATTGCGGTATGAAGGGCCCAGGTCGATGTTTCCAAGTCGTAGCTCCACGACATCAACGTTGCCGTGTTCGAGGAGGCGAAGTTCCTGACGTAGAGAGGTGGCAAAACCTGAGATAGCCCGGGTTGTGGCAACTTCCGGTCCGGCAAAGGGTGCCGACAGGGATGATGAGATGGATGGGTAGGCGAAGATTATCGTACTGCTGTTGTTGCGGAGGGTCAAGAGTGGTAGGAAGACTTGTGCGGTGAGGATTGGGGAGAGGAGACGGGTGTTGACGGTATCGGCCCATGATGAAGGTGGGATTGTCGCGACAGGGCCTGCGGCGAAGTTGGGGGATGGCACAATAACGACGCCGCTCAGCTGGCAGGTGTGAGGAGGCATGCCGGGGAGGGGAGATTGGGGCTGTGTGATCAGTGAGCGCAGTTCGTGCAATGACGGATGCAGCTCGGAGGGCGTGGAGGTTCCCTATTTCATATCATGTTAGATTTTGCTTGACTTCCTTTGATCTGGCAAGAAACCTACGGCAGTCAAATCCAACCATAGAGCCTTGATATCCGTCCGGTTCTCAGACCGAACAATGTGCTCTTCATCTGCTGATGACACAGTCACGTAGACGATGTATCCACGGCGTTCCAGATCTGCAGCAATAGCACGTGTCATAGGCTCATGAGGCGATCCAGCGATGACTATGCGTCGGTATGGTTAGCACATGTACCATATCAACATATTGAATGGAGCAGAAGGCATCGCATCCCATCGCTCGCATCCCGTGTAAGGCCTTCTCAACGTACCAACAATCTCCTTCCGGGCTCCATTGCCAGCCTTTCTCGCTTTCCTCCGCTTTCCATTCAACTTCTTACTCCCATAGTAAAGAACACATCCGGTGCCAACAAATGCGAGGATAGCCGCCGTCCATGCGCGATTCCGAGTCATCCAATTTTGCACCCGGTCGGTGAACCCACGGGGATGGCGCATGTTCTGAGCGTTACGCACAGACGGGCGCACCTGTGATGGAATCCATGTCTGCTCGGAAAGAGTATTTCGGATCGTGGTGGCCGCATGGTCGACTTGTCGGTCGATCGAGTCGGCAACCTGAGTCGAGTATCGCCTTACGTCATGGGGTATGGACGCGAGCTGTGTTGAAGGGTCAGCATGAGGAGGGGGATTTCCAAGTCAAGTTTCAGTGCATTTGATGCAACTCACGTAGTCAAAGAAGAACTGATCGTCGCTCGTCATTTTGTTGAAGTGAAATGCTGGAAAAGAAAAGAAAACTGTTGATGATAAGAATTGCGATAAACCAGTCTCCGCTTTGGATGGGTCACATGACGTGATGAGCAATCGAAGTAAATAAATCAGTTGCATTTTAATAAATATACGGAATTACCTTGATATATTGCTAGATGGGGGTTTATTCATTCGGTTTTTATCTCCGAATGTTGTGAGTGACTTCAGTGTGCTCTTTCATAGTATTACTTTGGTCAGATGTATATTTGTCTGTCATACTAGTCTAGTATTACAGCGGCCCGGGGCAACAGAACATGAATCTACTACTGTCGTCCGAGGATACCTAGGTATTCGAAGCGACCCAGGTAGATCAAAATATTCCCAGGTGAACACTAATACTAGCACTAGTACTAAGCTATATTATCTGACAATCACCCTGGCTGTCGGTATATCCAAGCATAACCACAAGCCAGTTCTGACCGGCCGACATGATTAGTCATAGCGATGGATGCAAGGCCAGGTCCTGGCAAGTCCCTTTTGTTCGCTCTCTTTCAAAGACCTCGCGAAACCACTTCGAATAACCAGCCGTGATGCAAATGTATTCCAAGGTCACTATATTGCCATGAACCTTTTTCTTCTCGATCTTGAGTTGTGCGATTCGCGTCAGCGCGTATGATTCCAAATCGGCCTAGCCGGTCATCCAGGGAATATGATACTGCTAGGCTGATTGCATCTGTTATGATACAACATGAGAGAACTTGACTCTCTCATCGGCGAATATCGCCATGAAAAGAAACGCCCCCGTGAATCAGAGGCCCTCTTCATCCTCCGCAAAGTTGCCTCGGTCGTCAAGCCTATCATGCGCCAGCGCTCCTGGCGAGTTGGCGCCCTCTGCGAGTTCTACCCGGGACAGAAAAACCTTCTAGGGCTGAATGTCAACTCGGGCCAGAAAATATGTCTAAGACTACGATATCCCTCGGATCAGAAGCAATTTCTTCCTTTCGAGCAGGTTGTCGATACTATGCTGCATGAGTATGATCTTCCACCTCCCGTCCACGCATCACTAAACTGATCAAGAGCAGACTGTGCCATATTGTCCACGGGCCTCATCACCGCGAGTTTCATGCACTGTGGAATCAGTTGCGGGATGAGCACGAGGAGCTTGTCATCAAGGGATACACAGGCGAAGGTTTCCTCTCTCAAGGCAAACGCCTTGGCGGGACTCGAATGCCACCTGACGAGGCCCGCCGACAAGCCCGTGCTGCTGCTGAGCAACGAAGGATCCTCAATAAAAACTCCGGGAAGCGTCTTGGAGGCGCCCCCGTGCTTCGAGGAACAGACATCCGCAAACTGAGAGCAGATGCCGCGCAGCGTCGTGTGGAGGTGACAAATGGGTGTGCCTCGGGAACGGACAGAAGCACCGAGCTTGCCGAGGAAGCATCACGGAATGGCTTCAGGACCAAAGCTGAAGAAGATGATGCGAATGAAGAGGCGATCCTTCAGGCCTTCATTGAGTTGATTCAGGAGGAGGAACGTGAGAAGTATGGATCGTCATATATCCCCCCCAAGCCAGGAGAACCCAGCTGGACCTCGCTCAGGCGAATCATCTGTTCCAGAAGTCTCCCAGGATACGGCACAAGCTGGTACTTCAAAAGCAGCTGCACCGAGTACACCCCAGGGATATCGTCAGGACACACGCCAGAAGTATTGGACCTCACAGCAGACAATAGTTCATATGAGGCCCCTTGGACGTGTCCAACATGTACGCTGGAGAACCCGTCCAGTTTTCTCTGCTGCGACGCATGTGCCTCAGAAAGACCAACGCCGAAAGAGAAACAGCCTACCACACACCCGGAACCCAGACGTTCCGAGCAACCTACTTCGAAAAAGCGTCCGCTTCAGATACAAGAGGACGAGCTGCCCGCGCGGGATACATTCGCATTCAAGAACCGAAACCGAGCCCGAGACACCCTTGCTTCTATGGATCGCGATACGAGCAAACGGCCTCTGGGATGGCTTTGCGAGAAATGTGGTAGTTTTATGGAGAGTCAGTGGTGGACGTGCTCGGCTTGTGGGAAAATGAAACCTTCCTCTTGACGAAGATGGTTTGACTGGACCTGTGTCCTTCATTGGCTACAAATGAGACCATGAAATTAGATCTTTAGAAAATAAATAGGATTTCATCACGTTCTTATTGGAGAACAATTCATCATAGTATTGTACAAATTACAATACATCCAGCCGTGGCAGTCGGAGGCAATAAGTTTTCGATAAACTCTTTGATTAGAACATCTAGTCACTGTATGCTTCTCAGACAAGTCATTAAAACAATTTGCTGAAGTGAAAAAGAGCTACTCTGCTTTTCAATTGCTATCACGAAAGCACCAAGCTTGCCCGAGCCCCATAATAATCAACACACGTGACCCACTAGCTAAGCAGACCCACCGCATTCCCATATTTTTCACCAACTTCATCTCTCCCCAACTCTCCTCCTTCCCCATTCGAAATTGCCAACCGTGGCCCCAACCACGAGCCAGCTCAGACAGAGTCTAGAAATGTGCTAGAATATCCGTCTAGCTGGCCACAACATACTACCGGTACGTGTCACGCTTACTCTAATCTCCCAACCAGACACGAAGACAAGCCGGACCTTCGAATGATGAGACTTTGCATACGAACCGAATTTTTTAGGAAGAGCCGGAAGAGGTATGGCAGCGGTACTAGAATGTTACTGTCTGTCGTCGATGCTTATAATGGTTCCGCTGAAAGGAGTTATACCGGCTTGTTGTCTTGGTTGTGGATGGCACATGGTCGCGTGAATTGGTTTTGCTAATACGATTCCAATTAGGTCTTTGAATATCGCGTTGAGAGAGGCTTTCTTTATAAATTAAGTACTAGTAGCGAGTGCGCATTGGAAACTGCCAGTGGCTGGAGGCTCGCTGGCCCAGGGTTATGATAGACATAGTTTCTAGAATCAATCGATCATATTCGAACAGATCAAGTATAATACATCCCTTGTTCGAAACTCCCAAGGATATAAAACTTTTATACGATAAACATAAATCCAAAACAAAAGAAGGCCATCTAGGACCCCGACAACGCCGATTGACAATGCTCGTACCAATCAATCCCCTTCCCTCGCTCTAAGCGACGCTCATGAACTGCCGCTTCTTGCCCGACCCCTGCTGTGCTTGTTGCGGTGTCCAGTTTTCCTCGTCGATGTAGTCCTTCGTATTGTGCTCACGGATCTGGTTGCTGATGAATTGCAGAGCAGACAGGTTGAATCCCATCTCATCCTTTTGGCGGGACAGCACGCGGCGCAGTGCTGCGCGGATGCTGTCGAGCATCGGGCGCATGATCTTGCTCGACACGATTTGACGGTGATGCGTCTTCAGCATGAAGAAGAGCACGCGGCAGGTCAGAGCGACGTTCCACTCGCGCTCGGCCCAGATATTGAGGAAGGTGAAGAGGTATTCGAGTTTGGAGAAGGGAAGGACCAGCAGGGCGTCTTGTAGAGCAGCGGCTGGGATCTTCTGCACGGTGTTCAGAACATGCTGCTCAGCCGAGACGTTGTTCAAAGCGATATAGAGAGGGTTGCGATCAGGGGGCGCGGCGTTAGGGTTGGCAGCCTTGACTCGGCGCCAGTCCTCCACAACCGCCAGATCCTCGATACCGAGATCCAGAGCTTCCATGATCTTTTCTCCGGCCATGAGGGTTCCTGTGGTTTGCTTGCTAGCGTCGACTGCTTCAGCCTTCTCGCCATCCTCTCCGTCCTCGTCTTGATCGAGAGATGCGGTGAGTGTGTTGTCGTACTGCTCCTCCATCTCCTTCTCGCGTTCTTCCTCCAGGAAGAGTGGCTCATCGGTTTGCTGCCAAATGCGAATGCTCTTGTCGTGACTAGCACTGACAATAAAGTCACCGGAACGGCTCATGGCTAAGGCCCAGATCTCTCCGTGGTGACCAGACAGTTTCTGGATGTTCTCAAACTTATCACCGTCCCAGTACTTGATCACTCGGTCCTTACTGGCACTGAAGAAGTTGTGTCCATTTCCATCCTTGTTGTGCGGGACGAATGCCACTGACATAACGCTGTCCTCGTGGGCAAGAAGAGCCTTGTGGCAGTCACCAAAGTCCAATCCCCACAGACGGGCGGTCTTGTCAGCTGAACAAGTCACGATCATCTTGCTATCGTAGGAGATATCCATGCTGAGAACTGGAAGCTTGTGACCATAGAGGTTGAGGAAAAGTTTGAGAGAGTCGACGAAGAAGACCTTGACGGTGTTGTCCAGCAAAGAGACCGCGAGAAGTCGGGCGTCCGGCGAGAACCGAAGGCTGAGAATATCGTCGCTGACCTTTAGAGTTCTCGTGTGCATCAGTTTGAGACGGGGAGTAGTGCGCTTGGTACCGGGGATCTCCTCCTGAACGACCTTGAATTCCCAAAACTTGGCCGTCTTGTCAGCACTTCCACTGACCATGGACTTGCCATCCGGGTGAACGTGAAGGGACCAAACAGGGCCATCATGCGCCTTGATCGTGTCCAGCAGAGTAGAAGACGCAATGTCGAACACTTCCAGTTCGCCATTCTTGTTACCGACAACCACAATCTTATCACCAGGAAGGAAAGCGGAGCAGAGGGCATAGCCACACTCCAAAGTACGCAGACAGGTCTCAGTTCGAACATTCCAGATCTTCAGGCTACCATTCGAGGCGGACGCAAGCATGCGGTCATCAGAGCTCAAGGCGATAGATCGAATATCTGTTCGGTGGCCGGGGATGTCGACAGCCAAGTTGCGAGTGTATGCTGATTCTTCCTCATCCTTGTTCTTCTTGTTGGCCGGGACAACATTGTACGACTCCAGCTGGTTGTTGGTTGTCGCAGCTAGTAGATTCAACCCGCTAGACTTGTTGGTCATCCAATCAAAGGAGCGGACCTTTCCACCCGTCCGAACAATGACATGAGAGACGAAGACCTCTGTGATAGGAGGCGAGGCGGAATCCTTGGCCTTCTCCTTCTCAGCCTCGGCTTCCTTCTCCTCGCCCTCGCGCTGGGCATCCTTCTCCTTTCTGCGCTTCTGCTTTCGTGCCATGCTCTTCTGGACCTCTGTTTGTGAGCGAATACGCCAAATCTCAACGGCCTTCTCCGAGCCATGGAATCCAACGTAATCCAAGCGAGGGTGGAAGTGAATGCCGATCGTGCGATCCTTGCCGTGACGGTAGAAGGTGCCTTGGTCTGTAAGAATCCGGCGGCCTTTGGCACTGACGTTTTCCTTTGAGATTTCAATCATCGCAGCCTCGTCGATAGACCAGACCTTCAGCTCTCCGTCGTTTCCTGCGGTGATGCAGCCGCCCTGATCGGGCGAAAGACCCAAGCTCCAGCATTCGCCATTGGACTGCGCAATGTGTGTTTCGATGCAATGCTGTGATGCCAGATCCCAAACCTTGATCAATGCATCCTTTCCAGTGGTCAACAAGAAGCCTGCATGGTCGCTCATGCCCGAAGCACTGAGTAGCTCGGGAGACGGGAAGAGGAAGTGAAGCGAAGTGATCTGATCGGTATGTCCGCGGAGCTTGAAGAGACCAGTCTCAGAGATGAGGTCCCACAGGATGATATCGGTGTCCCTGGAGCCACTGGCGAGGCGCACACCAACATTATCGAAAGCCAGCTTGGTGATGGCGGATTTGTGACCGTTGAAGGAAATTATGATCGAGCCGGTTCGAGAGTCCCAGATACGGATACTGCCATCGTCGTAGCTAGAGTAGAGAAAGAGAAGAACAAGTTAGCCCAAGAAGACGCAGGGTCTAGCGACAAGTGGGAATCGGACTTACCCAACGGCGAAGATATCTTCATCGGTTTTGCTCTGTGTAACCACCGTCACTTGCGCTCTGCAGGCGGAATCGCGCCAGCGGCCGAGCAATTCTCCCTTCTTAACATCCCAGCAGAGAACCTCCTCACTGGCACCGACAATGGCTCGACCGGCGCCAGTTTGGCGAACTGCGCCGCCAGTCTGCTCATCCTTGGCCCAGATCGCATTCGAGGTCGCCGAGGCGACGAGCCCGAATGTATTCGAGTGCTCGAATTTGCTAGAATTAAAAAAAGAGTCAGTAGACCGCACAGTGTACCCGCAGTGTCAGATCAACTCACAAGTAAGATTTCACCATCGTGGGTGGATGGGAAAATTTTTGGAGAGAGCTGCTATCGATAGGACATTTTCATTACGGCGGCAGCGACCAACTACGGGCGGCGGCAGCGACCAACCAAGTTCCCCCACCGCCCATGACGATCTCGCGCGGGAAGCCTTTCCCCCCCAAAACTGCGAGACTGCCAACTTCAACATCGTCACTCTCCCCCCCATTGTGTGCCAATCATGCTTCTCTTGGATTATCAAAACGTTCTGATCCAATCTCTCCTAACGGAGCGGTTCTCTGGGTACCATCCCCCTCCCCTCGCGCATTATCATCCACCCTCCCCCGCCATTGCTGCATTGTATACACAGCCACCTAGGCTCCCAGCTAACCATTCCGCCGCAGTGCTACCCCGGCATCGATTGACCAAGTGGTCTCCGACTTTGACGGAGTGACCTTCCACCTCTCGACCCCCGAGTCTAAGACCAAGATCCTCATTTCCATCAATGTCAAGTGTTTCAAGGAGCTCGTTCAGTATGGCGCCCAACAGGTGCTGGAGCGGGAATATGGCCCCTACATCGTGACCCCGGAGCCCGGCTATGATTTCTCAGTACAGGTCGACCTGGAGAACCTTCCCGCCGAGGAAGAAGCTCGGGAGGAGTTGATTATGAAGCTCGCCCTGTTGAAGCGCAACGCTATGGCTGCTCCCTTTGAGCGGGCGTTCGATGAGTTCACCAAACTCGCGGAGGAGGCGTCGCAATACACATCAGAGTCGGCTCCACAAGGTGTGAAAGAGGGTGGAGATGTCATGGCGATTCACTATCGCGAGGAAGAGGCTATCTATATCAAGGCTAGCTGGGATCGCGTGACGGTGATCTTTAGCACAGTTTTCCGCGAAGAGACGGACCGAATCTTCGGCAAGGTCTTCCTGCAGGTTCGTCGCAGAATACTCTACTTTGATTTTAATATACTGACCCCCTTTAGGAATTCGTTGACGCTCGACGCCGTGTGGTGACGCTACAGAATGCACCCCAGGTGCTTTTCCGCAGTGACCCGCCACTTGAGTTGGAAGGTGTTCCTGGATTGAAGAACACTGGTGAGGGCGAGATTAGCTACGTCACTTTCGGTATGGTCTTTTACCTGAACACCCGGGCACATTGTTTGCAATAGACAGTATCACTGACTTGGCTCCTATAGTTCTGTTCCCCCGGCACTTAACCCCCCAGCGCCGATATGAGAACATCTCCCACATCCAGACCTTCCGTGATTACTTCCACTATCATATCAAGGCCTCGAAGGTAACTTATTCTCCAGTTTCCCTGCCGACTCGCTGGGGTTATTTGCTGATATTTTGTTCATAGGCGTATATCCACACCCGAATGCGCAAGCGGACAGCGGACTTCCTCCAAGGTAAACGAAACATCTATCTCCAACTCAAAAGAGATGTCTTAGATTCTAACTTTTACAGTTCTCAACCGTGCTCGACCCGAGAACGAAGAGCGCGAGCGCAAGACCGCCAGTGGCCGAACTTTCCGTGTGCAGAGCTAGACTCGCAATGGCTTCATGTTGATATTACCTTGAAGAGCGTTAACGAATCAGCAATTTCTTTGACTCTACATATTGATATGATTCCCTGTAGACCGAATTTTCTTGTGTTTGTTTCTTTTGCCTGTAAACCATGGGAGACCTCCCACCTATTATTGGTCCCCCACAGTCCAGGTGAATAAGAAGTATGAGAAGGAGTGAATACTAACCATTCCCACCACCACCAACCCTACAAACTCTACCACTCCACGAGAAACTGTTCCTTCCTCCTCGCACCTTCTACACCACCACCATAAGCATCATCACAAGTATCATCCATACATTCTCCCATTATTGGGACTTCCTTCATGATGCTTCGCTTTCCACTTGTTCCCTTCGACCCCCCTGCACCTCCTCCTTCAGACCCTCCTTCAGATACTCCTCCTTCTCCTCCTCTTCCTCCCCCACGCAGCAACCCCGTATGCTCCGGGGTTGGACCTCTCTCAAGCGGCGCCTTGGGCGCAGTCCTGTTCTGTCGGAGCCCTCCAGCGAGGGCACGCTACAAACCGCCCATACAACCATTACAAGCAGCGATGACAAGGTGGCGACTTGGATGAAAGTCCAAGAGGACGGCTTCTCCCAATACTCATCATCCATCTACAGTCAGGAGGAAAGCCAAAGTCCCGATGGAAGCCCCGGGAAGACATCAATGCAGCGACCTCTCTCGCCAGTTGCGCCGCTGTTTAGTTCCTCTCCCAGCGGAAAATCTCCAGTATGTTGCTTCTCGATTCCATTCTCCAACCTGCTCGTCACCAATCCTCTTGACATCCAAGGTTGCTGGATAGTATACTGACATCCGCTAGATGGCCCCTCCCCGTCGCCACTCGCACCCTTATAAAGTCAGCAGCGATGACTGGGTTGTCTCTTCGGAGGCCTTGGCTACCTCGGGCATGGCCTCGGAGGTCATGGGGATGGGTGATTTGAACACGCTGCAAATCGAAGCCCACATGAAGGGCGCTCTCAAGGTCTTTGTCAACATCTACACCTTGGCAAAGATATTGCATGTCGCGTTTCTTGCCTACGGGGCAGAGGTAGGTCGAGCGTTCATCATATCTGCTCGAAATTCTCCATGTTTGCCCGCTCCACTGTTCAGTAAGATAACTAACAAACGCATCGCATTAGATCGGGAGCAGCAAAACTGGACTCCTGTATTGGATCAAACGCGCGGAAGCGGGAATCCGAACTGGCTCGCTATCCAACCTGATCGAAATCGTGGAGAACCTGTTCTACGCCCTGTACGCACGAGTTGTCCTTGAGATGGCAGCAGTCGAACTCTGCATGCAATTCAAAATGGAACCTCGCCCACGTCCAGAGTGTGGCAAGTTTTATCTCCCCGAGCCGGATCACATGTACCGCATCTTTCTAGCGGTCAAAGACGTCCTCGACGCGCCCACCATATGCGAGAGGCTTTATGAATTCGTCGTGAACGCATACCAAGAAAGCCACCTCTGCCACCTTGTCGACCAGAAAGTCGGCACAGAATTCAACCTGGATGACCCAATAGGTTACCGCCGATATGTGCTGGAAATATTAAACGAGAGGAACAGCCAGTTCAACCAGAAATGGGGTACTCTACTGCCCTACTTTCGCAATCTTCCAGCAGAGTTGGTGATCGAGATCTCGGAGAAGTACTGCACGGTCGAGCCCAAGTTGCAACTCGAGAGCGACATACCTACCGACAAATTGCCATTCGTTGATCTGAAAATTGCGCACTTCAGCATGTGGGCGAAAGACCACACAGAGGACTGTCGACAGGCCTCTCTAGGCAGTTTGGAAGGTAAAATGTTGGGAGAAATGCGCCGCGACGCTGGCAAGCCGCTCCTGCCACTGGTGCAGCAGCACAAATGTGTCTGCATCCCTCTCTGTCGCTGCGCCGGTGAATGCACTGCTTGCCCTGAACGGTACTGCCCTGCTCCGAGCGACAGCTGCGCATGATGCTGGCCGGTAATCGCAAAGGCCCTGGCGAAATCGACTTCACAACGCGGGCAAACAGCCTCGCGCGAGTCTCCTTCGAAAGACTCGCAATTCTGAAACGGAACATCCGTGATGGTCAGCTTATGAGCCAGTTAGCCGAGGTGATGGAGGGATTCGAGCTGGAGATTTTGAAGGAGCGCTCGTCGGGGTTGAGCAGTTCCTGGATTTGAGGGCTCTCTGCGATCAGGATTCAGGGCTGAGGATTGAATGTTTCCTACTTCCCGAAGCTCCACATTCACGAATTATGATCATGACGGAATGATAAATGAATTTATTTGAAATGGCACAGTGGAAGGTGACTGAGTATGGAGTACGCAGTACCATATTCGTACGAGTATCTGAGGGTGCTTTATGAGATTATTGTTATCTCTGCTCTGCCCTATCCAACCGTTGCAAACCATTGGATCTCCTGAGAGAGTGGGTACCCGTAGTTACCCTACTGTACCCTACCTTAGTTCCTCGGGGTGTGGACCTGGTTCTTCTGATAAGGAAGAATGCAGATAGGGTTGCCCTAGGGTGTCCCTCATGCCAATTCCCAGGCCAAACAGCCTAGTGTGTATGAAGTATGGAGTAGATCTGACACTATAGAGAGCTATAGCTATCTATGGAAGCTATGACTACTAGTTTAATCTCTTTAGAGAAATGTTGGGGAATAGTGAGGTGGCAGGCTCAGATGTGCAGTACAGAACGGAGTCCGCCGTACATTTTTCTCATATGACACACGGTACTCCGTAGAGCAGAGCACGTCGGCGAGACAAGCCAGTGAGAGTTGTCATTCTCCACGGCCTCACCGGTCAATGCCCTTTTCCCTTTTAACTCCCCAATTTGTGACTCTGACTCTTTCTTCTACTTCTCTCAACCTTCCTTCACATCCCTAACCCTTGGTCCTCATGCTTCTGCTTCTGCTCCGTCAGGCATGGTGACCACGACAGGCGTCCTCTCGTCACTCCCATGGACAGCTGCGAAACGATGGTTCGCAGCTCTTAAACCAACTGTCACCGCGGGACAGACCCTGCGATCGACTCATCCCTACCATGCGGCCGTGTGGCCTTCATACGGCATCACCACTCCGGTTCCCGACCGCCAGGATTTGAGCCTCGCTAGTTCGCCGTTTCGATTCGAGACGGGCTACGCTCTCTGCGCTAAGCGCCCGTCTCGTCCTTTCCCCCCACCGTTCCTATCTCCACCTTCAACTTCCTTCTCCGATCCCCTCACGACACACTCTCTAAGCCAGGATAAGCGCCTCTCCGTTCGGGGCGAGTTGGTCCGCGGTTTGAACAATGGCGACGATGCGATTATCGTGACGGAGAACTTTCTGGGCGTCGACGACGGTGTAGGCGCTTGGGCCATGAAGCCTCATGGCCATGCTGCGTGAGTTTCGTTCTCCTGAGAGATTGCGTATGCAAAAATGTGGTCGATCGCAGGTTGCTAACGATAATCTTCTTCCTGCAGACTGTGGTCCCGACTTCTCTTACACTTTTGGGCCCTCGAAATTGAGCGCCGAGTCACCGCCAACGCAGTCTGTCTCGATCCGATCGAGTATCTCCAATCTGCATACGAAGAAACCACTCGCGCAACCACCTCCCCGACCGAGTGGTTCGGTACAACGACATCTGCGACAGCGCTTTTACACTCCACGCGTGAGCCGGACGGCACTCAGAAACCCTTACTCTACGTGACGAATCTCGGCGACTGCAAAATAATCGTGATCCGACCAAGCGAGCAGAAGATCCTCTTCCGCACAGCAGAGCAGTGGCACTGGTTCGACTGTCCCATGCAACTGGGCACGAACAGCGTCGATACACCGCGCAAAAATGCAGTTCTATCCAAAATTGCCCTACAGGAGGACGATCTCGTTCTCGCTGTCTCGGACGGCGTCATGGATAATCTCTGGGAGCATGAGGTCCTGACGATCATCCTGGATAGTTTGAAGAAGTGGGATGAGGGTCAGATGCAGTCGAATAGTCTTTCGCCGTCGCCCGACATGTGTGATGATCGCATGGTCTATGCTGCACGAGAACTTCTGAATGCTGCGCTGAATGTGGCTCAGGATCCGTTCGCTGAGAGTCCATTCATGGAGAAGGCCGTTGATGAGGGCCTTGCTATTGAAGGGGGCAAAATGGATGATATCTCGGTTGTCCTGGCCTCCTGCAAGAAACGCGTTGGTTGAAGTCACGCCCCAGTTGCACGACCAGTGCGTGAATACTATTGTTGCTCCGGGAGATAGATGAGGCTATGCCCATGTCACCCCGGCCACCGCCGATGCATCCAGTCCTTGTGGACTGCTACAATGCGCGACGCTCAATCAGGGGAACCCGCTGTTAGATGACACGGAATAGTGACCTCGCGACCATGGCTGTCGACAGCTTGCCAATTTCCAGAGCAGAGCTAGCTCTCTCCATTATCCATTATACGGCGACCGCGAATCATTCTTACATGCTTTCGCACCACTCAAGGTCGACCATGACCGTACACGACTATTTTCAGGCTGCCCCTGTTCCTTGACGACTTATGATTTACATTTCGGTATTTGCATGTTGGATTGCTGGTGTTGCATCCAATTCTGGTATCTCGGTTGACGCCGATTCTTTTTTAATGTCCTGCTGAGGTAGTCCAGCACAAATAATACAGACTCCATTTTCTATTTGAGTATTCAAGTTTAAGCATTGTAAATTGCATAAGAGTAGATGAGAGTCTTAGTAAGTTACTCGTACGGCCTTCAAGTGACTGCAGGTGACTGCTGTATACTTCGACCCACCGCCTCCCCCGCCGCCCGGCAATTTGAAAAAGTTTCGTCCGCAGCGCCGCAAAGCATCCTCGGACGACCTCAACACCGAATTTTCAAACCCACCATTCAAGATGAGGGCCAAACGTTCGAAGAAGTATCGCAAGCTCATGCACCAGTATGAGATGACTTTTGGCTTTCGTGAGCCTTACCAGGTGCTCGGTATGGCTCCCTCCGAAGCTGCATGCAGAGAGTATGGATGGATTTGGACTAACCAGCGCTGAATTAGTCGACTCGAACTTTGTTCATGCCATTGATCAGTTCAAGATGGAACTTCTTCCTGCCCTTGAGCGGACTCTCCAGGGAAAACCTAAGCCTTGTACGTGCCGGCACGAATCTGTCAACTACTGCGAACCGCAACCGCAGAGATAGACGAAACCAAACTACCCTGCCGTTACCACCATGCAGAATGAACTAACACAACCTACAGTGCTGACCAAATGTTCCCTGGCCGCAATCCTGGCCGCACAGCCCATCAACCCCAAGACCAACCAGCCATACCGTCCGCGCCATCTCCCCCCGCCAACAGAACTCCCTCTGCGCCATTGCTCGCACAACCCGGAGTCCTCGCCTATCGACGAGGTCGAATGTCTGCTGTCACTACTATCTCCCAACGCCGAAGTCAAGAAGAACAAGGAGCATTATATTCTCGCCACGGCAGATGCCCCCGTTAAGAAGACCGACAAGAATGATACGCAGCGCAAGCGCAAGCGCGACGACGAACGCGAGGAAGAGCGAGCCATCCGCCGCTCGCAAATGCTTCGTCTCCGCGCTCGCTCTATCCCCGGTGTGCCTATCATCTACGTGAAGCGGTCAGTCATGGTTCTGGAACCATTGAGCACCCGCTCCGAGACTGTCAGAGATGGTGCCGAGAAGGCCAAGTTCCGCTACGGTTTGGACGACCCTTCGCTGGAAAAGGCGGCCGAGGAGGAAGAGCCGAAAAAGAAGCGCGGTCCCAAGGTTAAAGCACCTAACCCGCTTAGTGTGAAGAAGTCCAAGAAGAAAGAGTCTGGACCTGGGCCTGCCAAGGAGAAGTCTCAAAAGAGGGTTGTTGAGGACGACGATGTGCCTGAGAAGCAGGATGGAGATGATACAGGTGCAGCCAAGCCTAAACGGAGACGGCGGCATCATAAGAGTGGTGCTGCTTTCCCCAACGACAATGATGATACTGCGCCGTCGGCCGAGACTGGGCCCGAGCCCGGTACTATGGAGATCGACGAATAAGTATCAGTGTCACAGGTATTGTCGAAACGGAAACGGCTGTTCTTGCATATCACCCTCTCTCTTTTACACGGCATGGCGTTTGGATCAGGTATTTTATCGAAAAGTTTAAATGGTGTATCTTCAGTTGTACACATTATATCATGATACAGTCAATTACATATTTGCCTAAATGACACTGTCAATGCGTATTGGTACCTAGACATGTTACTAGGCATGGTACTAGTAGTAGGGATTGATTGAATCGCCGCCACTGGCAAGTATTTATACAATTGTCCAATATGGTACATTCATTCCCGTATGCCTCAAGAGAAGAGATTCATCATAACTCCAAACCCCAAAACTCCAAACGAAATGCCCTTTTGCAAGAAATGATGCACTCATTGCGAAGCCGCGGGTTTCTCTGCGCTCGAACTCGCACTGGCACCGGCACCGGCACTGGTAGCAGCAGCAGCAGCAGCAGCAGCCTGATCTTGTCCCCGCTCACGAGCCCAAATCTCCTCGATACGCGCACGCTTGTTTCGAGCGTCGTCACGATTGCGCTTGGCTCGGTCGGATCGCTCGGCGGAAAGACACTTGTTCACGTCACGCTTGATGTCGTTGCAGTTGCCGACGGCTTTGTAAAGGAATCCGCGAGCGTGGCACTCGTCGAGGGCTGTCATGACTTCCTCGCAGTCTGCGATCAGATGTGTTAGCGGTGATGTATGGCATGAGGTACACTGTAGCGGTGCGAGGTGGCGGAATAAACGTACTGATATTGTAGGGGGTGTGCAGATGGGAATGCATGATGGCGTGAGGATTAGTCCAGACGACTCGAACCAAAGGATCAAAGTAGACTGTGTTTAATGTGAATTGTACTTCAGTTCAGTCAGTCAGTCAGTAGTAATTCATCGATGCGGTTGGTCCCGCAGAATCCCCGGGCGGTCAGTGAGAGTCTTCCACATTCTGCCAGCCCCACCCGACACACCGATAAAAAAAATATCCCCGATAAAAAAAAGAAGTTGGAGAACATTGGACTTTTGACTGCGTCATTCAAAATGTCTTCAATGATCACAACTACGGCCTGGGTGCGGCGAGGTGTCGCGGCCCAGTTTCCTACCAAGTATGAGATTGACGAAGAGGAGATGGGCCGCATTTCTAAGCTGGCCCGCATGCAGCTTGAAGAAGCGCAGGAGGGGCTGAGCGCTGCCCAAGACGAGGCTATGGATGAGGACGATAAGGAGGAGGAGAGCACTGAGGGTGCGGATGAGAAGAAGGAGAGCAAGTCTGGTGCTGGTTCTGGCTCTGCACCCAAAAATGCTGAGTGAGTATTCTGAACCCTTGGAAAATAATGCGCCCTGCGCTAATTGCAGATGGCAGGGACGATGATGTTCTCAAGGAGTTCAATCTCGACACTTACGACGACGACGAAGTCGATGATGATGGCGAGCGGGCCACCATGTTCGGCAATGTCCAGTCTCTGGCCTACCACCAGCCCAACGAGGAGGATCCGTACCTTGTGATCCCCGACGATGAAGACAAGAACGAAGAGCGCGAGGAGCTGCAGATTATGCCGCATGATAACCTGCTTCTGGCCGGTAAGGTCGAGGATGAGGTTGCACACCTGGAGGTCTACGTTTATGAGGACCGAGCCGACAACCTTTACGTTCACCACGATATTATGCTGCCCGGTATCCCCCTCTGCTTGGAGTGGCTCGACGTCCCCGTCGGTGGAAAGGCCAACGAGGAGCGTACATCAGGCAACTTCGTCGCCGTCGGAACTATGGAGCCCGATATTGAGATCTGGGACCTGGATGTTGTCGACAGCATGTACCCCAACGCCATCCTGGGTCAAGGCGGCCAGGACAAGGGCGATGGCCAGCCTAAGAAGTCGAAGAAGAAGAGCAAGGCCAACGACGAGTACCACATTGACTCTGTCCTGTCTCTTGCCGCCAACCGCGGCCACCGCAACCTGCTGGCCTCTGCCTCGGCGGATCGCACTGTCAAGCTCTGGGATCTCAACACCACCACCTGCGCCAAGTCCTACTCTCACCACACCGACAAGGTCTGCTCGCTGGACTGGCACCCTAAGGAATCTACCATTCTTCTGAGCGGTTCCTACGACCGCACCATTGTCGCAGCTGATATGCGCGCGCCGGACTCCAAGGCCCGATGGGGTGTCGACTCCGACGTTGAGAACGTCCGCTGGGACCCGCACGATCCCAACTACTTCTACGTCACCACCGACGGCGGTATGGTGTACCGCTACGATATCCGTAACGTCCCCGCCACCCCGGCCGAGTCCAAGCCCGTCTGGTCCCTGCAAGCACACGACTCCTCCGTCTCCTCCTTCGACATCAACCGCACTATTCCTGGCTTCCTGGTCACCGGATCCACCGATAAGGAAGTGAAGCTGTGGAACGTCGAGAACGATAAGCCCTCTCTCGTTGTTACGCGTAAGTTGGACGTTGGAAAGGTCTTCTCGACCGCTTTCGCTCCGGACCCGGAGGTTTCCTTCCGTTTGGCTGTGGCCGGTAGCAAGGGTACTGTACAGATTTGGGACGCTTCTACGAACGGACCAGTGCGCCGGACTTTTGTTTCGCGCATGCCGGATCTAGAGGGCGATGTGCCTGAGCGTATTCTTGGTATTAATGATGATGATGATGAGGAGTCGGATGATGAGGGTCCAGGCGAGGGTGCTCAGAATCCTCAGGCTGGCGGGCCTGATGGGTGGGAGTCTATGGATGAGGATTAAATCGTTGGTATATATGCCGATTCTCATGCCGATGCTCATACCGATGCCGATACCGATACCGATACCCGTTGAGTCATGACTTGATGTACGAAAAAAATAGATCTCATTTTCTCATGTCTTTCATTCAAGTTCTCTTTGCATTTAACTGATCAAGTAAAGCTGGAGGTTCCTGTCAGCTGTAGCTACTAGTAATTCCAACACGACTCGGACTCGGAGTGAATGTAAATAGCAACATGAATGTTATATTGAAAGGTTGAACAGGTCTAATCCAACTCTAATGAAAATCTAACCAAAAAAACTCCACCCATGATAAAAGGAACGACGAATCAACAATTAATCACATAGTTGTGAAGTCTATGCCTCCAGGGCATGGACATGAGTCGTCAAATCCAACAAACGGTTCGAGTATCCCCACTCGTTATCGTACCAGGCCATAATCTTGAAGAACTGGGGGTTCAGTTCCGAGCAGGCGGGCACGTCGATGATGGCGCTGTATGGTGATCCGTTGTAGTCCTGGCTGACGAGTTCTTCATCGGTTACGCGGAGGACGCCGGCCATGGTCGTCTTTGCGGCTAGGCGGAATGCACTGATGATTTCTTGGAGGGAGGTGGGCTTGGTGGTGCTGATTGTGAGGTCGATCATGGATACGTTGGGACTGGAGGGAGTTGGTTAGCAGGTTGTTTCTCTTTTTGCTTTCTTGATGGGGGAGAAAGAAGATTGTTGATGCAAACTTACGTAGGAACACGGATGGATACGCCGGTGACCTTACCCTTGAGGGCGGGCAGGACGGAGGCAACGGCTTTGGCGGCGCCAGTGGTTGTGGGGATGATGTTGTTGAAGACGCCTCGTCCTAAAGAAAACATATGTGAGAAGATGTTTTTACCAAATCTATGAGCTGTTGTTTTGTCTTACCCAGACGACGGTTCTTCTTGCTGTACCCATCCAGAACCTGCTGGGATCGGGTGGCAGCGTGGATAGTGGTGAGGAATCCCTGAGTGACTCCAAAAGTCTCGTCAAGTACCTTCAGGACGGGAGTGACACAGTTGGTGGTGCAGCTGGCGTTCGACACAACACGGCAGTCTTCGGTGGCTGTATAAGAGTCCGAGTTCACACCGTAGACGAAAGTAGGAGAATCCGAGCTGGGGGCGGAGATGAGAACACGCTTTGCCTGACCATAGTTGATGTGGTCCATGGCAAGGTCTCGCTTTGTGAATTTGCCAGTGCATTCGAGGACATAGTCGACGCCCAGTGTAGCCCAGTTGAGTTGCTTCAAGTCACGTTCGGAGGTAAGGGCGATTCTCTTGCCATCAATGGTGATGAGGTTATCCGAGTGAGCCTGGATATCGGTACGCTCATCCAGATCACCCATTGAAGAATCATAGCGGATGAGGTAGATCAAGTCGTCGACGGTGACGCAGGTGTGGTTGATAGCGACGACGTCAATATCGGAGCGGACAAGAGCTGCACGGAGAACATTACGGCCTATAGTATTATTATTAGCCTTTTAGCTCCATTCGATACTTTTTTCTGGATCAGTGAGGTCATTGCGCTTACCGATACGACCGAAGCCATTGATACCGACCTTGCAAGCAGATGGAAGGACTATAGGGCCTGTGGGAACGTCGTTGATTGAGGGCGCCATATCAACAAGGTATATGTGGAGAATCTTTCAAAGAAGAAATTATGAGAAATTATGAAAGTCAAGATCTTTGCAATGGTCTATAGTAAAAGTTCCAAGAACTAAAGGGGTTTCCATATGGGAGTATGATCTATAAGTATCAGCCGGCGAAAACCATCTCTTCCGTGATTTCGATCCATCTCTTGCAAGAATCCGAAATGACCCGCGGCTACACGGATACTATATCGGCTTGCAACAAGTCCGGCCAGCAATTGGGCCCAGCTTCACGATCCTGATCCCATAGAGTGTCAAGTTTGCCCACATCAGTAGTCCTTCGGCGGATCCCGCCATCGGATATCCGGGCAGACGGGGCCATTGAATGGCCAATGACGGCGTCTGATGCCGCCGAAAGTCCCGCGCTCACCTCCCGATGAAAGCGGAGATGGTCACGTCCGGCCTATCGCGGTGACGCAAAGGCCTCGTGTGTGTCGCGACAGGTAGGTTCCGTTGGGGCTGGTGGTCTACTCCGGGTAAGAAGTACCGATAAACGGAGTGAACTATGAGTGGATTCTGTTCCTGTTTGTGGTGGATTGTGGCTAGTCTCAAGTAGGCTTGGAGCCCACCTCCATGCAATTGGCTTTTGGCCCCGAGCGTTCGAGCCGCGTTACATAAGGGTTCTCCATAGACACGGCTAGCGATACGGCAGGATTGGAGGGTTCTGGCCGGGGGACGATGGGGTCCTGAGGTTGACCTTTCTGAGCGATGTGATTTGTGGGTGAAATGTACTCCCGGCATCTTTTTTTCCTCCGCATCGGCATTCCGATGTGCCAATCTGTCGCCGAGGCCCTGCCAAGAGTCCGGTTTCGCCGAACTTGATGTTTCTTTTTCGTGAGATATTTGAATCTTCAAGTTCATTGAATGATTCTTGTTTTATTTTAGATTTGGGTATCAATATTTCGGTGCCCAGTAATGTCAATTGCCCTTTGCTCGGTCGTCTGTAAAGAGTTTGCGCTAGTAGAGTGAGAGTTTCATGAACAGAGAAGAATATCATTTATCGCCGATTAGATCTACCGGTGGTTCAATTTATGAAGATATTCACCTAAGTACTAAGTGATAGACGGAAATAGCCCGCGATGGGGCGAGCTACGGGAGATGTTGGAAACTTGTGAAGAAAATTTCTACTTCATTATGTATGATTTTATCTCAAGAGCCACTTCGGAATCTATGTTTTTTTTCTTAAAGCGGGTGAAGTCGGAAAACCCAAATTAAAAATAACTCAAAAGGTTCTGTGTTTGTGCAAGTTCCTCACTCTAAATTTGTCTTCATGCTCCAGCCCAACCCATAGATAACTTATTACGACAAAGAGAAAAGAAATCAAGCATTTTCTCTCCTTTCCTCAAAACATCCATCATCCTTCTCCTTGTTGGCTGCGACAAACTCTGCCGTAGTAACCTCTCCCTGAGGAAGGTGCCGCGCCATGGACACAATCTGCCAGGGGGACTCTGCGTCCCGGAAGACATGGTTCAACAGCTCCAAATTTCGGTTCATCGTCTCTGGGTAGAAGAAGTACACCAGAATGGGAATGCATGCCGACAAAATGGCGTACATAATATAATACTTATATCCAATAGTATCAATGGCGACAGGGGTGATCATAACTACGACAAAGTTCCAAAGCCAGTGGTTGGCAGTTGAGATGGAGGCCATGGCGACGCGAAGGCGAACAGGCGCAACCTCTGTGCAGTATAAGAAGTTACCTCCGAGAAAGCCAATTGGATAGAAGCAATTAAACATGAAAATAAAGACAACTGATGCAATTGAGGCCTGCTTGTTCTCGGATCCAAAGCTGGTGGTGATCGCCATTGCAGCCATGCAGATAGCCATACCAGTTCCACTGATCATGAACAATGCACGTCGACCGAGTCGATCGACTGCGAAAAAAGCGATAAAACAGCAGAGGAACTTCCACGTCAAGGCAGATGCTGCGAGAATACTCGAGAGACTTGAACTCATTCCTAGATTCTCCTTGAAGATGGTCGAGGCATAGACCGAAATAAGGTTACCGCCACACATCTGCTGGAAGAACTGCAAGACAATGCAGAGACCGAATCGATATAGAAGGCGTTCGTCGTCATTTTTGGAGAACATTTCTCGGATAGCGCTTTTAGATTTCGCAGTGGCTTCGAGAGACAGTTCGATGCCGGCGATCTCAGATATAACCATCTCATCGTCAGGAGTTGTGCCCTTGAAGGCAGCGAGGTTGCTAGTTGCTTCTTCAATGCGGTTAACTCGAACCAACCAACGTGGCGATTCCGGGAGAAAGAAGACCGAGAATAGAATGACGAGGGATGGGCAGAAAGACACAGCGAGCGGTCCTCGCCATTGGCCAGTATTGTTTGAGGGGAGATGAGTGAACCCAAAGTCGATCCAATTACAGAGAGAATAGCCTAGACATATGAAGATACCATCCATGATGACATGTTGTCCTCGGTTCTTGGCAGAGGAACATTCGGATTGCCATACTGGGACGGCAACACTGAACTGGCCAACGCCCATACCTAGTATGATGCGTCCGATGGAAAACTGAACCACCGTATAGGCCGAGACTTGAAGGAGTTGGCCAACGATGCTCAGAATGGCTCCGATGAAGATAGTTTTGCGGCGGCCAATTCTCTCAGAGATCAAAGTGCAAGAAAGTGCGCCAATAAGGGCACCGATCTGGAATGCCGCAATGACAGCACCTTTGCTCGTGGAATGGCTCGACTTCAAGGCCCCCGATGTGTTGACGGTGTCCAATTCGGGAAACAAATGGACCCAGCTTTGGAGCGTTGCAAGTGGGCCGACACCAGCCTGATTGTAACCAAAAATAAAAAAGGCCGGGGCAACAATGAGAACAATTTGAGCTATGCTCAATGTTTTCCCGGTCAGGCCGTCCGTCGACATGGTGATTGACTTAGAGGCCAGCTCAATATCCGTATGTACAAAAGACAATATGAAATGCAAAGATGAAGAGAAGAAAAAAGGGAGTGAGAAAGCTCTGGGGGAAAGTATTCTGGTGCGAGGGTGTGCTACTAGTTATATGATGACAGGAAGAGCCAAACTATGCCTAGAATGTCAAGCTTCGAATCCTGTCGGTATTTTAGCTTGGCCTGGGGTCCCCGGAAGTCTACGTAAAGCTGGGGCAACGGATGAAAATATCCCCGCAAATGTGGAGAGGAATGCGAATTATATTGGAAAGATCAACTAGCTCCTTGAAAATACCCAACCTGACTGGTCTCTGGCTCCCTATGCCCGGGGACGAGAGGGACCACTTCGTCGGAGGAGGGCATGTCCGGCTGTTGGTATTCCAACATCTGAGGATGATGCCATCACCTGAACAGCTGCATTGTCTGATTTTATGCAAAAGTCATGCCTAGCAGACATTTTATTGTCCGATCTATGTGGCCTGATCTCGCTGTTTTGTCAATTCGCGAAGGTAGTTGCGAAAATGTGTACGTTACGTGTAATTTCCGTCGGTCTAAGATCTGCCGCAAGGTTTAGCCACCCCAATTCGACTAAGTTGCTAGCTTAACTTTTAGCAAAATCGATCGCTGAGTTATAGATGCTAGCAAAGGTGAATTTATCCAAAACCGCAGTCTATTCAATGCATATATACTAATCATAACACAATTTTACATCATTTTAAACCATCAAAGTCTCTACTTAGAGCCCAGCTTCTTGATCTCCGCAACAACAGCATCAGTGACCTCCTTGGTGTTGGCATTGCCGCCGAGGTCGCGGGTAAGAATACCCTGCTCGCAAACGTTCTCGACGCACTCCAGCAGCTGCTTGGAGGCCTCCTCCTCACCGAGCCAGGCAAGCATCTCCGCGGCGGTCCAGAAAGTGGCGACTGGGTTGGAGATACCCTTGCCGGTAATATCGAAAGCAGAGCCGTGAATGGGCTCGAACATGCTAGGGTACTCGCGGGTAGGGTCAAGGTTGGAAGTGGGTGCAATACCGATGGAGCCGGCAAGAGCGGCAGCAAGATCGGACAGGATGTCGGCGTGCTAATGTTTCATTAGTGATTCGAAGTTTGTAAGAAATAAGATATACAGCTTATCACTTACCAGGTTAGTGGCGACAATAGTGTCCAGGCTCTTGGGGTTCAGAACCATGCGAGTGGTCATGGCATCGACCAGCATCTTATCAACAGTGACATCGGGGAAGTCAGCAGCAACCTCCTTAGCGACCTCGTCCCAGAGAACCATTCCGTTGCGCTGGGCGTTACTCTTGGTGACAACAGTCAGAAGCTTGCGAGGGCGCTTCTGGGCAGTCTCGAAAGCAAAGCGGATAGTACGCTCAACACCGTGGCGCGAGAAGATGGACACCTCCGTAGCAACCTCCCAAGGCTTGCCGGTGTGAGAGCGACCACCCTGACCGGCATATTCGCCCTCGCTGTTCTCACGGATGATGACCCAGTCCAGGTCACCGATGTTGCAGTTGCGCAGAGGAGACTCGGTGCCGCGGAAGACACGGGTGGGGCGGACGTTGGCATATTGTTGGAAAGGCTGGCAAATAGCAAGACGAAGACCCCAGAGAGAGATGTGATCGGGAACATCTATAAGTACTGTTAGAAACAGCGGGGCAGATATTCTTTTGTTGAATATTGTCACTTACCAGGAGCGCCGACAGCGCCGAAGAAGATGGCATCGTGCTTCTTTAGCTCCTCAAGACCACCGTCCGGAATGTATTTTCCGGTCTTCTTGTAGGTCTCGGAGCTCCAGTCATAGTTCTTGAACTCAAGCTTGAAGGTCTTCAGAGTATCGGTCAAAGCGTTCAGAGCAGTGATGCCGGCGTCGATGACCTCAGGGCCAATACCATCAGCGGGGATAGACGCGATGCTGTAAGTCTTTGCGAGAGGTGCGGGAGACATGTTGGTTGATTTGAGGGTGGATGGATGTAGAAGAGAGAAGGTAATCTGGTTTTTTTTTTAAAAAAAAAAATATTATCGATTGACAGAGGGGCAATGACCTCGTGCATGCGGGGACTTTTAAGGTCGTCTTCAGTCGCGGCGAATCGCCCTGCTTTTGGGTCAGTATGGACATTCAATACTCTCAACCCCCACATTACAGTGTGTTTCTGACCAATGAAAAATTGGAGGCGAGTTGACGGAGGTTTTCATGTCCGACACCAAGGGATTGTTGGCTGGAGTGCTGTGGGGGGTTCTCTTGTCCGGTGGGTCTCTCGGAGGAAGACATGTCCGATGGAGAAGGACTATAGTTCAGCCAGAACTTAGCAGAGCATGGTACGATGAGCCAGGTGTAGACCAAAACGGAAGTTACTGAGGAAATTTGTCTTGGGGGGGGGGATTTCTTTTTCTGATCTTGGAGTGCCTTTCAACTTCAAGTTCAAACATTCATTCAATCCAACATACTGATCAGACGATGCCTCCACCGATAATTCCACAGGAAAACATTGAAAATGCTCTAAGGAATATCGTACCACGCATACAACAACATGTTAAATCTCAAATCAATGCCTCGCAAAACACTCCATTTGTTCTGGGGTTAACTGGTCTCCAAGGCAGTGGGAAATCCACCTGGACCGACGCCCTGGTCCAGTCTCTCAACGAAATACATGGCTACAAGACCGTCAACATCTCCCTCGACGATCTTTATCATGACCATGATGAGCTTGTGCGAATACGGACAGAAAACCCATCCAACAAACTCCTACAGACGCGTGGTCAGCCTGGGACGCATGATACCGAGCTCTCGGTCGCATTTTTTCGCCGATGTAGCTGATATGAAGACCGATACTTGGATCCCATCTTTTGACAAGAGTCTATTCAACGGCGAAGGTGGAAGAGCATCGGAAGAGAAGTGGCATCGAATTCCCGCTGGAACCACGATCGACGTGATTGTTTTCGAGGGATGGTGCGTTGGATTCTCACCCCTTGACGAGGTGGATGTTCAACGGCGATGGGGCGAAACGACACAAAAAGGAGATTCAGTGAAATATCCAACTGAAACTTTGAAGGAGCATTCGGTTGAGAATTTACTGCGTGTGAATGAAAATCTGCGTCAATACTACAACCTGTTCATGGGACCACGACATTTCGATTATCTCGTTCATCTCGACACGGACGACCTGGTGAATGTGTATGAATGGCGGATACAGCAAGAGCATGCACTTCGCGCGAGGACCAATAGCGGAATGACTGATGAAGAAGTTGTGAGGTTCGTTAAAGGATATATGTCTGCTTATGAGCTGTATTTGGATCAACTGCGGAAGGGGTTCTTCCAACTTGATCAATTTTGCATTGATAAGGGACAGCTCCGAGTGGTTTTGGATCAACAGAGAAAAGTGACTGAGATGTTAACCTTTCCTTGAGTATATCATATGAATTCAATTTATTGGCGATGTAGTCTTATTGCCAGTGTACTATTCTACATAACTCCTATACCAAGAACCTTGGAAGTTAGCAAGCCCAAGACACTCTCGTACGGCGCTCCATAAGCGCAGGGTGGTCAGTAGTTGTATACAGGGGTATTTTACAGTGGCGTTGCAAAAGTTTGAAGCTTCCTATTGGCCACCATTTCTGACCACTTCTAATGGCAGACTGGTCAACAAGGGCTTGGATTTTGCGGTGCCACCGTAAAATACCGCTATACGAGTACATATACAACTACTGACCACCCTGCGCTCAATGGAGCGCCGTACTCTCGCCTCGGGTCGCAGGGTCGCAAGTAATTACGATTGAAAAAGCGCAAAATAAACAAAAATCATAAGGATCTTATAACGAATACAGTATAATTAGTCGGTAAATTTTCTTTTTAGCACTAAATGATTTTTTAATTATAATTACTACTAGTACTACTATTACTAGTAGAAATATAAAAAAAAAAAACCGTACAAGGTTAAGTATGAAGGGCTAAGGCTGTGCTTATTCAACAAGGGCGTTTCCTACAAACTGTTAATATAAAGCTTATAGATATAAATGCAGGTATATAGGGGGCCCAGCAACTAATATGCAGTGTGGCCGGAACTACGTAAGTCTTCCAGAGACACAATTACGGACACTTGCCTCAGTTCGAAAGCAATTACACATGACCAAAGCCGAATTAGGCCAGCTGAAGTCATTTAAGTCCTTGCCTGGAATATACTCGATGAATAAATCTGTACAGAATTCCCACGTCACGATCGTTTCCCTTCATCAGGCTACTTTAGTTTGCAGACGGCAATCTTATGCAGCCCAACCAGGGAGCTCTGACCAAAATTAAAAGTTCAACTTCATGGGATCATGTGCACTTCCTTATTACGATGAACAAACTGGCGCTGTTGAACACGGAGTTTCATGTGCCGGGTGTCAAGTTGCTATTGAAAAAGACATTATCGGCACCAGGGGTACGAAATGGGGGTACGACGCTCGAGACAAAGTATATGCGCAAGACGGCTTTCTGGACCACTTTCGACGGTGTGAACAGGCACAGCTACTATGGAGGTCGAGTCGCGAAGGTCAAATCCTGCCACCCGAGCTACCTGTGTCTGCTCGGACAGGAGGCTACTTTCGAAGGAGGGAATGACGATTATATGTAGTCCATTTGCTAATGTATTGCAGCCACACCTAATAGTGACGAATGAGAGCCTGAGAGCCCAGAAGCAGATCTTGCTCGAGTTTATACCAAATACCTTCCTGATTGCATGGCATCTGACGTTTGTTCTGCCGCGCTATAAATCTTCCAAGGCTCGGAGGATAAATGCGGTAATGCTCCGCTTTAGATGACACCATCAGGCGTGATTATCATAGCATCTTCCATTATGCACTCAGATGTCCAATCATACAAAGTTTGCGTGATAGGAGTTAACTAAATCTAGACAAGATACTAGTAGATGTGGGTCACCAGCTCTCGACACAGTTCCTGGGTTAATTACAAAAGCTACGCGACATGATTCTTCTTCCCACTCGCCACACACTGCCTGGTTGACCTTGACAATGGACGAAGTAAAAACATCCAGAGCAAAATCAGCAAACGAGATTTCCGATCGAGAAGTTCACTCGGATCACGACTCGGAAGGCCAAGATGGATTATGGCTTCGATTTTTGACTTATCTGAGATGGTATCCGAGTGAGATGCCACATCTGGAGAAAAGATTGATTCTGAAATTGGATATTTTGATCTTGGTTTTTGGTTGCCTATCATTCTTCACAAAATATCTTGACCAACAGGCGATAACTAATGCATATGTCTCGTATGTCGTGTGAACTGCTTTCGTCTTTTCCGTTCAACGGGCTGATTCACTTTCTACAGGGGCATGAAAGAAGACCTTCATCTAGGTGGTAACGATATCAATTACATCAATGCAGTTTTCTGGGCATCATACTGCACATCCATGATCCCTGCCTGCTATTGGCTAACTCGAACTCGAATCAACATTGCTCTACCAACTTTGGAGGTCGGGTGGGGACTATTCACGTTTGGCTGTGCTTGGGCCCAAAGTCTGAATACGATTTACGCCATGCGATTTTTTGTCGGAATATGCGAATCTTGCTCCTTCACTGGCGTCATTTATGTGATAGGGTCATGGTATAAGCCAGGAGAAGTGACCCGACGGGTGGCGCTTTTTTTCATTGCATCGCCTCTGGGGACAATGTTTGCTGGATATTTGCAAGCTGCAGCATATACCAACCTAGACCAAACGCATGGTCTAGATGGGTGGAGGTATGTTACTAGCATAGACTTTTGTTCCAACGTTATCTTTAAAGCTGGCTAATCGCTCTAGGTGGCTCTTCATTGTTTGTACTATCATCACGATTCCAATTTGCATCTTGTAAGATACAAAGCTGCTCCCGATTCCCTTTTTGATGGTCTAATATCGAACTAGAGGATATATTGCGTTTCCAGACGTGCCACATAGAGCGAAGCCGCGGTTCTTGACAGCGGTAGAGCACTCTCTGGCGAACAAACGTCTGGAGGGCTTGACAGCGCCAAGCGAACTCAACATCTCGAGGGCAATCTTCAAGCGAGTCTTCGGGAGGTGGCACTTCTACGTTTTTGTCACCCACTGGATCTTAATGGACCAGAATTTTATGCCTTATTCGACTCCTTTCAGTCTATATCTCAAAGCAAGGCCAGATATATACTCCATCTCGCGAATCAACACGTTGCCGACAATTGCCACAGCACTATCCGTTGTCGCGGCACTTGCGGCAGGAATTACAGCTGATCGACTTCGCAATTTCTGGATTCCATCTGTGTTGACTAGTATTCCAGTCCTGATCGGGTTAATTCTCCTGGTCGTATACAATGTCGGTGAAACCGGGCGAGTCGCCGCATTCATCATCACTGGATTTGAAGGAGGTAGGCGTTTCTCGTTAATTTCTTTCTGATGTGGTATATAACTATAAGAAAAATTACTGATATTTTCCCCTTAGCGATAAGTCCACTCACAATGAGCTGGGCGACCACTGCTATGGCCAACGATGCCGAAGAAAGAGCTATTGTTACCGCAAGTATGAATGCCATAGGACAAGCTATGGCTGCATGGACACAAATTCTCCAATACCCAGCGGAGAAAGCTCCAAGGTTCCAAGCTGGCTTTTTGTCCAACCTGGTGACTACAATATTCCAATTTGCCAGCATAGGCTTGATCGCATATCTTGTACAAAGGGATCAGCGGCGAGCCGCGCGATATCCCTAGCAGGCTCAACTCTTGCCCGCCTAGGTCTCAGCGGACTATTGACTTCCTGCAGCCGATAAATATATAGCTTCAAAATTATTTCCATTCATTCTAAGTTTCAAAGTATCATTTTCAAGTTTAAACGTCCATTCCCGAGGTTTTACCGGGCCAAATCTCGGGGTCCGGTCGCAGCAAGCGGGGACTACCGCTCAACCACCCCGAGCAGTGGGGTTGACCTCACTGATTCCAATGACTCAATGACTGTTATTAATTAACTAGCGCCTTGGCAATTAGACTTTCAAGTTCACAACAAGTGTTCAACTGGAACAATCATCAACGCCGACACAATTAGCATCATAATCCCTCGGATTTACCAGATCATTCCCCTCCAACAGCCATGTCTACCCCGCAGAGAAAAGATGCCGGGCTCCGCATCGAGCCTGTAGATCGACCGGAAGATATTGAGCAGGCTTTCCACTGTATCAGCGAGGCCTTCGGCCGCCAGGCCCAAGACGGTGTCTGGACCGCAATGAATCCTGGATGGGATACGCCTGCCGGAAAGGCGAGTGGAGCTGCGCGGATGGTCGCCCGCTGGCGACAGACTACCACCGACAAGAATGGAAACCCCAACACCATCTTTCTAAAGGCAACCGTACCAAGTGCAGACCCGGAGGGAGAACGCACCGTTGCCGGACTCGCTATTTGGGCACAGGCCTCCTGTGTTGAGGGCCATGGCGATCCGCCAAGTGAAGATATGGCTAAAGCTATGCATCTCGAGGAATTGTATCCTGGAAATGAAGTCGAGCAACGCTATCTCACTCAAGTCATGACTTCCTTTCTGCGTAAACGCTATGAGGCTATCAAGGAAAAGGCTTCTGCCATACCACCGGCTGTGCTGGTGTTGGATCTTTGTGCTGTAGACCCGGCGCATCAGCGGAAGGGCATTGCAAAAGGTCTAGTGCAGTGGGGTCTGGATGAAGCAAAGAGACGCGGTGATTTGGAGTTGATCCTCGAGGCATCTAGTATGGGGAGGCATGTGTATGCGCAAATGGGCTTTGAGGCGCAAGGATCGGACATCGAATATCTTGTTGATGAGGAGTTTGCTTCTCGAAGCAGACCGGCCAATCTCTTCATGCGCAGACGAAATGGGAATTCTTAGGATTTGGATTAAAATGGGTTATGGAACTGAAATAGCTTCAAAATAGAAGGACTCGGTGCCCGTACATTAATCATATCCTCATGGAGATTATCGTTCAGTTTCCCGGTAATATTGGTCTTAAAGTAGACGAATCCCGCATTCGTTACGTTTGTAATGTACACCTTGGCGTTAAATAGCGCTATAGCAGATTCCCATGGATCATCCAAGGCCCATCAGCCACATTCCATATATCACTCATGAACAGGGACGATGGATCTGAAAACGGAAAGGAATCCTGTCCTGCAATTCCAGGATAAAAGGGGGCATTTGCATTGGCCGCATTACCAAAAATGAGGCCCGCCGATGATTCTCCGGCCGCATAAATACCGTTCGCTGAGACATCGGCCTGCCCCTGTGCATCATATGAAGAAAGAATCGATGTGTCGCCGGTGTCGATGGCCTGGACTGCAGAGGAGCCGAATGGCGGATCCAAATGCTGCGTTCCCGAGGTGGAAGGGTCGCCTTGCTGCCTGCTTGTAGGACCTCTATCACGTTGGGGAGACCGAGGGTTGGAGTGATACCTGTCGTCTGTAGAGGATTTATTGGGGGTCTTCGCGAATTGGTCGTTGGGGCCAGTCTGGGATTGGTGAGAAACATGGCCCGGAACCTCCAACCTGGATGAATTTGTATTGGTCAAGGCCGACTCCATGCCTTTGATTGCTTCAATGCAAGTCTCGGGCCAGCTACTCCCGCGCAAGGCCAGATTCTCCAAGATACTGACACCCATTCTGGCGTATTTCAATGCTGTGTTTGTGGCAAGCTCACCTTCCCACGAAGCATACATCAGTATCAAACACGCCATCCAGGTTGTCCATGTAAAGGACGGCCATGTGAGGGGCGCATCAGATGAAGAAGACATGTATTTCTTCAGAGCTGCTAGTAGTGTCCGCGAGGAAGCAATGCAGGTTTGCAAAGCGTTTTTGTATTCTGAACTGGGTTTCTCGGCAGCGAGTAGGGGTCGATTCATCGAGATAATAGCCTCGTGTCTCAAGATCATGAGCAGTAAGCGATGATACGGACTCAAATTCGGATTCTGCCCCGGCTCCGTATGCTCCTCCTCGATGATATTTACATCATCGTAGACTTCGTTCCACCACTGGGACAGCTCGCCGTTAACATGTGATGCCTCGACAGTACCGGCATGACTATGGAGGATAGACTTGTTGCGCAGTTCTAGGATCAATCCCCGGATCCTGGCAAACTTTGCGAGGTGAGATAATAGACGCAATCGATGGTCATCGGGTTGCGTGGATGCTGCGGTAGTTCTAACATGTCGTTCGTCACCCGGGTAGCATACATCGATATCATCGTCGCGGATCCCCAATGGGATCCCTAGTGCCTGCGACAGGTATCGTTCCAGGCAGTAAATAGACCAGAAGAGCCGCCTTCGAATGCCCACCTCTTCACTGGTGAAAACAGAGAAACGGCCAGGGCAACGATGCAATCCGAGGTGGAAGGCAGTTCTAGTGATGACTCCGCCCACTCGAGAGGCGGCATTCAGTCGTAGTAACGATGTGAGTGCAAGTTGGGCCAAAAATGCAGACTGGAGCAAAGGAAGGGTTGTGGGCTCCGCAAAAATACTTTGAATATCTTGCATAACATGTTGTACAGTGGAGAAAACCAATGACGCAGGCACAGGGCCTAGTTTCGATACCGGGTTTTCAATTTGCCGGCTATCTTCGAGGGATATCGATATAATCGAGCGAATAGTAGTCATATCTAGTCGATTGATCGCAGATGGGCCGTGTTGGCTGAGCTTTTCCATAGCTTTGAGCACCGTTGGGGCGTGAAGACATGGGAAGATCGGATGCCAATTCTCAAAATAGGGCCGGGTCCAATTGACCAGATCTTCAAAAGCATATGTTGGGTTTTGCGAAAAATCCAGTTCATCCGTTGACCATAGCATATCGGTGTCTAGAGTGCCTCGCTGTAAGCGATCATCCTCCCCCGGTACTGAGCTCTTGTCTCGCGCTCTGGTCTGCTGAAGATCTGCCGAGCGACGAGCAAATACATTATAGACATGGCGAATGAAGTGAATACCACTGGAGCTCCCAAGAAAGCTGGCGGATCCGTCATTTTGAGACTCTCTCATGAAGCCTATCTCACGCGGCGACGGCCTCGATGTGCCCAATATCGAGGCACGCTTGCGTCTTTTGGCGCGAGGGCCATACTGCCAGTCCGGATCATGATCTTCAAAGCGGGTACCGACCGATGAGGGCGATGTCATGGTGGTCTCTTGTGTCACATTTCCGAAAGGTTCCTTCAATGCTTATGCCAGTTGGTCGCACATCGCATTATACCAGCAATATCGAATCCAATACTGTCCAATGGTTTGCCAAGGAGGAGGCTGGGCGGTGTGTTTGCTTGCATTCCAGATGCAAATGCAAAGCAAATGCAAAGATTCCAACCGGCGAGTCAGTTGCTTGCCTCCGCTGACAACAGTGGATACGCACACGTGACTGTAGCACACTTTCCCCGGACAAAAACACCTCCGGACGACCAACGGCGTTTCCCCCCGACCCCATCAGATCGGATCACATCTATAGCGCCACAAAGGCAGGTCCTTTTGTCGAATATATCCCGACATTATAATTTATTTTCATCTGGACAGTTTTTTGTTGTATTATATCAATAATATACGATGAGATCCTCCCGGTCAAGACGGACACAGGGTTCGGATTCGACGATGCCAGGTTCGGCCCCGTCTCCATTTCATACATATTTCATATACCTCCAGAGGTAGTCGCAAGTATTAATATCTGAGCAATTAGATAACGATAACCTGAGCCCGATTTCGTGCGAGATTTGCAGGCAACGCAAATGCAAGGTTAGTCCTATTGGCAATCGGAGGGTCCTGGCAACGCTGATCTCGGAGATTAGTGTGACCGCAAATTGTATGACTGACTGACTAGATCTAATCGATCTTGATGATGGAATCCTGATTCTGACTATCACTGTTGTACAGACCCCACTGCTCCCAATGTACTAGTGAGCCAGGGAAGTGCGTCTATCCTGAAAGTGGTAAAAGGTAGGCTTCTCCGGACAGTGTCTACTTCAGATCGAAATGAGGCTGATATGGTTTATCTTCACGGCGCAGAGGACTGCCTCTTGGCTACCTGAACCAACTAGAGCAGCGCCTCGCTGAGACAGAGTCAGCCCTGTATGGGGCTCTTGTGACACTCCGCGCCATGCAGCCCGCGACTGTAGCCCAGGTATCGGCCAAGCCGGACTCGACCCAGAAGCAAAAAGCTGCGCGCATGGATGAATGGTCTCAATTGCCACTCCGAGGATGGTCAGATATGGAACATTGGATGATCTCCATGTCCGACCATTTCACGATTGAACAACCCCAGAGTATCGCTTTGCCCGGGTCGGGGTCTCAGGTGTCGGTCTCTCCGGGTCAAGCAGTGGATAACGAGACGTATAGTCCGGGGATGGCGGTGGAAGTACCCGGCCCATCAACCTATGGCTGGCAGTCGAGAGAAGATATCAACATGAACAGCCCATATGAGACCCACCTCCATCCCCCAGCTATGATGTCTTCACCTGTATATTCGCGACATCAGGGCGTGGGCGGATCGGAGGGTATGGCTTCTCCTGCCGATGGGATCTCGGAACATGCCCCAGCCGGACCAGCTGGCCGAAGTGAAAACAGAGCCAAGGCAAACCATGCTGATAGAGCAGAAGATCTGTCAAAAAATAACCCCTGTATATACTTTTAATTTACAATCTTCAGCAGCTGTCTCGAGGCGATGGGGCACCAATCTACCTGCAACCACCGGTCTCCGATCACGTGATTTGGATAGGGGCAAGACAAAAGTTGAGTCGGTGTGTCTTAAACTTCTCCCTCGCAGCGAACCCTCGAAGCAAGCAAGCAAAAGAAACAAAAAGAATACCACCCCTCCATTCTTCCCATGTAGGGCATCGGTATTGGCATGGGCATCAACACCTTGGCCACGTCAAGTTGCAGCACGCAGCAGTTCTGGATCAAAGAGTTCGATTCGATCTCTCGCCCCACATCCAGATTTTCAGCCCAGTGGAGGCCACGGATTTTAAGATGAAAAGAGTGAGGTCCACACCTCTCCACCAACCCAAAATGCCCCCCTTCCCCCACGAGGGGAACTGCTCACAGGTTCGTGTCACGATGAAAACTCCCCGGTCAGGTCTGCAATGCCAGTTGGATGGGATTGGCCGTGTCCCTGAAGGCCGGTCGCACCATGACCACGCCGGCTGATTCGGTCATCTCGGTGGAAATGGTGATTGGCTTAGATGTACCCTGCCAGCCGTCCCTGGGGCCTGTCGATCTTTTCTGGCCACGGAGCACAGACTCTTCTTAGTGAGGCACGGAGTGGTAGGGGTCTGTGGTGAAACGCCATTGGAGGACGGACCTCCCCCGAACAAGAGCACCAAGACTTGCGGGCGTTTCACTCAAATTCTGATCATAAAGCATAATGGCGTCACATCTGGTCTGTCATTGTCGACAATCTCACGTGGGTGGATTGTGTTTGCGATGTGTCTCGACCAGACATGTACACGTCGAGCCCATGTCCCTTTGGGCACCGGCGGATGACCCACGGAGGGACGGAAAGTAGGGAACGACCCTCCATCTCCATACCGGATTGCATTTGTCTTTGGATTTTGCATGACGACCCTCGACCAGGGGGAGGCCCCTACAGGCACGGGCATGGAGACGGGCATAGACCAGGGGACAGGGCATGGGGCGTGAGCAAATGACACTCTGTGGTCGGTGCTTTTTTTGTCCCAGTCAAAGCGACGAAGGCGAATTGGTAGAAAATAGAACAAATGCCAGCCATGCCAGCACTGGCAATACCAACCAAGGGTTAATTCTGGCTCTGGTTCAATCGAAGAACTTGGTCGGCCGAACCACCACGCCATTCAGGTATCGAAAGGGTCTGGAAGAACCGTTCGCCACAGGTAGTGTTTGGGTGAAACTCGTGAGTGGTTAGAGACTTAATCGGCCCCATCGTCGGGGTAAGCGAACCTTGGGAATTCCCAAGGTTTGGGTTTGGGCTCGAGGGGCAAAGTGCTCAGTACTCCATAGGGTGGGTAACAATCGGAGGGAGACCCAACGGTGTTCCTCTAAGCGCTGGTGGAAACCTCTCACAGTGAGTGGCCGGGCCTGGCTGGATCTTTCCCCCTTCTCCTCCTCCTCCTCCTCCTCCCTTCTTCTTCTCCTCTCTACATCTCCTCCCATCGGGACTATCCTTCATTTTTCAGAGTCCTACATTCCTTTAGTGACTCTTCACTTCATTTCTATCGAGTCCCAGTGACTCCTTTTTTCTACTTTTTTATCCCAATCCTTTTCCCACAATCAAAAAATATCAATATCCCTTTGGGCGCGTCCTGGTTGTACGCCCCATTCTTTACTCCCTGGACACAAAGAGACTGTCCTGGACCATTTTGCTGTGCAAAATTCACTTTGGTTAAAAGTCTCTCGACATTCATTCTCACCTTTGTGAAAGTTAACAATCGGATTCTATCATCCTATCTTCCTCTATCAACGCTCCCTGATACCGGACATTCTTGATATTGATCTTCCACATTCCTCGCCGTCTCCGCATCCTGCGATCGGTTTACCACGCGACAATCAAATTACTTCAAATTCGACTGCCGCGAAAAGCAACGATCGCTAGTGATCAATAGCAAGCAGCAGGAAATCTTGCCAGATTCAATTCCGAAATTGCGTTCTGTCTACGCCCACGTCGATCCATCAACGTAATCCGACGAATATTCATCTGAATTCATCATGTCGACCATCACTCGCGCATTCACCAAGCGCAACAAGCGCCCGGAGGTGTCTGCGCCCATGCCGTACCGTGGCGAAGGTCATATTCGATTCAACTCGGGTTCCATAAAGCGCGGCAACATCTCCGGTCCGGTGCAGCTATTATCTACCACCAACATGTTGGCCTACAACGCACCCGATCTGAATTCCAATTCGCCCAATTCTTCATCTGCCTCGTCGCTGCGGTCGCGCGACGACTCTGATTTCTCTATCTCGCCCCACAGTTACTCTTCATCCATCACTACGCCTGATGTCTCGCCACACGAGCCCGAGCCCGTGGATTACTTTCCCAAGCGGTCTGCGACCGTGACAAGCCACCCCCGCTCTTCTGCGACATCTTCCTCGTCGACCGAGGCTCCGTTGATCCCGAAGCGTGCTCTGTCGCACACCAAGCGATCCCACCAGGAGCTGGCCCGCAAGCGATCACAGCATCGATTGTCGCCTCCTCCACTAGCTGCCCCCCGCAGTAATCCCACCATGCGTGCTTCCCAGGATATGTTCCGGGCAGAGGCTCACCCCTTCAGCAAGGAACTGGAGCAGGTGAACGAGGTGGCTGAGGAATTCGGGGCAACTCCCTTGATGGACGAGGAGGAGCGTACTTTGCGCCGCAAGGGTCTGCAGAAATTCACCGTCGACGATTATCTATTCGAAATTCAGGATCTCTACGGCAGCATCTTTGACGATAAATTGGGCCCTCTGAGCACAGGTGCCTGGCTATGAACTCATCGATAATATCTTACTGTTCCGTTCCCGGTTGACCCGGGGGTGATCGACGACGACCTACAAGCGAATGGAGGTGTAAAAAGGGGGACAGGTCTCCTTCTTCTCCACAATTCGCTACGACTAACTCTTATTCTTTCATTGATACGATTTTCCGATTGTTTGTTTTCCCTGATTCGCACTATACCATGGGAGGAGCCTCTCTTCAGTTCCCGCGCGTTCGGTCTCTCATTATGCCGTTTACATTGGCTGCGTGTATGGTTATGTACCACGCAAGCCCCATTCAAATTTTTTTTTATTCCATTCGGGAAGGGGAGCTGAGAAACACCTATGGTTTTCGATATGGCGCGTTCTGTCCGCATCTACTACTTCTCCATCAGTTCATCAGTTAGATTTGGGTCTTTTTCCTAGATCATGTTGAATTTCTGATGCATCAAATACAATTCGAAAAGTGAAACAGCAAAGTAACAAAGTATTCCAATAATTCCAATGTAATTTGCAAATGTAGACATTTGTAACTACCGTATACAACAGTATGACATAATGCTTGCCCACCACTCCTCACCGCTCTGGTCACGAGACCCACCGCCCCACCGTGCGAAAAGAGAAAATATTCTCTGCTGCTTCAACTTTCAGCTTTTGTCCGAGCATCCACATCACTGTCTGCATCCTGTTTCAACCTAATTTCAAGCCGAACGAATGACCTCCATGGGTGCAGACAGACGTTCGTGGTCTGATTCGTTTATCCTGTAGTGCAACTCTGCAATCTAACCGTGCGGTCGGTCGTGTGCTTGGGTACCTCAACGAGCCTCAAACTCCGTCGACCACTCGAGCTGTCCCTCAATTCAACCCGGAGGTCCGGACCGATCAATGTCAACCATTCTGCGGTCTCTCTAAATTTCATTCCACGCATCATCGACGTTCTCATCTGGCCATGCCCTCGGTTGCCACTGCTCGCACCCCGGCGCTTACAGCCACCCCTTCAACCCACTACTCGAAAATGCTGGCGGCTTCGTCCCCCATCTCTATCCTTAAACCCGCCAAACCAACTGGCACGAAACGCACAATGGAGGAAGCGGAGCTCAGTCTTTCCCCCTCATCCTCCTTCTCGGATGCCGGCGCCGAAGACGTCCACGTCAAGAAACGCCCCCGCGTTACCTTTGCCGAGAAGGCCGAAAGCCAGGCGCCCCCGATCGCCGTGACACAAACAACTACAACCATGGCCCCGATGAAGAGCTTACCTGTTGTTCGGGAAGAGGTCCGAAAGGCAATCCATCGCCATGTCATGATGGGAGAGAATGAGGCGTACGACGAAATCAAGGAGATTTTCACCGCCGACCCGAAGAAGGCGGACGATCCAGCCTACTCATACGAACTCCCTACGCATGCCGACCTAAGGAACCATCTTATGGGCCTTCTATCACACATCTCTTCTTTGGATCGCAACTGCAGTAGCCTGGTCACTGCCATTCTGAACAGCGAATGGCTCGGTCGGGATGACTCCTATGTCAAACTTTTTACTCGGTTCTTGGGTAACTTGGCCGCTGCACAGGGTGGATACCTCTCCCTCGTCCTCAAAATGCTCGTCACCAAGCTTGCCGGTATCCCTCGAGGAACGGGCCGACTTCCTGGCTACTCCCCTGTGTCCACACCTGAGATATTCAACCGGGTCCACAAGGCGCTCCGCCATGTGATGCGTCTTATCCCAGCTGGAAGTGGAGCATTGTCGCCTCTTCTGTCATCACAATTTCCTTTCGACACAGACTCGGCCAAATCCTACATTTGCTACACCCAGAACCTCATCCGGATTGTTAGCTATACCCCAGAACTGCAGTCCGATATTCTCGCTGTTATCACTGAAAAACTTGTTAAAGTTGATGTTCAAATTCAAGTAGACCTCGAAGACTTCGAGGATGAACTTGGGGAAGACCTTCTCCAAGATGTATCACCCGAGGAGGATGTCGACGATGAAGCCGATGACGATTCGATTGTCAGTGACGAGTCGGATGACGATAGCAATCGTGTTACAGAAATCAAAGGAAACATTCAGAAGGTGGATGGCATGATCGATATTCTGTTTGAGTACTACACGCCGCCTTTCATGACGGGCAGCTTGGACGACAAGGAAAACGCCTTGGATCTTTTATTGAGCCACTTCCAAACCATCATTCTCCCAACCTACCGCTCTCGACACTCTCAATTCCTCCTCTTCCATTTCTCCCAGTGCTCGCCGGTTCTTGTCGATCGATTCGCCTCGGCCTGTGTCCAAATCATCTTCAACAAACTCCAGCCCAGCCTAACCCGGCAATCGGCGGCCGCCTACCTGGCCAGCTTTGTCGCTCGCGGCGCCCACATCTCCGGCGAGGTCGTCCGGGATGTCTTTGATATCTTGCTCACCCACCTAAACAACCTTCGTGACTCGTTTGAAGACGGCTGCCGTGGACCGGATCTGCGCCGCTACGGGCCATTCTACTCCACCGCCCAAGCCATTATCTACATCTTCTGCTTCCGATGGCGCGACCTGACGACCGCCGCAATTGATGGTGACAGCCCTGAGCAGGTCGAGGAGTTGGAGCCAAGTCAGGTGGGATTCCCGCCAAACATCAAGGAAATTCTTCATAAGTCGATCTACTCGCGTTTGAATCCTCTCAAAATCTGTTCGCCTGGTATTGTCACGGAATTCGCCCGCATCGCTCACCACTTCCAACTACTCTACGTTTACCCCCTTCTCGAAACCAACAAGCGACTCCGCGTCTCTGCCTTCCGCAGTATTGCCAGCCTTACCAATGCCAACTTCGGCTCGGTCGAACGCGATGTCCGTGCCGGCGATCACCTGGGCTACCAACTGGACGCATACTTCCCCTTCGACCCTTACCAGCTCCCGCGCAGCCGGCGCTGGCTGGAAGGGGACTATGTCGAATGGCGCGGAATCCCCGGCCTAGACGATGACGATGACTCCGACAGCGAGGCCGATGATGACGGCGAAGATGATGAAGAGATTGCCACGGCAACAGACGAAGAGTAAGCGTGCCAGAAAGCACCTCGCACCTATCATCTAGATTCTCTCTTCCTTTCTCCGATTCACCAAATCTGCATTTTCATGTTATGTGTCTGGTTGATTTAAAGACCCAAAACATCTGTTCGTTTTAGCGTGGCGCCTGGGTTTACTACTGAATTTCCTTCTTGCTATTTACTCTCCAAACCAAAAGTTCGATACCATTTCCTACTGATGCCTGATGATATCGCTGCTTTTGAGCGTGCATGGATATGTTTTCTTCTGGTGGAATACCATAATTTCTAGATGGCATAGCCATGCCTTACAAAAATAGGAAAATTTCACTTATGATGCCGTGTTATGCATAAGCCTACCAGTGGTACTAGTAGAATTGCCCACTATCGTTCAAGGGTTGGTGCGTATCTGTTACTGTCTAAATCTACCACGATGAGATTACGAAAAGACTTCCCAAGGTTATGAGATTAAGCAACAGATTCTCCTATTAAAGTTGCTACGGAAAATACCCAATGAAACAAGAAATGCCGACGAAGAGTCCACCAGTTCGGGATTTACTGAGGGTCACCCCAGGCAAAAGCACCAGACAGACTCAACCATCGCGAACAATCAACTGCAACTTCAAAAGCAACCCAATTAACGAGCGTCACGGTCTGATCACATCAACCCTTTCACTAGACCATGGCCAGAAGGAAGCAGTCTCAACCCCGACCGCATCTCCCTTGCCTAGCCTGAATGCCGCCGCAAAATTTACTTCCTAACGCATTCCTTGAAGTTCGACTCGATCATATCAACCGCCAAACCAGAACCCAACTCATCGACAGAGACGAGCGTGCAATCAGTGAGGCGATCAAGCGGAGAAGGATAAATAAGCCTCTGGCATCTCAGCATGCAGGTTGCCAGATCGTGGGTGCAGGAGCTGGCCACAGCCCCGGTTTGCGATGTGCAGCCCATACTGGTCACTCCACAGTTTTTCATGCAGGGAACGTAGACGTTGAGCACGTCTTTGAGTTTCATGCTATCCACTGGAGTTTCATTGGGACCCCAGAGTGGGGTGGAGCTGGCGAGGGTGATGAGGACGCTGATTGCGGACAGATACTTCATTTTGGATGGTTGGTTTTCTTTTTTAGGAGTTTGTTAGCTTATTTGGGATCGTTCGTGGGGATGGGGTAGAGTTATGCTCACGCAATTTGAACCTGGTCTTGTTGATTGGTGTTTGGGCTTGGTTGTGATGGACTGGATTGGATTGAAACTGGTGAGGATAGAATATCGTGAAGATAGAAGATTGGGCTGGCTTTATATGCTTGTCTTCCCCATCTTCGTTGAATTCTTGTACCTTTTCCTGAGGGCTGTTATTTCGAGACATGACTGGGATATTCCTTGCTCATCGGTCTGCATATTGCTGAGCATAACCACGTCCGATAGGTAAAATGAACTACGGTGGTGGTTCACGGATATCACCTACTGCCCTTGTCACAAGTTTATAGCCTATTGGAGTTGATCCGACCGAGGTGGCAGTGGCACTTTCGGATTCTGCGGATGGGATGTGCTATCATGAAAGGTACTCTCTCGTTGAGAACTTGTTTGGTATGCGTAGGTGTAATCGAGCGATTTCAAGGTTCGAAGTTTTGGTGTTACGCGGCATTGGTTTGGGTTTACAGATACTTTTTCCTGAGATTCGGTGAGTGAAGGCTGATACTAATTTGACATTTACGGCAGAAGCTTATATGACAGGGAAGATACTCTTGAGATGTGGCGTTTTGGCTAATCTTGTAGCATGCTTTTTTCTACTCTCATTTAATTCACTAACTAGCCTGTGCCAAGTCATCTAACGGTTAACGTCTATCAGCCGTTGCCAGAATTGCTGTACGACAGTACGTTATCCCCCGCCTCTGGCTATTTTCGGATCAATACTAGCTCTCGAGTTTTAGCTCGTTTTGGAATAGAATCACCAGTGCTTCATATCTTTTTTTGGGTGGGAAGATCCGGAGCGAAGATCCGGAGCTGAGGCTTCAAGAATCACGAGCAAATGATTCGCGAGTTTCCTATTGTGTGCGGCTTAAGTTTGCTACGTTCATGCAAACTCAGACCGTGTCTTGGATATCCAGAAACATCCACCGTTCTTGAAGGGGCCACACTAACTATGTGAAGCACATCCATGGCCGATCAGATCGGAGAAATCAAGCAACAGTTCCATGTCTAGATCAACTCTGTAAACTGAACCACGATTTCGTTGGTACTTGCAGAAAACAGCAGCGTTGAAAAATACTTTTAAACTATTGTGACTAATTCGCAGGATGTTATTAATACATGAATATCTCGTTGAGTTTAGCAATATCATTGCCGATGATGGAAATTGTTAGCTCCTCGGGTCACGCAGGTCGGAATCCTACACGCTAAGAAAACAAGATCATGCGATCACTCATGGCTTCAACACTAACAACTTGAAAGTGACTCGGATCTGCGTGATTACGATTGCTTCGTCACCTTCTTCTAGATACCGCCGGCTTCGGGAATTCAGCTCAGCTGAAGACTTCAAGTATAATACTACTAACTGATGAGCTATATGCCGGTACCGGCCCTGTCTTCGGCGAAATATAATCATCTACAACTTGAAGTATATCCGTCCAGAATTATGGCGGTGTTGGCTCCCGAGGGAGATGATGTGAGATCATAGGAGATTTCTTGTAAAGTGTCTAAGATTACCATTCTGAGGGACCACAGAATATGCTAGAAATGGGTACTTCGGGTAATTCGCCAGGGATGCAACAACTTTGATATTAGTGGTGCGAGACGAGACGAGGCGCAGTCGTACATTCTTGTGGCGAGGGCGGACATTTCAGATCCGAATTAGAGGATTGGATCGGATCGGATCAATGCGTCAGCAGACATGCTCACATGAACCAATGTAATCATCTCTTCCGGATATGTCCTGTAGGAGTATAGACTGATCTTAGCGTGTTAGAAAGTAGATATTGAAGTAGCAAGAGGAAAAAATGATTTTCAAATTCTTTTTTTTCAGCTCGAAAGAAGTCCATGTTGTATTCGCCATTCGTCTGCCTCTTCGTCGCAATCTGATGTATATGAGAAGTGTTATAGGAATATTCTACATTGCAGTCGGGTACTAGACAAGGGTGTACGCTGACCATCCAATCAGGGGAAGGACGGAGTTATTATGTAGGCCTTGAGATGCATATATATGTCCGATCGATTCCGGGCCAGATCCTTCGTCATTACCCATCTCTTCCAGCATCTTAATCTAAGTTATTTGGGCTGTATACAACCTTCTGCCTTCCTTTTATCCGGTGTCTACGGCGTCGGCGAGAGTAGCGTGAATGATCTTGCTCACACGACAAGTAGGGAGCAGGTATTTGGCAGTGCTTTTGACCAGTATAAAAGCGATGAAATAGTCTCGTAGTCAGGGCAATGAATAGGTCAGTCCTTGTCGGTGCCATTATCTGCAACTCTTTGAAAGCATCGCGACATCCTGTGTGGGTGAACAAAACAAAGCTTCTACCTGCAAGATCTCTGATTTGAGATAGAAACTGCGACAATTTCTGCAAGTACTAACTATGAGTTGCAGAAACTGCGGCGTCTCGATACCAAGTATGAAACATGTTTGTCCGGCGTGTGGGAAACAGTGTCGATAGCAGGTACTTTTACCCGAGATTTAATTCTATAGTTATTCGATTTGGCCTACGGCTTATTAGGTCAGGTCTTTAAGTACTCCCCTAGGCAATATCGCTTTGCTTGCGCTCGAAATACCAAATGGGACTCGGGCTCTGGGACAAGTGACTGGTAGTAGTCGCATACTTCAAATTGGTTCTGGCCACGATCCTTCGATCTACATATATCCCGTAGTACTACTGTGAGGTGCTTTTAAACAACCACCCATTTCCATTCTACATACATGTTTGTATGGGAATTTTGAAATCAAAAGCACGATGCTCTCCGCCCAAACAGATCCGCCGCCTTTGGATTTGAAATACAACCAGCCATCTACCAGTGGCATGACTAGTAGCAGTCAAACAGGTAAATAGGTCTGTGCATATGATCTGGATAACGCCTGTCAATTCTTGGCGCTCTCCTTTCGCTCTAGTGCACATCTCCAGCCGTACGAAGCCCGGGCCGCCCCGCCCCGCCCCTTAGTTTCGTTTGTTTTCAGATTCTTCTACTCCGTACATATTTGGAGAATATCTCTAGGGCGTATACTACTCTCGAGCATCAGAAATGGCGTCACTTGCACCAGCCATTCTGCTTCTTACTTTTTCTCAAATCTCACTTGCACAGGCAGTTCAAACAGAGGGCTGGCAGTTCGCTGACAACTCTCGCTCGAGCTGGGATATTTTCTGGACATGCGTGTCAACGATTCTCGCATGTACATGGACAGCTTTGCATCTTAGAGTTCCAAAGCGATCTGAGCACAATGGAGACACAATGTCTAAAAAGCTCCCAACTTGGACCTGCGCGCTACTGGCTCCCGAGTTGATGGCCATGGTTGCAGTAATGGAGCACCGACAGGCAATGACGATTGTGACGCGTTGTAATACTGCTTTCCAAACAGTGGCTAGCAACGAGGACTCTTCAAGAGACCTTCCTCTACACACTGCAAGTTCATCTAGTGATGAGCCATCCTCGCTGAAACGTTGGACAGCAATCCAAGGATTTTGTATCGATATGCGCGGTGCGATACTGATCACGGAGGATGAATGGACCTACCCAGTTCTTCCGAGCAATGTTGTGCCTCTCATCGAAACTGGGGTCATTAAACACTCTCATTTGAGAGAGCGCGACATTCAAGACAGAGCAAAGGCTGACTCTCTTGCAAAGGCGTTGACGATGCTGCAAACTTTCTGGGTCACCTGCAACATTATTGCTCGGGCAGCATACAATCTCCCTATAACGCCGCTAGAGATATCCACCGTGGCTTATGCCGTCTGCGCCGCAATCACATATGGGGTTTGGTGGCATAAACCCAAAGATATGGTAACACCGATCACGATCTACTTACCCTACGGTCGTGAAAGCGATACAATGCCTCGTCGGGTAAGAGATATTTTGGACCAACGTCAGTCTGACTGGGTTCACTTATCCAAAGCTTTTCCTGAAGATTCTTCACGATCAGTTTTCAAGAAAACGGTTACATTTCCCTTAGACCTCTTGATATTCATCATCATTCTTTGTCTGCCTGTCAAATGGTTTACAGGAAAGCATATGGCCAGGCGTGATTCCTCGGGGGATAAAGTTCATTCCCCGTCTAAAAGCCATACCAACAGTGCCGTCTCAGAGTCAAAGGAATTAGCCACACCGGAGCAGAACTACACAGAATCAAAGAACAAAGTCAAGGATGAAGAAGAAAAAATGTCTGTCAAGGATAACATGATTCTTGATCTTTGTTCCCTGTTGATTGCTTTACTGTTCTGCGGGATACATCTTGCTGCGTGAGTTTGTCTTTTTCTCCCCTCTTCTTTTTTTACTCTCAAAGCTAATTCCAAGGTTCGTGATATGATAGTTGGAACTTTTATTTTCCAACAAAAGCTGAGCAGATATCCTGGCGAGTCTTCTCGCTTATTGCGATGTCCCTCCCCTTTCCTGTGGCTCTTCAATGCCTTTGGATTCATTGGAAACTCTACCGTGAGTCAGGCGACAAAGATTGTCTTATATCTAATAGTGACGGATACGGGATCTGGGAAGCTATGTTCTTCATAGGTCTCTTCCTTGTGTATTCGACCGCCCGCTGGGGGAATATTATCCTCATGTTTACGTCGCTGAGAGCACTACCTACTGAGTCTTATATCGCGATTGACTGGCTTTCCTCCATTCCACACATATAAAATGGAACGACATGAACTTGAAGCTGTATAGTTCATTTCGTTTTGGAGTGCCTCTACCGATCAGTCAAGTTCTTGGATGATAACCAGGTGTCCCTTTTTGGCCACGCCCGTTGTTATACTACAGCTTGAGCCCAACCAGTCCTGAGAGATTACTGACTCCGGGTCTGAAATTGGGCGTCTCTGTAAAAGCGACGGCAGCCAAGACAGGAACTGGCCTCACAACCGCCTCCACCACCTTCTGTGGTCACACTTCACGTTGGAGATGGCGAGACTGTCGCCAGCCTCCTTGACGATGTTGAGACCCGAAACAGGCTGTGTTGAGGTGACTCGGCCAGTGCAAGGCTTTCTTAACTCTGCGCCGCTCGATGCTGATCGTGAAATGGACGGGCGAGATCGCTCTATTAACGCGACGCAGACGCATCCTGCCTTCATTGTTACCATCATACGCTTGAGGGTAGGGGGGTATTGACTTATCGAGAGCTGACAAGCTTTCCTCGATGAGTTTATCTCATTCCTGTGCTCCAAATAAACACTGGTAGTACTAGTAGTTGCGGTGGGTTTGAAAGAATATTGCATATTCAGCTGATCTTAATAATTACATACAAAATGCCTTCGGCGGTATGATACAATTGTCTCAAAATACTAGTAGTCTCAAAAATAAAATCCCCCGCAAGTTGGCCTAGACCCTTCAACTCTGCTGGTAGAACGCAGTATGCATACATACAGTAGTCATAGTCATGACGAACGGTGGGACTTGATTTAGGCTTCTTCAATTTGTGCCTTGTTTTCCCCTTGACAGCATCCTTTGGTATACATACGAGTACAAATTCAAGGTGCGAATTAGGGCCATCCATTATGACATCAAACGGTTGTAGATCTACCGCTTGCAAACCGGTGTAAACCCCATTTTTGGGTGAAAGTTGACGATCGGCAAGTTTCTTCGGGCTGACGACCAGCCAATGAAAGAGTATTTCCTTTTTTGAAAAAAAAAAAGAAAAAAGAAAAAAGGAAAATTCTCTATTCCCATGCACGTGCGAGATATATGCATAGTCTTATCTACTCCGAGTCGTCTCTGTACACGAACATGCAGTGTGAAACGGACTGGCGAAAGCGCAGGTCACGTTGTACGAATTACGTTGGGCAGCTCGTATAGACCAGCCAAACTAGGAGGGGCTGAAGTCTACCCTCCCCATGCCCTGACGAGCACTCATTCTACCGTCCTTCGCGCTCGCGGATCAATAACGATGCATTTGATTGTAATAATAACCAAGATCGAGTCCCAAACGCCGTGAATGCTCAAAATGAATGCCAATAACCTCAGAGATCCAAGAACAAAATAACGCTTGCTCTATAATAACAATATACAGGAAAGGAAAGAAAAGGTCAAAAGTGATCGAGGCAAACACCATCACCGGTCGAAGATCGCCTTCATCTCCGCACAAGAATCACGGTACAGCACATCAACGCTATCCTGGTCGCGGAAAGGATTCGCCGATTTGTCCCAGGCGTGGCAGGCCTTCTCAATCATCATGGCCCGAACACGCTTGCCCAGTCCCTCGAGACGACGCACGAAGGTTTGACCTTCTTTCATAAGCATGTCCCACTCGCAGATATACAAAAACACATCATGGGGTAGAGTGGCCAGCATGCGATCGGTGGCACGCACCGGCGAGGCAAAGGCGGACGAGCGATCGTCAAGATTTGGGAGGTAGGATTCATCGAAGAGGGTGGTGAAAAAGGCCGGTAGAGTCTTATCGGGCATCAGACTCATAGCTCGGCGGTGGTCGCGAGACTCCAGAAAGTCCAGAATGGGGTACCAAGCGAAGATGCCAACGATGTTGAGCTCGTTGGTCTGGTCTACCAAACGCTGAGTCGACTCCGCCCGGCCAAAGTGCTCCTTGATCTCGGAGGATAGTCGACTATACAGGCGTAATGGAACGGTGACGGCTAGGTTGCCCCCAGCCGAGAAGCCGCTCAAGGCCACCCGGCTGACATCTAGGCCCAAGTCACCGGCATTGGCTGCCAAATACAAGAGTGCATCCACTCCGTCGTCAACGGCAGCGGGGAAGGGATTCTCAGGGGCCCGACGATAGCTGACACTAGCGACGACGGCGTTGACCTCGCTGACAACCATGGTGGACCATCGGGAATCGTCGGTGGCACAGCCGAGGGTAAACCCACCGCCGTGGAAGTTGACGAGGACGGGATAACGATGGCCTAGGCGTTTCTGTGCGTGATAATCGGGAGGGAGGTAGAAATGAATGACGGCCGAATTGCCGTGGGCGTCGGATGGGACGGTACGGGTGAAGGATGGGCTCGGACAACGCGGAGGAGTGAGGTCATGCAGGAACATTCCAATGCGCATCAGGAACCGCCAGACGGAGGCCTGGACATGCAGCCACCATCGAGAACCCATTGCGATAGTGGTTGGGTCCTAGCAGAGCTAGCAGGCTCGGGAAGTCTAGTGATATCAAGGAGAGAGGCAATGGTCAGATGTCGGGATTCGGAGGTCGGAGGTCGGAGGCGGAGGTGGAGTTAAGGTAAGTGCCGACAGTGGCGAATGAGGAGAGGCGGATGGAAGAGGGAGTTACAGGGAGGTGGAGGGATAGCGATATGGGAGAAAGGGAGAAGAGAAGAGAAGAGAAGAGGATAATAGATACAGAGAGTGGTGAGTGACAGTGACACTGAGTTGACCCTATAGGACGTGCTGGTGTCGTTATCGGTGGCTACGTAAGTAGACACCTGGGGGATCAGGCAGAAGTGACCCTGAAACAGGAGTGGAAGTGGGTGGCACCTTCCTTGGGGGACAGGTACTTGTGAATTACTAGAGATTGCTAGCATTTGTAAGTACCCAAATACTTATGACAGTAAGAGTAGTAGCACGTTAGTACCTAAGGTACCTTCCCTAAAGTAGACTTATCATCATCATGCCGTACGCAAGGTACGTAGGGTGGGACTGTACACTCCCAGCATGGACTCCCGCCAAGAGTAGATCCAAGTAGTAAACAAGCATTTCTGCGCAAATCCGGGCAGCCCACATGATGTCATTCTCCCAGCTCCTATTTGTATCAGACTTAAAGAATGGCCTCGTGAATGACGAGGGATCCTCTCAAGTTTCAATTATATTGACATTGTTCAAGAATTGATACCTAGGTATCCAGAAAAGGTTCAAGTTTATTCATCCTATTCTGATACTGCAATCTACGTTTTAACGGAACCCCTCGGAAACCCCGCGGGCCACCCATATTCATAAGCCCAAAGTAAGCCGTGAGATCGCCGCTTGCAGTTCCCGCAACCCCCCCCCCCCCGCCTCGGCCCCTTCTCTTCTTCTTCATCCAAGTTTACTTCCGAGTACTCTTTCCATCCCTCCCCCTGACACTCCCATCATCCTTTGAACCCCCAACTTGTTAGTCTTTTTTTTTCTACTTGGGAGGTGCCCATCATGTCCATCAAAAGGGCTCTCTCCAAAGCCATCCGTGGCCATCTGGGTGATGATGACTCCTCCGGCACCGGCATTCGGTCCACTCTCTCTCCCAAACCACGTACCTCCACCTCTCGCGATTCCATGTCCCCGACCTCGCCTCGTCGCAGCATCCTCGGCAACTTCCTACGAGAACGCGACTATGTCTCGTCGTCCGATGATTTCTCCGATGATTCCTCCAGTGGTGCCCTGAGCAAGAATCAGCAAAAGCGCCTGGTGCGTCAGCAGCGTCGCTCCGAGCGAAGCCGACTCAGCGAGGAGCAATTCTCCGAGTCCGATCATCGTCGCAAGGAGGAGGAACTGGCCAAAGCGGCCGAGGAGGAGACCGCCGAGATGAAAGCCCGCTATGGCGAGCTCCCCCTGATGCAGTCGCAGGACCGAAAGCATGAGGACCGCCTTCGCCTCGACCAGATCACCCCGGACATGGTTGGACAGCAGGTCTATTTCACCGCCCGTCTGCACGTCATCCGCCGGATGAGCGCCAAGCTGGTCTTCCTCGTCTTCCGCCAGCAGCTGGAGACCTTCCAAGGTGTGCTTCACGAGCGCGCCGGCATCTCCTCAGTCGTCATGGTCCAGTGGGCCGAGCACTTGCGGGTGGGATCCTTCGTGCGTATTCGCGGTACCATCCAGAAACCGGATGTCCCCGTTCTGGGATGCAGTATCCACGATGTTGAACTGTCCATCGACTCGGTCCACCTTCTCGTGAAACGCGAGGAACCCGTCCCTTTCAGCGTCTACGAGGCCGAGATCCGCACCAACGAGGAGGATAAGGTGGAGGGCCGTCGCAGCCACATCCCGGACCGCACCCGCCTGTCCAACCGTCTGCTAGACCTACGGACCGCGACCTCGCAGTCTATCTTCCGTCTTCAATCCGCAACTTGCAACCTGTTCCGCAGCGCCCTCGACGAGCGTGAGTTCATCGAAATCCATACCCCCAAGCTCCAGGGAGCCGCCACCGAGTCTGGATCCAGTGTCTTCCAAGTGAACTACTTTGGCCGTCCTGCATTCCTGGCCCAATCCCCTCAATTGGCCAAACAGATGGCCATCGCTGCTGATTTCGGCCGTGTGTACGAAATTGGCGCCGTCTTCCGTGCCGAAAACTCCAATACCCACCGTCACTTGACCGAGTACACCGGATTGGATATTGAAATGGCCATCGAAGAGCACTACCACGAAATGCTGGAGACCCTCGATGCGGTCATCAAAAACATTCTGAGTGGCATCTACACCAAGTACCGCAAGGAGATCGAGCACGTCAAGCACCAGTTCCCCTCGGAAGATGTCAAATGGTTGGAAAAGACCCCCATTATTCGCTTTTCCGACGGTATTCAGATGCTTAATGACTCAGGCTGGCGTGATGAAGATGGCAAGCCCTTGCCACTGGACGAGGATCTGGCGACTCGAGACGAAATCCGTCTTGGTCAGTTGGTGAAGGAGAAATACGACACTGACTATTATGTTCTTGACAAGTTCCCTCGCGGCGCTCGTCCCTTCTATACTATGCCAGATGCCGAAGATGACAAGTATACAAACTCATTCGACATGTTCATTCGAGGCCAAGAGATCGTGTCTGGTGGTCAACGTATCCACGACCCACACATGCTGGAAGAAAACATGCGTCGCGTTGGCATCAACCCCGATGACATGGAAGACTACATGGAGGCGTTCCGCTGGGGTGCGCCACCTCACGCGGGTGCCGGTGTTGGTCTTGAGCGTCTTCTGATGCTCCTCCTCCAGGTGGGCAACATTCGTCTCACCTCGCTCTTCCACCGTGACCCCAAGAGCCTGCCAGCCAAGCCTCCCGTGCAGCAGCTTCGTCATCCGGAGGCATCTACCATGGAGCCCCCATGGTTCACTGCACAGCCCTCGCGCCGCGTTGCCTCGGATGAGAGCGAGCTCCAGCCGTTGGAGAAATTGGTTGCCAATTATGGCGATGCCACCTCCACCTCTTGGTTCGACGAGCGGTTCAAGATCTGGCGTGACATGTCTACCGGTGCAGCCGTTTCCTACGTTCCTAGCTCTCACAACTACGCCATCATTCCCGGTAACCCGGCCTGCGACCCTTCCCAGTACACTCGCACTATTACTCAGTTCCTGCAGTGGCTGAGACGCGATACCAAGCTCAAGCCCGTCTGGATCCTTTGCTCACCCGAGGTCGAGACCATCCTTGGAGAGCGTTTAGGATGGCGCAGCTTGTCTTGCATTGCTGAAGAGCGCGTCGAGCCATCTCGCAACCAGGCCGCTTCGGATGGCGAGATTGCCAAGAAGCTGCGCCGTGCGGAGACCGAGAACATCAAGGTCGTGTCTTTGAGCCAGGGCGAGCTGCCTTCTGAAGAAATTCGCAAGAAGATCGATGAGCGTATCCATGAGTGGCTGGCCAACCGCAAGGGTACCCAGGTGCATCTCTCGGAGATTCGCCCGTGGATCGACTCTGAGCATCGCTGGTACTTCTACGCACTCGACAAGAACGGCGTCATCTGCGCTTTCGTTGCCTTGGCCATGCTCTCTCCAGATCACGGTATGCAAGTCAAGTACAGCTTAGATTTCCCCAACTCACCGAACGGTGTAATCGAATACATCGTTACGGAGGCCATTCAGACTGCCGCCAAGGGCGGCGTGAAGGGACTGACCTTCGGTGCCGGCGCCACCAGCCAGCTCATTCCGGGCCACAACATGCACGGCACCAAGATTAAGATGCTGGAACACACTTACGAGGCACTGGCCAAGCAGTTCCATCTCGTCCGCAAGAGCGAGTTCCGCGCCAAGCTGGGTGCTACCGAGGAGCCTTTGTACATCTCGTACCCAGCCCACGGTCTAGGGTCGAAGGGTATTCGCGCTATCCTGAACTTTTTCGAAGATTAGGCCATCTACCAAGTGAATATTTGCAGAACCTGTGTTTGTGCATAGCTGGTCAACGAATTTTCTTTTTTATAATGGTTATGATGTGATTCCGATCTGATCTCAGGTGCTTCGCATTTTACCTCTACCTGGGTTCGCTTAGCCCATCGTGTTGCGGTCAAGATGTGAAGACGCATAGAGTAGAGCGACGCGTGGGATATGAAAGATTGGCCTTTGGTTTTGGTTTTGGTTTTGATTTTCTTTTTTGGCTTATGGCTGTGGCTTTGGCTTTTGGCGTTCTCGCTCATGGTGTCGCTACCTGGGGCAATGCCCCACTATCATTTTGTTTTGGTATTCCCCCTCCTGTACTGGCCCCTCATGTATCCTGTCTTGGCTGGTGGTTTTTGTTTATATAATGTATCTAGTTGGCGAATGGCTGGTCAAATATTTCTCATTTCTTCACGTAGATTGCCAACCCGACTATCCTATGGATGTGTACGAGTACCAGTAGTTCGTAGAGAAGTTCGATTGCCTGGGCACGCGCCCCAAGACACAAGACCATCCATGGATGCTATATTAAGTAGATGCAGACTAATTACAACCTCTATCCTTGGAACCCAATGGCCACAACATTGTACGAGTCGTCCCCGGAAACACAATAATCGTACAAATAAGATAAAACAACCCAATCCAAGCCCCGGTTACCAATTACCTCTCCTTCTTCCCATCTTTCCCCCCCTTTCCCATTCCCAGTCTCTCCCTCCTCCCGCCTCGCATCATCAATCACCCTCCCAATCTCACCCGCAACCCACCTCGCTACAAAAAAAGCAACAACCCCAACAACGACAATCCACCCCGCCGTCGGAACCAGCGAACGCGGAAAAACATTCCCAATAAACGGATCAAGAATCAAATCCACAGCCACAGGCTCCGGACTCGCCATTAGCGCCTCGTCCTTCGTGAAGTAATCTGCCGCGGCGCGTACACGCAGGAAGAGTACCGAGGATCTCACAGGTCCCGGGTCTGGATGGTCGGTTTTCCTTTTGAAGTTCCGGCCCGCGGTGCGGGGGATGGCATTTGTTTGGAGGCGTGGGTCTTGGGTGCTTAGGCGCGCAGTGGAGAATATACTTAGTGAGGAGAGGAGGGATGTTTCCTCAATTGTTTCGGATAGGAGGTGGGTTGTTAGTGTGAATGTTGTTGGTTGCTGGTTTGGTTTGTTAGTGTGCTGTGTCATGGATCTTTGGAATGTATACCTCGTAGGTATTGGGGTGTGGAGGTAGTATGCATACATATCATACTATATGTATGGTATGTTGCAGTGGGGAAAACTTGAATTTGAACGTACTGTCGCAAGCCAGCATACTCGGACCTCGTACCGCTGGCCTGGGGTGAGGTCCTCGAGGAAAAACCATGAGTCTGTGCCATCTGGGGCATCGGTGGTTGGAAATGAGACATTAAGCTGGGTGCGCACGACTGGGTTGGTCGGGGAGAGTCGTTCTAGACCGAGATCGTCTAGATCGGGTTCCTCGGAGGGAATTGTCGTGGCGGGTGGGCCGAGGAAGATGGTCTTTTCGACGTTGGCGTGGGCGATACTGGCGATGCTGAGGAGCAGGCTGAGCAGGCTGAGGCCGCGAAGCTGCATTTCTTCTGTTGAGTGATTTAGTTGGTGATTAATGCTCTTTGGTGGTTATGTAGGTGTTGATGGGAGAATCTCTGGATAATTTATGTATGGGGTGGAGTGTTCCGCTGGATTCGAGATAGGTCATGTAGTATGTGTTGTATGGAAATATATCCATACTACTAGTATGGATGGTGACGCAGTTCGGTTGGCGGTGAGCACCCGGGCAGCCTGGAGGCATCCATCCAATATCCATTCAAGCTGGGCCCAAGCTGGGCCCTGTTGGCCCAGCTTGGTATTTATTGCTGATTATTTGACTGGTGTATCTGGCAACACAATTGACCATAATATTGATATTATGCTCTATGGACCACTGGTGCGCCATATAATGCACCATACATACACCGGTATACTAGTACTATGCCATGGCAGATCACATGACACTCACATGACCCCAACAGGCGGTGTAGCTGAGTGTTGTGGACATCGACCAATCAGCGCCAAGCGACGCGACCCAAAGCAAATCAACAACGAACTCCCTCAGCACAGACGCCCTCCTCCACAACATTTCTGCTTCCTCGACGACTCCATTCCTCCCATTCTTGGTGAGTTTAACTGACCCTTGCACTGTTCTCCCTCTCCCTCGACCATTCCCATTACCCCTCCCCCCTTCCATTCGTGGTGCTCCTTCGATCTCGTCAAATTCGACCACACTAACCCCTGAACCCTCCTTAGACCCGTGTTTGTTGTCGGGTCCCTCTCCCCTTCTTTTTTTCGACCTCGAAAAATCACCATTTATCACAATGAGAGAGATCATCTCCCTGAACGGTATGTCCTGAATTCCGCGCTGCTCTTTCTCCTGGCATCGGTTTCATCGCCAAATTTCCATCGTACTGACTTGTTTCCCCGGTATCCAGTCGGTCAGGCCGGTTGCCAGATCGCCAACTCCTGCTGGGAGGTAACTATCACACCACCTTCAATTGCAGCTTCAAACGACTGTCAATACTAACCACACCACACCTATAGCTGTACTGTCTGGAGCACGGTATCCAGGTACGTTGGAATTGCAACTTTGGTGGCGCCCAATCTCAACTCGGGCAGCGGAACCACCTCCCCCCTTTTCCCTTGCCGGGAAGCAATCACCTGCAACTAACAGCCTCAATAGCCCGATGGATATCTTACCGATGAGCGCAAGAAGGCCGATCCCGACCACGGTTTCAGCACTTTCTTCTCCGAGACTGGTATGTAAATCTCTTCTAGGTCGTTTCTAGACCTTTTTGTTGCTTTCCCCACCTTTTTTTTGCACAATTGCTTGTGGTCAAGATCTCCCTAACATTCTTCACCCCCCCACCTTGACAGGCCAGGGTCGCTACGTTCCCCGTACCATCTATGCCGATCTTGAGCCCAACGTCGTCGATGAGGTCCGCACCGGTACCTACCGTTCTCTTTTCCACCCCGAGCAGATGATCACTGGCAAGGAGGATGCCTCAAACAACTATGCCCGTGGTCACTACACCGTTGGCAAGGAGATGATCGACCAGGTTCTCGACAAGGTTCGCCGTGTTGCCGACTCCTGTGCCGGTCTCCAGGGTTTCCTGGTCTTCCACTCCTTCGGTGGTGGTACCGGTTCCGGTTTCGGTGCTCTCCTGATGGAGCGTCTGTCCGTCGACTACGGCAAGAAGTCCAAGCTGGAGTTCTGTGTTTACCCTGCTCCCCAGAACGCCACTTCCGTTGTTGAGCCCTACAACTCCATCCTGACCACTCACACCACTCTGGAGCACTCCGACTGCTCCTTCATGGTCGACAACGAGGCTATCTACGATATCTGCCGCCGTAACCTCGGCATTGAGCGCCCCAGCTACGAGAACCTGAACCGCCTGATCGCCCAGGTCGTTTCTTCCATTACTGCTTCGCTCCGTTTCGATGGCTCCCTGAACGTCGACCTGAACGAGTTCCAGACTAACCTGGTCCCCTATCCTCGTATTCACTTCCCTCTGGTCGCTTACTCGCCCGTTATCTCTGCCGACAAGGCTTCCCACGAGGCCCACTCGGTCACCGAGATCACCTCCAACTGCTTCGAGCCCAACAACCAGATGGTCAAGTGTGACCCCCGCAACGGCAAGTACATGGCTACCTGCCTGCTGTACCGTGGTGACGTTGTCCCCAAGGACGCCCACGGCGCTGTCGCCACCCTTAAGACCAAGCGCACCATCCAGTTCGTCGACTGGTGCCCTACTGGTTTCAAGCTCGGTATCTGCTACCAGCCCCCCCAGCAGGTCCCCAACGGCGACCTTGCCAACCTCAGCCGTGCTGTGTATGTTTATTCCCCTGCCCAAAGTGGCTATCTTGATACTAATGCTAATGTTCTCTTAGCTGCATGCTGTCCAACACCACCGCCATCGCCGAGGCCTGGTCCGCTCTCGACCACAAGTTCGATCTCATGTACTCCAAGCGTGCCTTCGTTCACTGGTATGTTGGTGAGGGTATGGAGGAGGGTGAGTTCTCCGAGGCTCGTGAGGATCTTGCTGCTCTGGAGCGCGACTACGAGGAGGTTGCCAGCGACTCCCTCGAGGAGGAGGAGGAGCTTGAGCCCGAGTACTAGATTCGGGATGTTGCGTGAGCGTGTCCGGTCGTGCCGTCGTCGTGTTATGCCCGTGGACGGGTTTGGTTTTAATTTTGGCGGCTTGCTGTTTTGAACCAATTCGATCTCTGGCGGCGTCCCATGTCACCAAGGCTATGGCTCTCTCTTATCGACGTTCCTCTTATCTATGGTAAGGTAACAAACAATACCTGGGCTTGCAAATAGATGGGAAACATAGTTTTTCAGCCCCCGATCATGTCTTTCTGGCTTTGTTGTTCGATATATCTTTAATATCCCGAAGCAGCGATAAATTTCCCCGCTCGTTCTATCTACTTCTTTCTCGCTGAGTGCCCAGGTGTAATTTTTTATTGGCCTACTAGTAGTACCTATTATTTGTATAAGCATAGTTTCGAGGGAGTGGTGTTCGAAATTCCCAAGGCTCCTCCAACACAAGCCATTCTTAGTTCCTAGTATTTGTTATTTGCTGTACATCATAAGTCTTAAGCAATGCTAGCCATACTACTGTACTCCCAGGTATGTCTTCCAGTGAGAATCAGCGAGGGAAATACAAACCGTAGTGCTCAAGATCCAGAGTGCTTTCCCATAGGTTGCTTTTGAGCTCCTAGTATGGTGAAATCGCTTGTCTGGTAATGGAGTTCTGTTTGCTTAGTGAAGTTGATACACGGCCGCTGCGCATAGTACTGGGAGTGTGCATTTTGTATGGTAGGTTGTGCATCTTCAAGGCTTGAATACCCCTAAACTCGTCCCAATCATTGGATAGGTTCGATATTTGCTCTGCTACGACTACTACTACCAATAACAAAT